CTCTGTGGTGGATAGTGATACAATTGATACAGGTGAGGGCCAATAATCTGCCCTCTGCCTCGGAACCAACCCCTCATCCCCGTGTGCTCAGCATCTCTTCTACTAACGTAAGTGTTAAAAAACCTAATATTATTGATATTTCTCTTAAATAATAATTGTGTGCATACCATCATAAAATTAAGATGTTATTTTTACTACAACGTACGTATTTTGTCGGAAAAAGTGTAGTCTGGGGGTTGGCCCAGTCTCTATTTCAATTAATCTCGGGTTCTGTTATTTCGTTTACGTGTTTCTCGTTTTACGCGGACCTCCACGGGTTCAATTGTCTGCCTAAATGAAGAGTATATGTACTGTATATCTACACGATCTCGTCAACCAAATCAAATGTAGTTTCCGTGAAGAAAAAATATTAGAATAATTTGCTATACGTATATGATATCAGATACATACTGTACGTTATACTAAAATGTTGATCGCTGGGTTATGGGTAAACATATAAGTCAAAATCTTTAGTGTACTATGCACAGAGTAATGCTATCTTTACTTACCTTGTGATTGATGTCAGTTCTTGTAAATGGTCTTGTGGTCTGACTTCAACTCGATTAGTGTGCCCTCGAACAGGTTAGGCCGGCACAGACACGTCTGCCTGGCTCAACTGTGTCACGTCATACAGAGGATGTTTCGAACATGGAAGGAGCTATTTTTTATGCATAAAATAATGCTAAAGTATCTTGATATGCTATGTATATTTGTTGGCATATGCATTTTGAAATTCATTCAAATTAGGGTCAACTTCCACTTGTTATATCATTTAACTAGAACCTCACTATTTATGTAGACTTTTTGTCAATATATCAGTTGTTTAACTTTTGACTCAGCTAAGTGGTGGCAATGACTGACTCTGGTTGTAGTGTTTCGTGTGTGTGTGTGTGTGTGTGTGTGTGTGTGTGTGTGTGCATCAGTGACTGGCTGTAGTGTCTCGCGTGTGTGTGTGTGTGTGTGTGCGCGCGCGCGCTTCAGTGACTGGCTGTAGTGTCTCGTGTGTGTGTGTGTGTGTGTGTGCATCAGTGATTGGCTGTAGTGTCTCCTGTGTGTGTGTGTGCGTGCATCAGTGATTGGTTGTAGTGTCTCGTGTGTGTGTGTGAGAACTTCGTGTTTTCTTTTTTCCTTGTGGTTATCAGCATATACCTGGATCATGCGCACCTACAGTGATTTACTTGCATATATATATATATATACAGTGAACCCTCACTTTACGCAGTTAATTCAACCCACGGCGGCCCGCGTAAAGTGAAAACATAACATATGGGATTAATTGAAATAGAGACCGGGCCGACCCCCAAACTCCACTTTTTCAGACACAATACCTACGTTGTAGTAAAAATAGCTTCTTAATTTTATGATGGTATGCACACACAATTAATAATTAAGAGAAATATCAATAATATTAGGTTTTTTAACACTTACATTAGTAGAAAAGATGGCTAGGCACATGGGGATGGGGGGTTGGTTCCGAGGTAGAGGGCTGATTATTGGCCCTCACCTGTATCACTTGTATCAATTGTATCACTATCCACCACAGAGGCTTGCAGGGCGTCTTTGTCAAACCCCTCAAAGTCCATATAAGTCCATATCCTCACTATCACTGACTTGGGCCGGCTGTGGTGGGTGGCGGGTGAAGAACTTGGTAATGTTTTGATGACGGGGCGACCTTGTGCGCACCCTGCTCGCGCTGCTCTCCGCGTAAATGGGTACACACACCGCGGAAAGTGAGCATTCCGGTTTCGGCAGGGTACCGCGTAAACGTGGAAACGCGTAATGTGGGACCTCGTAAACCGAGGGTTGACTGTATATATATATATATATATATATTTACACGCGCACAGTGATCCCTCGGTTAACGAGCAATCCCTCGATTAACGAATTTCTTATGAGCGCCCCTCAACGTGTTTTCGCTTGCATTTGGCGGCCCACCAGCTGTAGTATTAGTCCGCCAATACAGTAATAGGTTCTAGGGCATACATTCCTTACTATTTTAGTAAATAACAAGAAGATTGTACTATTCAATAATTTTAAAAGTTTTATATTAAATTTTTTTGTTATTTTAACAATTATTGAACATAATTGAAGTATAGGAAGCTAGTTTTTTGCGCGCCAAACAGCCTGTCAACACACCGTACAGGCGTCTGTCTCTGTGTCTTTTCAGTGGAGGTAACATCTTGCTTCAGACTCTTCAACATAAATGCTTTTTTTCTGTGTTTCCAAGCAAATTATTAGCCATTTTGAAATATATTTTACATATTGATGATATATAGCGCAGTACAGTGTTGATTTAAAGAAAATAGTCTTTAATTACAGCAATTAAACTTAAAATATCACGTGTTGAAATTGTTTTTTAATCCAGCATGGGTCCCAAGAAATCAAGAAAAACGATTTCAATCCAAGTGAAACAGGAAATTATTAAGAAACATGAAGAAGGCATTAGAACAAATGTGCTTAATAAAGAATATGGCATGTCGACATCAACTGTGTCGACAATTCCTGCACAGAAAGACAAATTCAATGAAGTGAAAGTGAGAGACAAATCTACCAGAGTGTTCAAAGGTAGATCCCTAATAGCAGAAACAGAGAGGTTACTTCTCATCTGGATTAGGGAAAAACAGATGAAAGGTGATTCAGTTTTTACCTAATTTATTTGTGAAAGATCCAGGGAGATTTACGAACATTTAAAGACAGATCAACCTGGTTCTTGAGGCACAGAATTCGAAGATTTTAGGGCCAGCAAGGGCTGGTTAAAAAAAATAAGAAAAGAAGTGACATTTTTCATGTAGTTTGGCATGGTGAGGCTGCTAGTGCTTTTAAGGAAGGAGCAGCCAAATTTTTAGAGTAGTTTAAAGAACTGATGGATGAAGAAAATTATCTTCTACACCAAGTGTTCAATGTGAACGAAAGTGGGCTGTTTTGGAAGAAAATGCCCAAAAGAACATTCATCACCAGAGCTGAAGCCTCTTTACCTGGGCATAAACCCATGAAAGACCGTATCACTCTATTGCTTGGTGCCAATGCTTCATGGGATTTCCGACTGAAGCCTATGCTTGTCTACCACTCTGAGAACCCCAGGGTGTTCAAGCAACAGAAAGTGGTGAGAGGACGGCTTGGAGTTTATTGGAAGTCCAACCGTAAGGCATGGGTGACAAGACAGCTATTTAATGAATGGGCTGTTGAGGTGTTTTGCCCTTGTGTGAAAAGCTACCTAACCACCAATAAACTCCCTTTAAAGGCTCTTCTCTTTAAGGATAATGCCCCTGGTCATGTCCCTCAACTTGCCAGCACTTTGGAGTCTCAATTTGACTTTGTGAAAGTGTTGTTTTTGCCTCCCAACACTACATCAATCATACAGCCAATGGACCAGAATGTGATCAGCGACTTCAAGAAGCTGTACATGAAGAAAATGTGTAGGTGTTGTTGTAGCGTACCGTATGTGGCCAGTTGTCAATTATCTTAGTATGGGCTCACAAACGTACGTACATGTAGACATCTCACACTCAGGAATGAGTTAGAATAGAAACTCACAATGCACTTTTTGTATATATATTGTTGTATAGCGCAGTGCTTAGGAGTGACTAGGTGGAGAAGCTTGCTCAGAGGTCTTGTAGGGCGAGGAGGTTTCTGAGGAAGCTGGGTGGTGAGGAGCTGTGAGAGATGTTGCTGGTCCGGTAGCCGAGTGTAGAATGGTCTCCCTGGCCAGGCATGGCCGTATTTATACAATTTACGAGGATCAGGATTTGGGGTGAGCGTAGCGAGAGGGCCAATCACAGCGGCTTAAGTGTAAGGTGTGAAACGCTCTGATTCTGAGCTGGAGGTTGAAGGTCGAGACTAGGTCGGCGATCGTACCCCTACGTCCACTGCATAGACCTAGTCTCTCGGCGTAGCTGGCTGTACGCTGATTGGCTGGTTGGCGCGCGGCCGGAGCTCAGTTGGGAGTTGTAGGGGAGAGGAGCCACTACAGTGTCATCAGGCAACTTCCACTGATCCTGATCTAACACTGTCACAGTTCTGGAACACACAATACAACATCCTGGAGGCTGTAAAATTGATTGTGTCATCATGGCAAGAAGTCTCCACTAGATCCCTCAATTCTTCATGGAAAGCACTGTGGCCATCAGTAGTCCATGATTTTGAGGGATTTGAGGAAGAAGCAGAGTTGGACCAGGAGATTGTGTCCATTGGTCAGTCATTGGGCCTTGAAGTGGAGGAGGATGATGTAGAAGAGCTTGTGATGTCTCATGAGGAGGAACTTACTCCTGATGACTTGCGGCAACTGGATGAGATGTTAGAGGCTGACAATGATTTAAAAGATGTTGTTCACCACTGGGAGAAGTTCAGGAAACTGGCTTCAAGGCACCCAGATGTTGAAAAATCAGAACTAGCTTTGTGTAATGTTGAGGACTCAATGGTCTCCTTCAAACATCAGTTAATGATGAGGAGAGATGCCCCACAGGCAAAAATTGACACTTTCTTCAGTAAAAGGTAGAGGGAACAAGATGCTAGCCTTCAGCCTTCCACTTCAAGGAGGAGAGAGGATATTCTTGGTGGAGAATCTGTCAGTCCAGAGGTTCCTGACATTTTCATGGAAGGTGACTCACCTTCCAAGAAGCAGTAAAATGCTTCTCCTCCCCCTCCACTTCCTTCTCTTCTCCCTTCTCCTCCCACTTCAAATTCACATCAGCATCATCATCCAGGAGCATTCTACATACACACCTCAAAGTAAGTGTACTTTACTACCTTTTTTGTTGAATTTAGGCAATTTTCGGTGAGCTGGAACCATTTACCCAAAAACCCATTGAAACAATGGTTTCGGTTAACAAATTTTTCAGTTTAACGAGCAACCTTCTGGAACGAATTGTGCTCGTTAACCGAGGGACCACTGTGTGTGTATCCTGGTACATGTGAAGAAAATTCACCGCACATTTATCCTAATTTAAATTCTCTATTTTCAGCCAGGTAAATTAAGATCGGAAGCACTTCCCATGACTTACACTAAGAGAGATTAAGAAATTGAAAGTCAAAATGAGGAAAAAATTAAAAGGAAAAATAAAGATGGAGAGAAACGGTCTAGGGACAATTACTGTAAGCCATCTAGAACTGATCATATCCAATCACCACAAGGAAACCTAAAAAGATATGTGGCAAAGAGAAAGTTGTTTAAGTTTGGTGAAGTGGCAAAACTTACTCCACAAGCTCTCTTCGTTAGGAATGGAGTTGGAAGTGCCATCATACAACATAAATTCTTGAGTAGAAGAATCAATTCAAGTTCTGAAGAGGAACAAAAGAAATGCACTTCAGATGAGGCTAGTGCAAGGAGCCCTCATAGACCACAAGAACAGAGCCCTCATAGTCCACAAGAACAGTCATTACTTAGAGCAGATATATCCCTAGAAGAGGAAAATTTACATAGTAACTCTGGAGAAAATATTGATATAACTGTTATTGAAAGGTCACACATGAGTGATGGGGAAGGAAGTGGTGTGGATTATTCTAGAAATCAGCCAGTAGCCAACAAGAGCCTCTCAGATTTAGAAGATGATATTTCTAGTACAAAAATTAATGACAGATCCATGTCTCCAGTCACTTTCAATTGGTGCTATGTGGTGAAGAATCAATGATGATTATGGGGTGTACCTTTGGTGGTCCACCTGACATGGGTATGTGTGTGAGGCCAGTGTGTTCTTGTTATTTTTCTGAGTGGTGGTGTTGTTGGTCTAATTTTTCATCTTATTTTTGTTATTATTACTACTACAGTAGAAGTCCAAAAATCCGGACTGCTTGGGGATTGGGTCGGTCCGGATTTTCCAGATTCTCGGGCAGTACTTTTAAAATTCAAATTTAAGGAGGAATAAAGAAGAGATTTTTAGGTTTATTTTGATAGTTTATTCATTAGCAAATATAGCATGCTTCATTTATCAAAACGAGCAGTTTTAAAGAAAAAGCTGTGGATTCTATAATTTTATTCTTTGCCTTTTTTATATCATAAATTGTAGACTTTCCAATGTCGCCTGTTTCTATTAGAGCAGTATTGCTCACTCCACATTCCAGTTTCTTAATTATTTCAAGTTTGTCACTCATTTTCAACGTGTTCTTCTTTCTCTTCACACAACGAAGTTTATTTACTTTAGGAGCCATTATTATGGGCTTGTACAGTACTCTGTAAATGGAAAGAATAGGACTCAAAATCACATACGTCGTCAGTTTGATTGCTTGTTTTAAAGTGGCGACCGCGAGGTCGTTTGTTGTCGCTGTGCAGCTGTGGCGCTCACGCATGCGCACATACACAAAAGCCAGCTAAATATATATATATATATATATATATATATATATATATATATATATATATATATATATATATATATATATATATATATATATATATATATATATATATATATATATATATATATATATATATATATATATATATATATATATATATATATATATATATATATATATATATATATATATATATATATATATATATATATATATATATATATATATATATATATATATATATATATATATATATATATAAGTTTGAGTTTTTGAAAAGTCTGGATTTCTGGCATCCGGATTTTTGGAATTTTACTGTACTACTACTACTACATGTATAAGGCAAAATAAAGTATAAGAAAGTATAGATGAACTTTATTATAACTCAAAGATATAATTTCTATTCTTGAACTCTTGTCAAAATGGAATTTGTGATATAGTAATGAAGTTATATACTTTTACTTTTATCCTCTTCGCCACTGATCGGCTTGTTAGCCGCTTGGGCGATCGGTCACGTCTCTTTTCCTTTATATTCTTCACCAAAAGGTCGGCTCGCTAGCCGCCCGGGCGATCGGTCACATCTCTGTCACGCACTGTTGGCAAATACTGGGCATGCACCGGCTCCTGAATGTACCTGAACCCGCTCCAGTGTTGGTCAAGTCTTCTCTTGAAAGAGCTCACACTCGGTGCCGTCACAACACTCTCTGGTAGGTTTTCCAAGAGTTTACAACCCTCACTCCGAAAAAGTTTGCCCTCACGGTTTTCTGGACTTGCGGCTTCTTCAATCTTGAGCTGTGACCCCTTGTGGGGCGAGCGTCCGCCAGCTCCAAGTAAGGACACTCAACTGAGTAGTGCCCCCTGAGATGCTTATAAACCTCAACTAGGTCCCCCCTTGCCCGTCTGTAGTATAAGCTAGGCAAGTTCAGGCGCTCCAATCTCTCAGGGTAGCTGAGATGCCGAAGTGCAGGCACCAGTTTGGTGGCCCTCCTTTGAACATTTTCAACCAACTGACAGTCCCTAGCATATCTCGGGGACCAGATGGGGTGACAGTACTCCAGATGGGGAAGCACTTCACTCCTGAAGATCGTCACGAGGGACGGACCGTCTAGATATCTGAACGACCTTCTTATAAGACCCAATAATTTATTTGCCTGATTTACCTTCTTCTCACAATGGCCCGAGAACTTCAGCTCATTGTCAACATACACACCTAGGTCCTTCTCACACACAGTCTCAACTAGTACATTTTCTTCATCCCGTTGGGACATATGGTATGCCTCCTTACCGTTGGTACGCCCCAGGTGCATCCTCTTACACTTCGTGACATTGAATCTCAGCAGCCATTCCTTCGACCATTCCTGGAGCCCACAGAGGTCCTTCTGCAGCTCTTCACAGTCCTCTTGGTTCTTAATTTCCCGAAATAACTTGGCGTCATCGGCCCTTTGAGATGTTTATGCACCTCAATTATGTCTCCCCTTGCCCGTGTGCAGTTCCAGGCCCTCTAATCTCTCAGGGTAGCTGAGGTGGTGTAGTGCAGGCACCAGTCTGGTGGCCCTCCTTTGGTCTAATATATCATTCTACTGCTGTGTGATGGTCTAGTATATTATTCTACTGGTGTATAAAAGTCGAGCATATCGTTCTACTAGTGTATGAATGTGTCCTGCATCATTCTAAGGACCCTGTAGCCTATAGTATATACCTTGACTCTACTCAGGCGTTTAATAGAGAACCGCAAAAAGGGCTGAACGATTAAATAAAAAGGAGGAGAATTCAGGCAAATTTGTTCATGGCTGCCATTAGTATGCTATGATTAATGGCGCAAAATCGTCAATTGTGTGTCCATGATAAATGAGGTCTCAAAAGCAGTGTGATGGGATTAATGTGGCTCGTTAGTTCCATAAAAAAATATGCTCAATGCAATTCAGTTCAGCTTTTTTCTTCACAAATACAGACAACTCCAAGCTGTAGCCAGGACACTTAAAAATAGAACTGACTTAATGTGAAATATTATAGGAAAATATATATCGGCTTCAAGAGTGGTCAGAGGATGCATGTAGGTCTTGGTGTTAAAAATATCATTAACTGAAAATAACTGTGGTAAATAAACTTGTAGAATTTATAAGAAGATTTTGTATATATCTCAACTTTGTTCACTCTGAGCTAGCAACAAGGTTAAATCAAAGGTCTACTGGTGGTGGGGTGATGACAGGAAACACCGCTGATCGTTTTTAAACTTTATCTTTTTCACTCATAAGATATCTACGTTAGGGGGCAGTGAAATTTTGCTCAAAGCTGCACTCTTCAGGCATTGTTCCTTATACATATCTAAGACTCCATGCCAAATTTGAAGCTGATATGTCGAGGTTTAGTCTGCCGCATTTTCTACTGAAATTTTTAAATTTACCTACAGTACTAGCCAAACAGCCGCTGTGGCGGTGCAATGTTCTGTACACGTAAACAGGCAAGGAAGAAAGGGATATAACCTATCATAAACAAACAGGAGAAAAACAAACACTCAAACAGGGATAGAAAACACATGTAAACAATCAAATAAACAAAAACACGCAGAAAAACATCTTCTCTACACACACACACACACACACACACACACACACACACACACCCCGTCGTAAAAATATAACATTCATCCTGGAAAAAAAAACACTTGCGGACACCCACCAATATAATCATGCCATAAAACCCTTGGTAATAGTAGCATTTATTTTTTCCTAGTACGAACGAGACGCGAAAGTGGGAGGGAGGGAGAAGGTTTGAGTGGGTGGGAGGGAGAGAAGGAAGGAAGGAGAGGGTTGAGTGAGTGGGAGGGAGGGAAGGAAGGAAGGAGAGGGTTGAGTGAGTGGGAGGAGAGGAAGGAAGGAAGGAGAGATTGAGTATCAGGAAAGGAAGAATGAGAAGGGGAGAGAGGTGAGGGGAAGGAGGGAGAGGTGAGAGGGAAGGAGGGAGAGGTGAGGGGGAAGGAGGGAGAGGTGAGGGGGGAGGAGGGAGAGGTGAGAGAGAGGTAGACTCGCGTAAAGGGCTCAACTTTTACCACAAATTTCTTTAATGGCGGAGAAAGTATTTTGAGAGAGAGAAGGAGGGAGGGATAGAGGGAGAGTGTGAGGGAGGAATGGGAGGATGAGAGAGAGAGTGTGTGTGTGTGTGTGGGAGAAGGAGGGAGAGTGAGAGGGAGAAAAGGTGTAAGGGAGAATAAGAGAGAGAGTGTAACTTATTGTGGGTTATCTTACTGAGAGAGAGGGAGGAGAGAAAGAGAGAGCAGAGTGAGAAAGAGAGTGAAAAGGTGAGAGAGAGAAAGAGAGAGAGAGGTATGTTTGTGTTGGGATAAACTTGTGTTGACGTTTTTGTAAGTGAACTCGGATTCCTGTTCGTGAGTTGAACATTTATTATTTCGTATGTATAATGTTTTATGTGTACGGTCTCTCTCTCTCTCTCTCTCTCTCTCTCTCTCTCTCTCTCTCTCTAAGTCTCACAGTAGGTTATACAACTCATAATAAGTTATTGTCTGTCGTGAGGTGTGTATTGACGTTGTGATGTGTAGTAATGTTACGTAGAATGAGTTTCTGTGTGTGTGTGTGTGTGTGTGTGTGTGTGTATCTATCTCACACACACTCAGGATCTGCCAACTACCAACACCTTTAAGGCCTCATCTTCATGGAGATTAACCACGCCCTCATGTGCCAAGTCTATGAAGACCCTCGAGTAGGACTTGAGAAGGAGGCACTTAAGAGATGGTGAAGATTAAGTGTGTGTTACTGCAGCCACGTACAGTATAAAGGACTTTTCTGCAGATGTGTGTGTGTGTGATAGATAGATGCACACACACACACACACACACACGAAATTCTTCACTAACAGAAAAACTAAATAAACAGACTAATTGTCTTCATCAGATGTTCCCTCATGCAAACGGGGCAGCGTGTCCTATTTTAATAAGTTGTTGATCCAATATAGAACATAATTTTTCTAGGCCAAATTATTGTTTATAAAGGATAATTATTAACTATGTAAGGGTAATCTTACAGTTTTTGCCCAACTGTGAAAACACCGGACAGGCTGTCTCCTCCCTCTATATTATGATCTATATTGGATCAACAACTTAATAAAATAGGACACGCTGCCCTCTCCTGTAGATGTAGGATTTAGAGAAACTTTCTGTTTCTTGTCTATATTTCGGTTGGTGAAAATAACTTGGTCAAGCGGCGCGGGAAAATGAAGAAGACAAGAAGGCGGAGTGGGCCGCCGCTAAGACGAGCCACAACTTTGGTTCTCGATTTCTACTTAACGCTTTCCTTGACTTTCTATTTTTAATATTACTTTAGAAAATTTAGAGTTCACAATTCAGAGTTGGAATTTTTGTTGTGGAAAGATCAGAAAAATTATCAAAATAGGAAAACTAAAGTGTTGTTGAGCGTGTCTTGTGATGGAACAGTGATCATAACAGTGTCGCGACATAATAAAGTGCTTAATGATAAAATACTACAGGTACTTTATAATAGTGATTATTATTTAAGTGTTATAAGTGATGTAAAGTGATTATTGAAGTGAATTAAGTGGTGATGAGAGTTAAGAAGTGACACTTGACGACTTCAGCCTCGGTAAGTATTATACGCCATTGTTTTATTTATTTTTAGTGATAAACACGTCCCTTCCAGATATTTAAACGTAATAAAAAGCTTAATAATATTACAAGAATATGAATAATCTGATAATATAATAGATTGTATAATTTCCAAGGGTGCTACTTAATATGAGTAGGTTATTTTTCAATGGATTTAGCTGAATAAGTAATTACGTATAAAATTTAACCAATATTTACAATTAACAACAAAACTATTACCATTAATTTGGGTCATTTTATGTTACACTTGTTAGTTTCTGTGATATGAAGATAATTTAGTAAGTGGTTTGGAATTATCTGCTGAAATTAGTAGTAATAAAAATGAAGTTGGTTATTATTTAATATAATTTCGGGTTATTCAGTTGTGTTAAGCGAAATTTAGTGATTTGAGTTTAGAAAATAAAGAATCGTGAATAATTCTTAATTAATAAGTATTCAGTAAAACCTTGTAGGAAAGATATGTTAACATATCGTCCGCTTGTCTGTTGACTAATAACGGATCTACAGGAGAGGGCAGCGTGTCCTATTTTAATAAGTTGTTGATCCAATATAGAGCATAATTTTTCTAGGCCAAATTATTGTTTATAAAGGATAATTATTAACTATGTAAGGGTAATCTTACAGTTTTTGCCCAACTGTGAAAACACCGGACAGGCTGTCTCCTCCCTCTCCGTCTCCTCATTTCTCTTGAAATAGAAAGACAGATTAGCCGAAATATAATGAATTAAAACTTTAGTAGCCAAAATATTCTTGGTGGAATTATTTCCTTTGAGTCTTTATGATTTATTCTTTTCATGGTATCAGTTTACAATGTTTATATAGGCTCTAGGTTTTTATGTATAGTTACGGGGCGCCAAACCTCCTTGTATCTAACATTAATTTATGTTTCTTACAGGTTCGGAGTTCTGGTCTGTGCTGTAGGCTGTAAGGTAAGTAAACTGTTGATTTCAGAGATTTGTGATAGGTGACATTATTCTAGGGTCCAGTTTGGATAGCTATATAAATTTTGCCTTCATTTGAAATTAAAAATAACGTAAATGTAATAAGTAAATGTTCGGGTTTCATTAATTATTTTACTGAGCCAAAAACTGTAAATACCGAGCCTTGATATGTCTGGGAGCAATCTTTATTTATATATTTTTTTGCATGCATCTTATTAACATGTTGCCCGTCAGTATTGGGAACCTTGCGGTGGTAATGTCAGGTACTGGGGCGAATCAAGGCTTGTAGCCCTAATAGGTTTAAGGTTAGGTTAGATAAGGTTAGGGCTCCCTGTTTAGTATCACTAACTCACAACTAGTCCTTTATATTGTAGATGCACCGTAGCTTCTTTTCCAGGTGGAGGTAAGGTTTTTATATGGTACAAATGTAACTTTTTTGTTCAAGTTTAGATGAGGTACATAGCTGTGTTTTTTCTGTTCACCACAAAAGGAAAGTTAATTTTAGATGAAGTTAGTTCAAGTCTTTTATTCAATACAACTTAAATGCAAAGTTTCTTTTCAAGTTAGATAAAATACATAGCTGTGTATTTCATTGCAATATGTATTGTTGTTTTTTCAGTTGAAGATAATATTGAGATGTAATTCTTTCTATTTAATTCATATGCAAAGGTTATTTAAAGTGAAGGTAAGGTTCATGTATTAATTTTAGTGCATTATTTCTTTTTTTTTCAGATGAAAATAATATTGACAAGTATTTTTTCTATTTAATTTCATATGCAAAGCTTATTTAAGGTTAAGGTAAAGTTCATGTATTAATTTTAGTATTAATTTTTTTCTTATTTCAGATGAAGATGAGTACTAACCGATATGTATTTCTTTCAATGTGACAATGCATTTTTTACAGGTGTTAGTACTGTAGAGTACTTAGTCGACTTTGTGTACATTATTAAATTTATGCTTTCAGATTTGTTGTAAAATTTGTTTGGTTTCCTTTACGTTTTGTGGGTGTTCCTTACGGTTTAGTTGTTGTACAGTACATTACAGTTTAGCTGCTGTACAGTTCATTACGGTTAAGTTGTACAGTTCATTATGGTTTAGTTGCTGTACAGTACATTACGGTTTAGCTGTTGTACAGTACATTTCGATTTTAAAAGTGTAAGTGGCTGCCCTTAGTAACCTTATCGGCAGACAGTTATAGTGTCTGTCATTGACCTTCCCTGGCAGACTAGTAGGTTTTAGTGTGTCTGCCATCGACCTTCCCTGGCAGACTATTTGGTTTTAGTGTCTGCCATCGACCTTCCCTGGCAGACTATTAGGTTTTAGTGTCTGCCATCGACCTTCCCTGGTAGACTAGTAGGTTTTAGTGTCTGCCATCGACCTTCCCTGGCAGACTATTTGGTTTTAGTTTCCGCCATCGACCTTCCCTGGCAGACTATTAGGTTTTAGTATGTGTAATCGACCTTCCATGGCAGACAATTAGGTTTAAGTGTCTGCCATCGACCTTCCCTGTCAGACTATTAGGTTTTAGTGTCTGCTATCGACCTTCCATGGAAGACAATTAGGTTTTAGTGTCTACCATCGACCTTCCCTGGCAGACTATTAGGTTTTAGTGTCTTCCATCGACCTTCTATGGCACACACGTAAGATCTTTTGCATGTCTTCCATCGACCTTCCATGGCAGACACGTAAGATCTTGCATGTCTGCCATCCACTGATCTTGGGAAACATACAATTAATCTCATTTTTTCCATTGGATATCCTTGGCAGACAATTAACCTATTTGAGTTTCGACCAGCAACCTTCCGTGGCAGACACCTTGGTTCTTCAGTCTGCCATCAACCTTCCGTAGCAGACACCTTGGTACTTCAGTCTGCCCTCGAACCTTCCGTGGCAGACACCTAGGTATAATTCCAGGTGAGTTTCATTGTCACTAATTACAGGTATCACAGGTAAATAAGTAAAAGTCAGGTAGAGTTGAAGATAATGGACTTTATTTTCTTTCGTGTTAATGGGGTGAGGATCGGTTAATAATGGGTGGGGTGATTTTTAATGGGTCGTGGCTAATGGTGTTTGTCTTTCGTGGGATCTATACGTCAGTCGTGTGTGTAACATCTTCCCTCTGACATACCTTCCTTTCCCCCTTACACTCCCTCTTTCTTCTTCTCACTACCTCCCTCCCCTTCTCACTACCCCTCCTTCTCTCCCTCCCGTCTTCACTACCCCTCCTTCCCTCCCTCCCGTCTTCACTACCTCCCTTTTCTCTCACTTCCTCTCTTTCAGCCGTGCTGTCTCGGGTTATATTTGTTTTCTTGGTCTAGAAAATTTCTGAGTCTGTGGTTAATCGTCTCCCTGGCCAGCTACGCCCGTATTTATACAATTCTGAAACATCAGGATTTGGGATGCGCGTAGCGCGAGAGCCAATCACAGAGGAGAATGCCAGAGGTACCCGGCACTCTGATCCTGGCGTTGCTACGTGTGTGTCTGCATTGTGGAGTAGGTCTATCCCAAGGTAGGTAGATACCTACCTTGGTCTACCCAAGGTAGGTGTCTACTTACCTTGGGTCTACCAGCGTGGCTGGCTGTACGCTGGTAGACGCGCGGGAGCTCGTCGTCATTTGTAGGGGATGGGATCCACTACAAAGGATTATTATTATTATTATTATTATTATTATTATTATTATTGTTGTAGATTTTCCAAAAATATTTTCACAGAGGTATTATAATGTCTCGTACTTTGATATTTCCCAAAATATTTCTCTACGAAGACATTTCCCGAAATATTTCCTCGTGTTGGCAAGTCTCCCTTGAGTGAAAGTTGCCAATTGGTCTTTTCACCAATGTAAACAACACCTCATAACTGTGTCTTATTTCTTCGTCCAATAGTGTATGTAGTAATGGCAATTTATACTTTGTGTGACGAATGTGAACGATAATTATTGGTACATTGTTTTGCCAGTCAAGAGCCTCCAATTATATAGTAGATGAACCTGCGATGGTTGTATGGAGGGAATCTCGCCTCTCTCTCAACATGTCCTCAACAAACTCTGCAACTTGTTTGCAATATCAGACGAGATAGGTGAACTATGCAAACAACAACAACGGTCAATATGTGGTGTAGAACTGTAGATTCTCCAGCGCTTTTCCTAAAAATTGCTCCTCCATTGTACCCATCAATTTAGTGAGTGAGGCTCACACTGGACAACACCCTTCTCACGTGTGTCTCAGCCTAGGCCCTTGACAAATTAGTGAGTTAGACGCCTTACCGCTGTACAACCAACACCAACTAATTTTTTGCACTAATTTGCTGGAAAATAGAACTAAGAGATAAAAATATACGTAGATAAATAGGAAGTAACAGACACATACATACTAAATATACAGTATAGATACTGTTTATAGATAATTAGGTGTAGTAAATAAGGAGGTAAAATATAGAGTACAGTAACTTTAAACATCTGATGGATGTCATGTTAAAATAGTACTAAAACAAAACCGCTAAATTTTTTAATCAAATGACCGTATTTTCCCTTAATGATCCTTTAGTGATTTAGATATAATTTTATAATTAAATAATTTATTTTTTAATATCTCTTTCGTGTTAATTTTTAATATGTTTGTTTTAAGCTATAAAAAAAGGAAGTAAAGGGAGGCAAAAAAATCGCGAGAAAAATTTATTTTAATAAACTCACTTGACTAAAAATACCTTAGAATATTTTAGTAAAGGGTTAAGTTTAATCTAATTGTGTTTTTTAATATAAAGCGATGATGGTCGTGGTAATTTTGTAACAAACATCAAGCAGCTCATTCCAGTTGTCTTGGCAACAGAGTAATTACTCATCTAACGTTATCTTACTTCATTTATTTACTCAGGTATGATTATTCTTACATATTTTAGAGTATATCAGGTTTTATCATAATGACAGGTGTTAGACAGATGGTAACTGGCATGTAAGCATTACCTAATATGTTGTTATTATCACTATGTCATGTCTTATTTTGTTCATGATTTGTTATTTAATGTTATTGTTATTTATGTTATTAAGACGTAAATTTCTATAGTGGGAGAAATTTACTGACTATTTTATATACTTTTTGTTTTTTATGATTCACAGGTATTGGGGTTATATGTTTACCCTACTTTTATCCTCGTTAGCCGCTTAGAGCCAAACATTAATTACAGGTATATCAACAACCTTACCTGACCTGATAAACATTCGGAAAAAGTGTACCACGGAACTCTATATTGATTTGTATGTAGAGAGACCGAGCAAAAAATATGCTATAGAGTTCCGTGGTTAACCTTTCCCTAATCTTTACCCCTTACCTAACCTAACCTGACCTACAGAACCTTTTGATATTAATACATTAGAATTAAGGATGTTAGGTTAGTTTTTTTCAGTAGTTCGTTCCTCCAGGTTTATGTGATGTAAAATACTGGCGAGCCTAAGCACTGCTTTGTCTACTTCATATTAAAATAGAGACATTACGAAATATTACTGCATTGATATATGATTTAATTTGCACTAAAATCACTAACTTTCGGAAATATATTTAACTGAAAATGACTCATTCCTTACCTTAAACAAATCGCAATTACCTTTTATGATGGGGAACTGCAGTTTCAGTATTTTCTGTTTGTCAACTTTATTATTATCCTTAACACTAAATTTTATCCATCTATAACGACACGATTATACTTTTATTATATACCTGACACACTTGCAGGTGCCTTTTGATATACGAATTCTTCCATCAACTGTTACCTTATATGATTTATATAACAAGATGAATCAACCTAACCTTCCTGTCTTAACCTGAATGAAGTATTTTATATTATTGTACAAAGTGGTTGTTATACTGTATTGTACATTAATGTAATACAGTGCATTACAGAACCTTGTTCCACTTACAGTAAATATAAAAAATGGTATCCAAGAACTTGCTTTCATTAATCCACTTGTGTCATTTTGATGATTCTGTCCGAAAAGTCCCTTCGCACCTGCAAAAATTAATTAATGCAGTATTTTTCTGTTCCCACAGGATTGTTGAATTCGTAGATGAAAATGGCTCTGTCTCTCGAAGCAAGGACGTTCATAGTGGAATTTGTATTTAGAAGTGCGGGACAATACACAGAGGAAGTGCAACGAAGGTTTGCAGAAAAATTTCCAAACATTCAGGTACCGCACCGCAACACAGTCAGGCAGTTGATAAAAAAGTTTCGTGACACCGGCTCAGTCGCTGATGCACCAAGATCTGGCAGGCCGTCAGTGCTCACACAGGAAAAATTAGAGGATTTATCTGATCACATATTACAGAGCCCAAAAAATTCTGTTCGTAAATTGGCACAAGAAGCCGGAGTTTCTTATGGAAGTGTACAGAGAGCTCTTAGGAAAGACCTGCTCTTTCACCCGTATAAATTAACGTCGGTGCACGAACCAAAAGAAAGAGACGATGATAAACGTATGCAATATTGCAGGTGGTTCACAAATGTTATTGCTGATAATGGTGAAAACATTTTGGACGTTACATAGTTTACAGTAGTGTTAATTATTGCTGCTGCTGCTGCACTGTTTGATAACCCTCTGTGTGGTATGTGGTGTGTTTTACAGTGGTAAGAGCCATTTTTGGAATCGCACAAATATTAACCCCCAGCAGATTTCACCTTAAGGTTAAACTCCCAAATGCTAACCTTAACTAACCCAACCCCAGGTAGCATTAGGGTGTTTAATCATCTGGTGAAATAAGCTGAGGTGGCTGATCTTTGGATGTTCTTTTTGTTATTAGTTTATGTATTTTACTTTATTTTTTAGAATGATAAGATTTCAGAAATTTAGGTAACGTCGGTAATTTTTGTTTTGATTGGCAGGAGTGACGATGCCGTACCTGGAGATTGCCACCAATCTTACCAAGGAGAAAATAACTCCAGAGATCCTGACTAACCTTAGTAAGCTTCTCAGTGCTATACTGGGCAAGGCAGAACAGGTAATTGTGAATTTTGAAGTAAAGTTTTAAGTACTGTACTGTATACAGTTCTGTATGTAAGATTTCAGTTATTGTATTTTCAAATGTCAGAATAGACAATACTGTACTGTACTGTACTGTAGTTTGAAACACTTGACTGAATTTTCAAATCCTTAGAAATTTTTGTGTAGGTTTCATAGAGAAAGAATATTCATATCACTTGATGCTTAGACACCCCAGCTTAATTCACGTGATGATCAGTAAACATGCTAACACCTGCGTATTTAAGAGGGAGGGCCATGTCCCCCTCTATATATATATACTGTATATCACTGCACTATCCCTCATGCTATGTAGAGAGGTAACATTAAATTAGGTTACCTCGTGAAATAAGCTGAGCTGGACAACGCTCCAATAAACTTCATAAACAGAACCTCAGTATTATTAAAAAAAGATTATATAAACTGTAATAGTGATCCTTGGGAAGTTTTAGTTATGACTAATTACTGTAACCTATTAAAAATTTGGTGTGGTTTTGGAATAGAAAAAGGACCTTGAATGGATAGGTTTGATTACCTCAGAGAATAGCGACCTTGCCTCACCAGCTAAGAGGGCACTTGGAAGTCCTACATTTAATACTCGGTTCCCATTCTGAAAGATTAGTTTGACGATGGAAGGCATTCCAGCCATAAAACTTGCCTGGTGACTCCAAGTGATGATGATGAAGATGTTGAACTTAAAAATAGCTTGAATCATATTATTTTATATAAAATATATTGCCAGTTGTTGATGACCTTTTGAGGCAGCGTGTAAAACTATTTGACCTGTCATGTACAGTAGCAGATAAAAGTTCGCTCCCGTGGTAAACCGAGTCACGGGAATGAGTCTCCGAACTGACCTAATCATACTGTCATCTGGTGTGGGTGTGCTGTTTTATCTCATTTGGGGTTGATGCTGCTTCATTTAGGGAGAGAGCGAAGCTTTTTCCCTGACTGTACACTGATGTTTGGTTTTCCTGTTGAAATAAAACTAACTTGTATACTGTACAGTGCTACAATTACTGTGTAATGGATTGTGGTGGCAGAGTGAACACAATACTGGGCTTCCTAACCTGAGGATCTTTGGTTTGTACCCTGGGCACCCTCGGCCAACCCAGCTGTTAATGGGTACCTAATTTACCAGTTGGGAAGTGAACATGGTTGAATATAGTGCCAGCCGCACTGCTACCTTGTGTACTGGGGACATAATATTCCTTTTGCTGTATGCTTATGGCACCCTCTTACCCACTTCTGTATTACTATTGCAATTCTCGGGCAGGGTGAAACTATGGGCAAGTTTCTCTATGCCATTTGCCTCTGTCTACCCAGCAGTAATTGGGAACCTGGATGTTAATTGATATGCAGTTTGTGTTCTAGGGTAATGGTTAGCCAGTGCAGTTACTGAGTTGTCCAGTCTACTTGGACTATTCCTTGACACTGGGTCATGCAACTTGTGAACATAGGGTGTTGTTGTTGTTGTGTTAGCAACAGCTATTACAGCTTAAACAAATTCATACCTGGGTGGCCCAAGGGCTGGCCATCATCTAGCATGAGGGGCAACCATTATTATTAATATTCTAACACTAAAGCATCTCATCACTGATACTGGTTTGTTGTCATTCATATGTTACCTCAGGAAGCATCTTGCAAAATGTCTACTTTTTCATTGTGTTTCACAAATAAAAATGTTAGCTGGTAAACTGTCAGCAGTACTGTACCATGATTGATACTGTTCACATTGGACGTTATTACTCTACAGCATTTCTTGTAACGACTTGTACATAGCCAGTGTGTTATTGTGTATTTAACATTAAAAGGTTCATATCACTGATCTTAGTTATGTAATAAGCCTGATGATTAGACACCTTAATGCTAACCTAACTCCCGTAGTAGTGGTTAGGGTGTTTAATCATCTGGTGAAATAAGATGGGGAGCTTAATCTTCATGAGATCTGCAATAATGTCAGAGAAATTTCTTCAGTTGAAATGGGTGAATAACAATACCTCTAGTCTATTGTATTCACAGCTCAGACTTAAGGAAAAATTCTTCTCCTGTTTTATCATAGTTCATGAGAACATCCCACCTTGTCCAGTATTAACACAGGAGGAAACTGGAGAACATAAAGAAATCTTGCAATGTTTAGTAGTGTCACATTGGATAGCTTCCTTCTCGCATCTGTCCTGGGCCGGGATTGAACCCAGGACGTACGTATGCCACTGCTGTACAGTACAACTAACACCCTGTCAAACTTTTACAGTACTGTGTGGTGCGCGTCATCCCAGACCAGCTGATGACCTTTGGCGGCAGCTCTGACCCCTGCGCCACCGCTTTGTTAATAAGCCTGGGCAAGTTAGGTGTAGAGGAGAACAAGGGTCACGCTGCCAAGATATACGAGTTTGTGGAAAACTCCCTCGGGATACCAGGTGACAGGTGAGAGGACATGGTCTTGTGAGATGAAGCCTTGTAACTACTGTACTGTACTGTAAAGTACAGGGCAAGTGAGAACGAACTGACACATAATGTAATGGTCCCTGTTTTATAAACAGAAGAATTATACAAATGGGTTAATTACCAGGGCTATGAGGTGACATGTTCAGTTGATAACCACGGGAAGCTGCATCATATGCCGAGTTAAGGCATTAAGTAGCCGGCTCCCTGGCCACCTAAAGCGGGCAGTAGTTTGATATCCTTGACTAGAGGAAAACGTTATTTGAGAGCCATCGTGGATGGTTCCGTCTTCCCTCAAGGGAGGACGACGTGCCTATTTCGTTCTCCGTCGATGGGTCACTTCTCATATAAGTCCCACTCATAATCTCATAGACCGGAATGTTGTTACCCATTATTGATTTCTTTGATCGTTGTAACAGTAATATAACGGTTTCTTTGTAGATTCGCTGCCACGTATATAACAATTCTTCCTTGTAGTAGTAAATGTCACATATAACAATATCTTTGATTGCTATTTCATATTTACGTTCACGTTCCATATATGGGTTCTTCTTCTTCACCAGTATGCCACAGTAATGGGGAGAACATAATACCTCTACCTTTACCAACTGTGTATATGGTGAGATGACTGTTAGTGTGATATAACAGTTACTTGTGAAACTCTCATATATGCAACAACCTTCCTGGGTTGTCACCACTTGCAACAATCACTTGAGAAGCTATTTCGGATACACGTCCAGATGTAGATCAACTGTAACTTCCACTATTTATGAGTGTGAAGAGAGAGGAGGGCGGCTATGTAAATAGACCGTTTAATCACGTCCTTTCGATGTGAGATTATGAGTGGGACTTATATGAGAAGTGACCCATCGAGGGAGATCGGAATAGGCACGTCGTCCTCCCTCGAGGGAAGACGGAACCATCCACGATGGCTCTCAAATAACGTCTTCCTCTAGTCAAGGATATCAAACTACTGCCGGCTTTTGGTGGCCAGGGAGCCGACTACTTAATGCCTTAACTCGGCATATGATGCAGCTTCCCGTGGACACACGTTATCATGTGCACTGAACATGTCACCTAATAGCTAGTGGAAAGTTACAGGGGGTGAACCTGTTTATAAATCAAATGTAATTAACCCATTTATATAATTCTTCTGTTTATAAAATAGAGGCCATTACAATAACACTTCTACTGTACTGTATTTACTTCATACATGTGTATTGTTTAGTATAAAGTATGATGTATGTTGAGTAGTATATAGAGGGTGTCCCAGAAAAATGTCCCTAAAATAATTTTGCTCAGAAAAATACACTACACAAAACTTTTCATTTCTGTTTGCTTTATGTTAATGCCAAAGCCTGTAAGTTTACTTTAATGCCACATGTTCAATGTAAGCCCCTTTCCCACCAATCACTGCTTGTATTCTAACAGCTAATTGTTTGTCACTCCTGGGAAAGTTTCAAGTGGAATATTCTGAATTTCACATAGGATGTTGTTCATGAATTTTACCCAAGTTTAAAATACAGTATATCATTTAGTTCTCACCCAGCCTGTGTTACTTTCTTCAGCTTGTAATACTACACTGAGTGGTTAACAGATTATAAATATACTTTATTCTATTTATAAACCAGTCAGGATACAGTCAATCTCTGCATAACTTGCACTGACTTTATATACTGTCCTGCGTGTTGAAGAGGATATTTCATTTGTGATTAGAATTAATTATTACTTTTACCTTTATCCTCTTCACCACTCATCGGCTCGTTTCTCCTTGGCCGATCGGTCTTGAAAGAACTCACACTCGGTGCCGTCACAACACTTTCTGGTAGATTGTCCCAAGAGTTCACAACTCTCACTCCGAAAAAGTTTGCCATCACAATTTTCTGGACTTGTGGCTTCTTTACTTTGTGCTGTGACCCCTTGTGGAGCAAGTGTCTGCCCGCTCCAGGTATTGACACTCGACTGAGTAGTGCCCTTTGAGATGTTTATACCTCATTTAGGTCACCCCTTGCCTGGTTTATACATCTCATTTAGGTCACCCCTTGCCTGTCTGTAGTATAAAGCTAGGCAATTGCAGGTGCTCTAATCTCTGGATAACTGAGGTGCCGAAGTGCAGGCACCAGTCTGGTGGCCCTCCATTGAACATTTTCAATTAACTGAGTCCCTAGCATATCTTGGGGACCAGACAGTACTCTAGACGGGGAAACACCACACTCTTGAAGATCGTTAAGAGGGACGGACCGTCTAGTTATCTGAACGACCTTCTTATAAGACCTACTAGTTTAGTTACTCGATTCACCTTCTTCTCACAATGGCTCGACAACTTCAGTTCATTGTCAACATACACACCCAGTTCCTTTTCGCTTTCGGTCTCTATTAATGCAGTTTCTTCGTCCCATTGGGACATATGATACGTCTCCTTACCATTGGTTTGACCCGGGTGCAGCCTTACACTTTGTGACATTGAATATGATATTATGGAGTCTTGTGTATTTTTAACCCCCAGGTACTGTTAGGGTGTTTAATCATCAGGTGAAATAAACTTGGGGGGGTAATTTTCTAGTGATCTGAATATACTCGCATTACTTAATTGATTTTGCATTTTTTTTACTTTCAGAATGTACATCCAGTTCTTTGACAAACCATCATCAGAAATAGGATATAAAGGAACCACTTTCCATCAGTTACTAGGACGATAAGAGTGGAGTGAAATATTCTACTGAATGAGTAAGTAATATTTATCAATCCCACTGTTGTCACCACTATTCAGTATCCACCTGACTGGAATAAATATAATGATGAAGCATTTGTGTTGGCTTATTATCCATGTACTGGTAACTTTAGAGTTGCTGGTGTCTTAGTATTGACAGTATGAACTGCAACTTGTATACTAACAATGTATAATGCCCGAGTGGACAACATCGAGGCTTCACCTGGTTTTAAAAATACGTGAAACTTAAGTAATTATGTTTTTAAGTCAAACTCGTGTAAAAGATGACTTAAACCAATTAATAATAGAATTGAAAAGTCAAGAATGACACGAGGAAAGGCTATAAGACATGAACTCAAGACATAAGAATCTGACAAGAGACTGCAAGATTCCATGGAGTGCAACCTGTAGGGCTGCCCTCAGGTAATCACAGCCGACCCATGCAAGATTGGAAAGTTCTGAAGATGATACGGCCAAGTCAGGAAGCATGAATTCCAAACGCCGACGACTGTAACAATAAGTTTATATGACGGTAAAAACATTGGAAGCTGCTGTCGCTTTTTCCCATGCTGCTGCTGCTTCTACCCATGCTGCTTCTTCCCATGCTGTTGCTGCTTCTACCCATGTTGCTGCTGCTGCCTCTACTCATTTCTCTTGTACCTGCTTATGCCCTTGCTGCTGCTTCTACCCATGCTGCTGGTGCTGCTTCTACCCATGCTGCTGGTGCTGCTTCTACCCATGCTGCTGGTGCTACTTCTTCCCATGCTGTTGCTGCTTCTACCCATGTTGCTGCTGCTGCCTCTACTCATTTCTCTTGTACCTGCATATGCCCCTGCTGCTGCTTCTACCCATGCTGCTGGTGCTGCTTCTTCCCATGCTGTTGCTGCTTCTACCCATGTTGCTGCTGCTGCCTCTACTCATTTCTCTTGTACCTGCATATGCCCCTGCTGCTGCTTCTACCCATGCTGCTGGTGCTGCTTCTGCCCATGCTGTTGCTGCTTCTACCCATGTTGCTGCTGCTGCCTCTACCCATTTCTCTTGTACCTGCTTATGCCCCTGCTGCTGCTTCTACCCATGCTGCTGGTGCTGCTTCTTCCCATGCTGCTGGTGCTGCTTCTACCCATGTTGCTGCTGCTGCCTCTACCCATTTCTCTTGTACCTGCTTATGCCCTTGCTGCTGCTTCTACCCATGCTGCTGGTGCTACTTCTTCCCATGCTGTTGCTGCTTTACACCAGAGATGGTGTGTACAGTATAGTATTATGTTTTGTTAGTTTCTTTAACCAAGTTTGATTCTTGTCTGTTACACACTTCTTAAACAATGCCAAGTATTCCCTGTACTGTAACTTTCACCCCTAAACAGTTTGGTACAGCTTATGGCTGTTCTGTTATAGAATAAATTTTACTTCCTTTCCTCTATTGTCATAATTGTTTATAAGCCTTGTGGCAATTTTGTATTTATTATTATTCAAAGAATATTGTACTAAATATAAAGCTGCTGGTATACAGTAAGCTTTCTTTTGAGTCAGGTATAGTAGTGGTGTGTCATGTTGTGAAGAATAACACTGTTTTGTTTATAGTTTTCCAGATTCCTGGCATCTGTCACTTTTTGTTTACTTAATCATTCTTCAGCACTGATGACAAATGACCACATTGCTTACCTTTATTAGGGTTGCCAAATCTGAACACTCCAAAAAGAGGACGCTCCCGAAGACATCCCCCCCCCGCCCGGCACACACAGGCTAATATACAACATACATGGTATTGAAATCTTAAATAAAACAAAAATTACCTTTGCTTAAGGCTGAACATCTTCATTCCCTTCGCTGCAGTCTCCCCCACTGTGTGTGACGATGTGCCCATGCATACTTTTCTGTAGATCGGAACTTTTTCAGTATTGGCTGATTGCTTTTTTATAAAGGGGTATAAAAGTCACTGCAAGGTGTTTCTCGAAGTTGTACTGTACAGTCAGAATGCCTTTCATTGTTTCAACACTCAATTTGTTTCTTTCCTTTGTCCATTGACTTTGCATCAGTGAAAAAACTCTTTCTACGTTTGCATTGTGAGATGATATAGCAAAGAAGAATTGTGCAATTCTTAGCAATTCTGAGTGGCATTCAATGTTCTTTGATTTTTCAAAGTATCTGGTCTACTTTTTGTGTTGGCAGATTACTAAATTCTTCATCACTTGTAATTTTCCACAAACTGTTTCAGGTTACTAACTTGGTCAAATATTTGACAGCTTAGTTGACAACACCGTACAGGCATACAAGTGACTTATCAGCTGACGAAAACTGAACGAGATCTCTACGGTTCCCACCTTCCCTCTCTCTCTCTCCCGTCATTACAGTTTCATGTTTTTTTTTCTGTGGAGAAAATGATGGATGCTGAAATTCCGGACTTTTGAAGAATTTTAAAAATTCCTTCCGGATGGAGATTTCGAGACCTAAATGGAGGACATGTCCGGGAAAATATGGACGTATGGCAACCCTAACCTTTATGCCACACAACTGGTGTTGATTATTACCAATAATGAGATTTTGAGCAACATTACATTTTCACTTCTCTTGGTCAAAACACTTTTACAAACAGAATTAGAAATTATTGTGTTTTTTAACTACTTTAGCAAATACAGAATGACACAAAAATTCATTAAAAAAGAATTAAAAGAGGTGAGTAAGTAGTGTTGTAAAACTACTGTAATTAACTTTGACCAAGTCATTACATGTCTTCATACATTGTTGGTGTAACTACACACAATATCTTTGCCATACATCAAGCTGAGACAAGTTGTATAACACACACACAGGATAAACATTACCAGATACTCAACTACCATTTTATTTAAACATAATAAAGTATTAGATAAAAATTACTTATGAAGCATTGATTTTGGCCAAATCTTTTTTTGACAGCACCTGAACACCATTCTTGAAGGTGCCAACTTGTGGAGTGAAGCCTCTGTCACTGTTAGTATCTCTCGATTTTTTCTTTGTAGGTTTCATTATCTGCAAAAACACATCATTATTTACATATAGTACATTAGTGCTGAAACATAAATTCAAAAGGGACGAACACAGCAAACATTATGTGCATCGTTTGTTTTTATTTTTTCTTATTTATTTTTTTATTTTATTTTTTACAGGGATTAGCCCACCCGGACACAGGTCAATGACCCACAACGGGGCCTAGGGGGCAAAAATAAGAATAGAAAGAAATTAAAGAAAGAAAAGGAAAAGGTTATATTAATCTACACCACGAAGATGCTGGAAAACCAGTTTTTTAAAGTGAGACATTGTATGTGTGGAAACACAGAAGGCAGAGCATTCCACAGTTTGGCTGTGTGAGGAAAGAAGGAGGTACTATAACGGGTTATTCTAGTGTGACCGACATCCACAGAGAAACGGTGGGCACCGCGGGCAAGACGAGTATTACGAGCCCACTGCCCTGCCGGCGGTGCACAGGATGGCAAATCCACCGAACATTGCCCGTTAAAGTACCTGTAAAAGAGAGAGAGTGAAGCAACATTGCGGTGAAGTGAAAGGGAAGAAAGATTGTCAACTAAAGGAGGAGAGTTAACAAGACAAAATGCCTTTAATTCCACCCTATCTAACAGTTGGACAGAAGAAGAACCACCCCAGATATGAGAGCAGTACTCCTAGTTAGGACGAATGAATCCCTTATATACTTGAAGCAACTGCTCAGGAGTGAAGTCACCTTATTTGTCTTTATTCATGCAGAGTTTCATCAAATTATGATACAAAAATTATACTTTGGATGTGGTTTTGGACAAGATACCTGACCTAAAAGAGTTCTACACTAAAGCCATTAATAAGCCATGTTAAGTTTCATTATGATGGGAAAAAGTGTCACCTCTGACCATAATGTTGGCACATACATTTGAATTTGTTGGCTTTACATAATATCTACGGCAATACAAGTTACATTAAACAAGGATAAGTTTACACACATACACACACCCTTACCATAATACAGCCAACCTTCATCTGACACAAAAGGTTATATCATTGAAATAAAAAATACTGTTCAAATGGAAACTATGTAAACCGAAGGCAGACTGTATGTCCACTAGTTTCTCAAGATCCTACAAGAATAAATTTTTTGCTATATTGTAAGCTATTTATTAACCCATACCTTCTGTCCTGTCCGCCCAGTCATTGCTTCTTCCTCCAACATCTTTTGTTTTTCTTCTTTTTTCATTTTAAGAAGATCCTTATAATTTATTGCCTGTAAAGTAAAATTTTTAAATTACAGTTCACAATATTGGAAAAACATACCAACTAAATTTATTTGTCTGGTGGAGGGTGTTGGCTGGTTATTTTACTGTACTGGCTTAACCATTTGTTGGCAATACCTTGTATATGATGAGTCAGTATCAGTACAGGAATATAATTTTAATTTATCACTTAACCACTCATCAGCTTGCTAGTTATTTGGGCGGTTAGTTAATAATACCTTAACCCGTTTCTTGTAACATCCCAACTGGTTCACAAATTATCCATGGCTTAAGGGAAGAATGTCTACTTAACTCTAAATGTATGCAATACAGCTACTCCTCGACTTACAACCTACTCGACACACGACCACCCGCATATACGACAGCCGCAGTAGGTACCAAAATCTATTCAAACGACGCGCGTATTTTCTAGACCAAAACGTTTCCTTCCCAAACGAGAGCATCGGGTGGGCTGGGTCGTCTCGTGGCTACAACATCCACGCTGTAGAGCGCTCAGTTGGTGTTTGGCTGTCATTGTTGTCGATAGTGATAGCGCTGTGTACTGATAATATTTTCGTTTCTAATTCACTTTAGAATGACTGGCAAGTGTAGAAGTGAGAGTTCTGGTGGTGGTTAGAAGAAAAGGAGACTTTCAATTACTTTTGAGATGAAAATGAAGATAATAATGCAATATGAAAATGGGAAAACGGTAGCAACCATTTCACGCGACCTTGGCTTCTCTCGCTCAACGATCTCGACAATTCTGAATGACAGGGAACGAATTCGTGAGGTACTGAAAAGATCAGCGCCTATAAAGGGAACAATAATAACGAAAAAAAAACAAGGTCCTATTCATGAGATGGAGAAATTACTTGTGATATGGAAGGAAGATCAGATACAAAAGCGTGTACCCTTAAGCCTGAAGGAGCAGGAAGGAGATCAGTGCGACCAAAACTTCACAGCAAGTCATGGGTGGTTCCAAAGGTTTAAGAACCGTTACAGTTTGCATATTGTAAAGGTGAGTGGAGAGGCAGCAAGTGCTGATGTGGGTGCTGCTGAAGCTTTTAAGGAGGAGCTAGTTCGTGTCATCGTGGAGGGAAATTATTTGCCTGAGCAAATATTTAATGTGGATGAAACTGGCTTATTCTGGAAACGCATGCCAGAATGGACATACATCCACAAAGAGGAGAAAACCATGCCGGGATTCAAGGACCGAATCACACTTCTGTTGGGAGGGAATGTACGGTAGCTGGTTTCAAGGTAAAACCTTTCATGACATATCATTCAGAAAACCCAAGGGCTTTTAAAAATGTAAGCAAGCACACACTGCCAGTGTTTTATTACAGTACAGTAATAAGAAAGCATGGATGACCCTAGTACTGTTTGAGGATTGGTTCCCGACTTGTTTCATTCCACGAGCCAAGGAGTATTGTCTGCAACAAGGGATTGCATTCAAGATTTTATTAATTTTAGATAATGCTCCGGGACACCCACCACACCCGGATGACCTGCACCCTGATGTTAAGGTAGTCTACATTCCACCTAACACTACCTCTATCATCCAACCCATGGATCAAGGTGCTATTGCTGCTTTTAAAGCGAATTATTTACGAACGACCTTCGCTCAGGCTGTTGCTGCTACTGAAGGTGAGAAAACGCTCAGAGAATTTTGAAAAGATGACAACATTTTGAAATGTATAAAGAACATTAGTGGAGCATGGGATGAGGTTACAGGTCAGTGCATGAATGGAATATGGAAGAAAGTCCCGAAAAGATATGTGAACAGTTTCAAAGGATTTAATGAAGATGACGTAATTTCTGAGATTAGTAACAAGATAGTGGAGTTGGGTAAACAGCTGGAGTTAGAAATTGATAATGAAGATGTTGAGCAGTTGGTGAAAAGTGTAGCAGAAGAAATAAGTAACGAGGATCTTATTGAATTGGAGGCACAGAAAATTGCAGAGGAAGAGTCAAAATGAGAAGAACCTGCACCCCCCAAAAAATTTCAGTGAAGCAAATGGCAGAGGCATTTGCTACTATTAATAAGGGGATGCAAATGTTTGACGGAATGGATCAAAATGTTGAGCGTTTTACAAAAGTTGACCGAAAGATCCAAGATGCACTTACCGGTACTTGCTTGCTACAGGGAAATTTACAATGAAAAGAAAAGGCAAACTGTGCAGTCTAAATTGGATATATATTTTAAAAAGTCCCCCATTGCTGTCTCTTCATGCCCCAACAGTGCTGCCTCTTCACTCCCTAAAGATGATCCAATACCTTCAACAAGCAAGTATCCTCTGTATGTTAACCTGTTTGAAGAAAGTGACATTGATGACCCACCCAGCCCTATCTCCTCCTCTGCTTCATCCAATTAATGTAGTCTCCATGTTTAATTCGAAAATTATGGGTGCCTTGTGTGCATTCAGCTGACTACATTAAAGGTAAGTGCACAGAAACACTGTATTCATTCTTCATTATTGATTACTTTTACTGTACTGTATTTCATTTTAGATTTTCTATGTATAATTTTTTGCATTTTCGAATTACGACCCGGATTTGGAACCCTAATCCCGTCCCGTCGGGGAAGAGACTGTATCTATCTCTTTCAGTGTATAAATGCTCATACTGTGATCCTTATTATGCATTTCAGATTTGGTTAGCATGAGGGAGGTGCAACATAGGGTGATATAAACATGGGATCCTAATGCTCAAAAAGTTCACTACCTTATTCTTTGGCGGTTTAGCTCCCAGTTTAATAGCCAGAGCCAGTCTTGTGTCCTGTATCTTCTCTTTGTTAAAGCCGCTCATCCCCAACTTGAAGACGTCATACCTTACACGTTTTAACTCCTTCTCATCAAGAACTTTCTGAAGAAAAATGATACATAACATTCTTTATTCATGATTCCAGACATCCTAAATCATTGTAGATAAAGAGGTTGCAAAAATGAGATGAAAAATTACAATAATCATAAGTTCCAACAAAATATTCCTTCTCAGAGACTAAAATATCAGAAAATAAACTTCTTATTTAGTCAAACTACTTTATCATACAGTACAATATATGGAATGGATTCTATGTTGAATTATCTGAAAAATTAAAATGAGGGAATAAAACTTAAACATGGCTTCCAGTTTAACCACATAACAATCAGTGAGCAGCCGACAGCATTAATTCCCCTGGAAGAAGGTGATCTGAGACTATTTTTGCCACACTACAAATATTTAAGATCATAAACAGTGACCGCCTATGTTTCAGTATTCAAAGACACATGGCAGTAAACCAGGCAGTGATAAATGGCCATAAAGCAATGAGGATAAATTTCTGAGGGGTCGAGTGTTGCTGTTAGTGAATGTATGGGGTAATATTTCTGAGTCATTGCATCATCGTTGTTGGTATATCTATGGACTCCTCTCTGCTTTAGTTTGTATATGAAACACTTCACTGTCACGAGCATAAGAAGAGACTATGGTCCAAATTTTACAAAAAACTTTCCCAAAAATAATATACAATAATACTTACTCACCTGACTCTTAATAACAATAATAATACAGTATTAGTTTTTCGCATCCATGACAACCTTTCCTATAGTATTACCCAGAACCTAAACTACACACACACACACACACACACACACACACACACACACTGTCACCTCGTTTGGTTATTTATGAGGAGTGAACTTTCAAGATAAGAAAAAATCCTCACTTGAGATGGTAGTTGATTAACTTGGTCAATGGTGTTGTTATCTTCTTCCTCCTCTTCCTTGGGTTCAACTTTTTTCCTTTTGTTTGTTCCTCTTTTTTTGGCATAGTCCAGTATTACCAAGTCCTCTTTTGGCTGGTTCCTTCTGGCTGCCTCAGCCAAGGTGATTGAAGCTCCTTTCTTATATTTTACCTTTTTACAGCACTTATTTGTTTCTTTTGGGGTTTGCTTCCATTTCTCGAACAGAATATTGCCGTCAAAGCCTGAAATATAAAAAATAATCAATACGGTATATAGAGAGATTAAAAAAGCATAAAAAACCCAAAACAACAATATATGTAGAGAGAGATTAAAGCTGATGGAGTTAGTTGGACATTTCTTGGGTTTATATCACTTAAACACATTAATGCTATTTGGGAAGGTTAGGTAAAGTTAGATAAGGTTAACCTAACAAAATCATACACAATTAACAACAACTTACCAAAATCATCCATTATTTGAAGAATGGGTTTTTTAATACTTTTCTGTCCATTGAAATGTGTTCCTTTGACCACCAAGTCTTGGTTTGTATCTTCAAAGTCTTCATCATCAAAAGCATCACTAACATCGCTGTCATCGGAGGGAATTTCTGTAACTACTTTGAATCCATCTTCAGTTGTTTTTGTCTTACTTGAGTTAGTATGAACATCATCTCTTTTCCCTTTTTGACTATCTTGATTGTAATTAATATCTGTGTTTCCTTCACCCTCCTCACTGTTATATTCAAAAGCATCTGATATATCGGAGTCGTCATCGGGGATCTCGGACACGATCTTAAAGCCGTCGTCTGTCGCTCTTTTTTCAGCCACGGTGTTTGTCTGCTCTCGATCTTCTTTACGCTTTTTCTGTGCTTTGCGGGTATTGTGTGTTCTCTCAATTTTCTTTGTACCATTGTTATTTCTTTGGTTTTCTCTTCCTTTGGGTAATTTCTTCACGAGTGTAATATCTGGAGCTTCCACTAACGCTAAGATGTTTGTTTGTATTTTTCTGTTTCTTCCGGAAATACCACCCATCGCGTCTTCTTTCATCTTCTTTTCACTTGGAATTAAAGGTTCTTGATACTCAATTTCCACCCTACCATCCCCAACATTTTTCTCTTTAGTGTTCCTCTTAATTTCAGTTCTTTTTGATGAATTGGTTTGGCAATTTACTGATGCATCTCCCAACAACTGATCAACTGTAATGAGAAATGTTAAAAAAGGTTACATAATATATACTGTATAACAAGTAAGGAAATATAAGAGTACAGTTGACAGGAAGGGTCAAGCAGAATAAAGAAAGTGCAAGATTATTTATTAATATTAAGGCGTGGGGGGTAGCTGTGGCCATCCTCAATAATCAGCTTCCAGGAGAGATGAGCAGCACTTACACTGTACAATATAGTAGTAGACAGACTGTGATGTAAAGTGAACCCTTGAGGATTAAAGACCCTAATGCTACCTGGGAGTGAAGTGGGGTTAAGGTAATGTTAGGGTGTTTAACCGTTTAATCATTTGGTGTTATAAAGTTGGGTGTACTGTAGAGTGGTTGCCAGCCCTTACGTATTGATTGGTTATAAGGTGACATCAAGAGAGCTTCGGGGATTATAACACGTTTTCTCTAGGACTTTGGATATAATATTGTTATATATTTTATCACAGTGCATCCAGAATAACAGAAAAACACCCAAAATCATCATTGAAAAGTTACATAATTAGGGCAAGAAATTACTTACAATACTGGCTGAGCTGACTACTTATACTGCCGTCCATTTTAATGAAGGTAGTTGTTGTGGCTGATTATGTACATTTTAATGAAGGTAGTTTGTTGTGGCTTATTATGTAGACTCTCGACACAAACATCACTTCCGAGTGAACGTTGTTGGTTTCTAAATGATGGTTGGCCAAGAAGTTTTCTGGAAATACATAATGGTTTAGATAAAACAGACACATCACTCGTTATGTTAGGTTACGCTCCATGAAAATGTGTTAGCGAACTTAAAATCCATCAATATTGTTTTATCTTGGTCGTGTGTGGAGTTTCAGCGTTTGTAGGGAAGGAATCCACTACACGTGTACAATATAAATAGAAACACTCACATAAATATATTACTACCCTGCACAGTAATAAAATAACACCTAAAATAAGTTATACACGCAAATAAGATAAAAGACCGATTGTAAACTTGTATGCCGATTTTACTGAGTAAATGTTTATATATTATATCAGGGGGAAAACTTTACCTTGAGGATGATCAATGTTTAAAAACTACCACGACCGTTTTTCGTATTGTTTGTTTTAGGTAGAAAACTACAAATTAATCACCATTTTAAATTAATTAAATGATCATTAAGTAATATTTATGAGGTTTGATAGTTATCCTTTAATTTTATATGTGAAATATAACTAAATTTTGGTTATGCGTGGCTTGTTACGTTTATAACATCGACCATTTTTAGATCAAGGTACTGTAGTATAATGTCCTTTTAGGAAATATTTTTTGGCATTCTCTTAAGTTTTCTTCAGCGCATTCCTAGAAATTGCGAGATATGAGTCTAATTTTATAATAGGATTTTTAATGTCATGCAGCAAATTTCTGGAGTCAGGGAAGTTGAAAGTATATAGATATATGTTTCTACTTCCCTAATCTTTTTTAACTTGTAAAAATTTTGAGAATCCTTCTTTGTGTACGAACCTCTGTCCTGCATGGCAGTGAACAGTGGCATTACCCACATGAATCTGACCGACGTATATGTATGTATGTGTGCATATGTGTATATATATGTACATGTATATGTGTATGTATATGTGTGTGTGTACGTATATGTACTGTCAATGAATATGATGCGTCTCTGTGTACGAACCTCTGTCCCGCATGGCAGTGAACAGTGACATTACCCATATGAATCTGACCTCTATACATTTATAGCTGTTAATGAATATGATGTATTTCTTTGTGTATGAACCTCTGTCCTGCCTGGCAGTGAGAAGTGATACCACCCTCAGTGTCAAGACCTGACGGAATTACTCAGAATAGGCAAACTGTACTACAAGCTTTGCCAATAAATTTGTTAAACTAAAAAAAACTAAAGAATCATTTTAGAGTTCATGAATTCCTCCTTATCTGAACACCGAAAACAATAACACATTCTTAACCGAAAACAACACCATTACCAATAAACACCGAAAACATGAATAAGGTCAACTTTTTATAGTTTTACGATTTTTGGGAGTTAGGAAACGCTAGGTCAGGTTTTCTTAGGTTTGTTTGGTGTTATTTTTAGTATTATACCCCACATTTCTCTCGACTTCAATGCTCCGCCCACTTTAAACAAGTAATATTGTTGGCAAATTTATCTATTAAATTACTTGAAAATTATAAATTTCCCACGGGAATGCCAGAGAATAAAATGTCTTAGAATAGTTTGATTACAATATATCTGTAACTTTTTATGAAAACAATAATGGGGCAGTGCGTAACAGAGACGTGACCGATCGCCAAAGCGGCTAACGAGCCGATCAGCGGTGAAGAGGATAAGTAAAGGGACAACGTTCGTAAATGAATTACCACAATATGTTCAAAGATTTCTACAATAATTACGGGCTTTTATCGGCAATAAAAAATATATTTATACTTTTAGGATTATATAAACATTGGATTGAAACTAATATTTGGATTTATTTATAATCTGCATTGTCATTTTCCAGTAAACGCAAGGCCAAGGCGAGTAGAGGCGACATATACTTGAGCAGAGGCAGCGCTGAGGGGTGTACTGTACTTATACATCAGGTAAAATGTTGAATATAATGGTTTATTGTGATTCATATAAGTAGTATTTGGTAGTTTTAGATTGTCTAGTGTTATGGTAAGCGTATACTAGCTATCTTGTGAGTTAGTATTCTTTATTAATGTAGAAATGTACCAGTTGGGATTATCAATACTAGAGACGAGTGACTCATACAATGTAATTCGTACGTCAAGTATATAATAGAGAAGATTTATTTAGAAGAATATGTGAATTTAATAGATCATCTGTGCTTGATTGATCTGATGTTCTTCGTAAGTCATGGCATAATGTGAAAGTGAAGAAAAAATAGGGGGTCGCTGCTTATTTCGTGATACATATGCAGTTACGTACTGTATACATTGTGGTGGCTGGGATTTTCATGGATATTTTCCTTTTAATTCATCATGTTCTCACTCACAGATACTCACAGATGATCTTCTGGAAGAGGCTCACGCCTGTGACTCCAGCTCAATAGCCTCTTCTCTACTCAGACTGTGGCTGTGTGTGGCGGATAATTGTGCCCTATAATTATATACTTGTTGATTTTTCCAGTATTTATCTAATTTTGCTTCAATTTTTCCATCATCTCCACATTCACTACCCACTCAGGTAAACTATTCCAGTTGCTAACAATCCTACTCGTGAACGAGCGTCTTCTGAGATTTAGCCTCGCTCTTGTTTTGTAGATCTTCTTTGAGTTCCCCCGGGTAGTGTCAGCCTCCCTCATCTGGAACATTCCTGCTGTACATGCCTGGTCATAAATGCCACACACTATCTAGTATGTTTCCACTTAGTCCCCACGAGATCTTCTGTAGGCCAGTGTCGGTAACTGTAATTTCCTTAGTCTTTCCTCATAAGATAAATCCTTGATCTGTGGTACTAGTTTGGTACATTCTCTACTGCTTCAATATCCTTAATGAGATATGGGCACCAAATTTGATTAGCATACTCAAGGTGTGGCCTAACCAGAGCAGTGTACAGAGCCTTGAATACAGGTGCATCCAGATGAACAAAAGTTCTTCTAATAATGCCCACTATTTTATTAGCCTTGTTGATTTTCTCAGCTAGATGGTCAGGAAACGTCAGCTTATCATCGTTGATTCTGACATTTATCTTTGGGGCAAATTACTTTTTTTTTTTTTTTTTTTTTTTTTCTTTTCTTTTTTGTTATTCCCACCCCAACAATGACCAAGATGTGGGGGCATGAACAAAGGGGGGTCCAGGTTAGGTTAGGTTTTGTTTTGTTGGTTGGTATGTTATTTGGACATATTTCGGGTATTATTGCGTTTAAACATTCCCACTTACTACCGCTAATCTATTATCATATTCTAATAAGACGTCTAATTATAAGAACATTTTCATCTTTTGCATATCCGCCGGAAATGTATATTAATGGAGATAGGAAATAAAAAATTTTCTCGATTTTGTCTATAATCATCGGCCATTTAACACGTACTTCACCTCCAACACTGTGTGTCTCCATCATAAATCATCACGCGCATGCGTTCCCGTACACGTTACGCGACCAATCAAGAGCCCTTTTTTTTTTTGCAACCAATTAAAATGATTTTGGGTTTAATTTGCAGTATTTTTGGACCAATCAAAACCGATTTTTATTTTGGGTCTCATGTTTAGAAATTCAAGTTCAGTTCCAACCATGGAAGTCTGCGATGGGTTTTACTTCAAGTATATGGAGCTGATTGCGAGTTTTTGGGGAAAAAAACGTAGAAACAATAGCATTTTTTCTATCGCATAGTGTTCTTCCAACCTCAGTAAAGTGTACTAAGAGCAAGACTGAATGTAAATATCGCAAAGACCAACATATGTGGCGTTGGGTAAGAATCTCAGAATCCAATGACGAACAAGAGCCTGGTCTCCAGGCCAACTAAGGCAAGAAATAGGTGATTCCATCATATGGTGAGAGTCAGGTTAGGTTAGGTTTTTCTAGTGTTTTGGTGTATTTTTTATACGATTTGCGATTAATTTTTTCGACAAAAAATAGATAAAAAAAACCCTGCCAATTTCTGAAGGAAATGAAGGTCATATTCGGTTGAAACACACATAAATACACCAGAAAAATATAATTTTAACTTTCTAACAGATGGGGAGGTGGAAGTGCAAATTTACCATATTTCGTTAGATGGGGGGGAATGGCTATTAAAATATATATATATATATACTGTATATGACAGAAATTGATGTTAGAATCAAATGTCACACTACAAACTTGAGGAAAAAGACAATTTTGGGTTTCAAAAGGAGTTGGGTGTTAATGAGGACATTTACCAATTTGGTGGGGGGGGGTCCGAGGGCAAATTCCCCCGGCTAGGAAGTTAGGTAATGTTTGGTATTTTTCTTTGGTTGGTTAGGTCAGGTTCTATTATGTGCTAGTATATGTCGCCTCTTTTATAATTCTTACTATAATGATAAAATTTTTGGAAAAAATTAATGAAATTGACCAACTCCTTCTAGTGGTGTTGTCATAAAGCATCATGGTACTGTATAAGAACATAATAACATAAGAATGGAGGAAACTGCAGCGGGCCTATTGGCCCATACTGGGCAGTCCCGTTTACACCCAACCCCTATTGCTCATATGAGCATCCAACCTATACTGTATAGTATAATACTAGACTATGTCATGCCCTTACCACCAACTTGAGGAATTTTCTCCATGGAATAATTCATACTGTTGACACTGACAGAAAGAGCAGGAGGAATATAAATGTATTTTGTATAATACCACTTTACTTTTTTACTTGACTTTTACTTTTATCCTCTTCACTATTGATCGGCTCGTTAGCCGCTTGGGCTATCGGTCACGTCTCCGTTACGCACTATTGGCAAGTACTGGGCATGCACCGGCTCCTGACTGTACCTGAACCCGCTCCAGTGTAAGATTGAATGATTGGAAACAGAGGATCACCTTTACAATACTGTAGTGTACGGTACTGTACATGAGGAAAAACACGAGTACAGTATGAAACTGTGCATGATCGAGTCGGGTATTCCCCCAGTGCAAGAAATTATCACAAAAAGGAGATACAAGTTTATGAAATCAAAAAACGAGATTAGGAACATGGAACAACCTCTTCATTTTGTATATGATTTATGTAGGATAGCAAATACACCAGGATTTAGATTCATTGCGAGAGCAATTACCTTAGACTAACACAAACCCATGAAACAAAGTGGCGAATCTGGTAACGGAGAGGTCAGCTGGCGCTAAAAATTTTGTTACATACTTATCTTACCTGAACCCTTTTATGATAGTGCATAGAGGTATACCTACGGTAGGTAAGAAATTTATCCCGGATTTTCAGCGCGAGTGACTAATGTCACACAACCTTAAAGTAGAGACAGGCAGGTGGAGTCGCACACCAGCAGAGTTGAGAGTATATCAATGAGACGACAGTCATGTACATAGTGAACGGCAAGTGCTGATCGATTTTCCGCTCTCTGCATGGTGTCGTGAAAGGTATATGCTGACTTTCTCCAGTATCAGTTAACTCTTAAATGAAAAAGTATATGTGCCCAAATTATGTAATTACAGTATGTATATGAGGTACTTGGAATCTATAGTTAAGTTTGAAATTGTCCCTTTCATGTTATGTTTTGATTTACAATATTTTGTTGGACAAATGTATTTTGAATTCTTTGTAAATATTTACCATGTATTTATACTTTTGTCAACTACTACTAGTTACCCCAACTTAATGACATGGCAGGTTTTGTGACGTCCATCACCTTGTATATGACGCTCATTTTCTGCAAGTCTTGAATTTCAAACATACTGCAGTAGAGTATCTATACAGTATATGATATTCTTCCTTTGTTTTGTAAACGAGGTAAGGAAAAGTCTCAGGTTTGTTGTTGCCCCCACACTTCATATGAACAATTTTAATCCTCTTCAGTAAAATGGCAGGATTGAATGCACAAGCTCTAGTGGAAAAACAGTTGACTGCTGCTACACAGATCATTGAACGACAACTAGATGCAGAAATAAACAGATTGGACAACTTGGAATCAGATGACTTGGATGCCATCCGACGAGAGCGCTTAGCTGCCATGAAGGAGCGACAGAAGAAGAAACAAGATTGGATCAATAACGTAAGTCATCATATGGTTGGTGAATATTATATCACATTCTCTGTGTCTGTCTTCATTTGTTTTGTTCTTGATTAATTATTACCCTGGTGTCATCCCCTCTCACTCCTGTTAAACAAAATTTTCAGGTTGCATCTGGGTTAGTGGCTTTAGGAGAAGATTTTCTTCCTGTGGGGCATCTGTATCACAAGAATTTCAAATAAAAATTCCCTTCTCATGTGTGTCTGGGCCAAGCAGGCCAAGAGATTTATCAAGAGGTTCTGGTAGATTCTGTGCATAGTTCTGCTGGAAGCATATCAGAAAGTTAAAAACAATAAATGAATCCGAGTGTGAATAATTATCCTCTTGATTTTTAATAATCGCCACGACATAATTTTGCCTCATCTTTAGGGGTACAAAAAATCTGATTACTACTATATATTGGATTTTTATTCATTTGTATAATATTCTTTCTTTAATGTAAGGTATTGTAACAAGAAAAGCATGAACTTGTTACTTAGTGTGTGGAGTTGTGAAATGGATAACCTATGGTTTTAGTAATGGATTTTTGAGGCTTATTATACAGCAATCTTCAGGCTACTTTTTTATCCCAGTGTATTGATTATAAATCTTTTAATGATCAGAAGTTGTCTTTCAACTTCAGAACGTGATACAGTGTGTCGTCAGGTACTCACACTTCCTGAGTCTTTTGTTAATTGAAACTAAAACAATACAATATACAGTACAGTATTCTCTTTATCTTCTTGGAAATAGAATTAGTGAACTGTTAAACTAACTCATTATATCTTTAATTCCCAAAATAAAACTCTTTCTCATGCAGGGTCATGGAGACTATTCTGAACTGTCTGATGAAAAGGAATTTTTTGAAACCACCAAGAAATCAGAGAATGTTGTGTGTCACTTTTACCGGGACCAGTTTGTTCGATGCAAGATTGCTGACAAGCATTTGGAGATTCTAGCAAAGAAGCATATTGAAACTAAATTTTGTAAAATTAATGCTGAGAAGGCACCATTTTTAACAGGTACAGCTGAGTTTCTCTTAATATTATTTTAAGCAAATTAAAAAAAAATTAATTCCCTCTTATTTTAGGAAAGGGAAATGGTTTATATTAATCTTATGCTTTTAATTTAATATAAATCATCATATGATTTTCTTCTACTGTATATACTGTACATTACTGCACATATCAGGTGTTCATGTGCTTGACAGCTTGTGTTGTTTCTATGGAGAGGGATTGTATGTAAATGAGAAAAGACATGTTTATAAGATGTAGCAGATTACATTTTAAACTGTAAAGGGCTTCTACGTATCGAGAACCATACTTTTTTACCTCATTTAAAACGGTTGCCTCATAAGCACCAACTCTGTTGGGGGTAAGATCAAAGTCATAGATCAGTGGAAGTCAACATACTATGGGCATCAACAACTACGATCTGATCTTTAAAAAATTTTCAGAGCCGAGATGAGATTCAGTGTTATGTTGAGTATTTTGAGTAATGCATTTTAATTTTAAAATTATTTCATTCTAGATACTGTACTGTACTTCCCTCTTTTTAGAGCAGTCGCAACTTTTCATCGAGAGACTAGAACAGACAAAATAATTTATGTTATGAATACGGTACAGTAATAATATTCTGTATAGTGTGCAGTATTAATAAAAACCTGTAGGACAAAATAATAGCAAGCAAACATTAACCCTCTCTGCCTCTGAGGTATATGCCAAAAAATCTTAATTATTATTATTTGGGGGGCTGATTTCACTGCCATGGAATTGTTTTATTAATTATAATGGGATCTATTCTAGCTTAAAATTGTATGAAAAATTGTATGAAACCATAAAATAAAATAAAAATAAAAATTGCCACTTTTTCGAGTATAAGTTGAAAAGAAGGAAAATATTTAGTAGCATCTTGATTTCCTTTCATATTTTCCTTGTACAGTATTATGGTGTTCATTGATATGTACTATGTACCAAAATAAAGAACAAAGCATGTAGTCAGTTTCACTGAATAGTTTTTGAGTTATTTTAAAATATAGCCCATTGGACGTGTTGGCGTCGCGTGGCCGAGCGTAAGTTTTTTTGCCTTTTTAATATGCTGCTCCACAATGGCGTCATGCAAGGCTGAGAGGGTTCAATAAGCCCTGTGTTGAATATGTTTACTACTGGTACAGGTGTCCCTTGTTTAACAATTGGGATGTATTCCTGAAAAACACGTATGTTAAGCAAAAGGATCACTAAACGAGGGATAACGAGAAATAGTATTTGTGGAGATGGCAAGTAAATGTGTTGCCAAGTAGCTGACTCCCCACCCAGTAACACACAGAGTGGGTGAGGCTGAACTGTGTTATTGTTCGACTCGTAATTTCAGTTAGATATACAGTAGTCCCTCGGTTAACGAACACAATTCGTTCCAGAAGGTCGTTCGTTAACCGAAAACATTGTTTCAATGGGATTTTGGGTAATTGGTTCCGGCTCACCAAAAATTACATGCAAACTAAAAATAAATGCAGTAAAGTACACTAATTTTGAGGTGTGCATGTAGAAGGCACCTGGTTGATGATGATGATGATGGGAATTAGAATGGGGGTGGAGGAGAAGGGAGAAGAGAAGGCATTGGGGTGGAAGAGATGTCACCCCATGCTGCCATTTCACCCTTAAAATTTTTGTTCTCTTGGTGTAATTCAAGATTATTTTCTTTAAATCAACACTGCACTGCATTATATATTGTCAATATGTAAAATAAACTTCAGAATGACCAATAATTGTACTATAAAAGCGTAAAAATAGTTATGTTCAAGAGAGTCTCAAGAAAGAAGCTTCCTCCACTGAGTAGGGAGACACACTGACGCCATTTTGGGTGTGTTGAGTGGCTGTTTGGCGCGCTAAAAACTAGTTCCCTGTACAGTGACCCCTCGTTTAACGAACACCTCGGTTAACGTAATTTCGATTAACGAACTGCCTTCCATAAGGATCTTCAATTCAGTTAACGAAAAAAAATTCGCTTAACGAACTTCTTACGAACCGACCTCAACATGTTTTCGCTTGCACTGACCGGGCAACCAGCTTTAGTATCAGTCCCCAAATACATTAATCGGTTCTAGGGCTTAAATTCCTTACTATTTTTGTAAATATCAAGAAGTTTATACTATTCAATAATTTTAAAAGTTTAATATTCAATTTTTTAGTCATTTTAACAATTATTGAACAAAATTGTAGGTAAAGTGACTAGTTTAATGCGCGGCATCCAGCCTCTTAACACAGCAAACAGGCGTCAGTCTCTCTCTGTTTTCAGTGGAGGTAACATCTTGCTTGAGACTCCCTTCAACTAAACGCTTTTTTTCTGTGTTTCCAAGCAAATTATTGGTCATTTTGAAATATATTTTATATATTGACAATATATAATGCAGTGCAGCGTTGATTTAAAGAAAATAATCTTGAATTAAACCAGAGAGCTAAAATTTTATGGGTGAAATGGCACCATGGGGTGACTTCTCTTCCACCCCAATGCCTTCTCTTCTTCCTTCTCCTCCACCCCGATTCTAAATCCCATCATCATCATCATCAACCAGGTGCCCTCTACATACACACCTCAAAGTAAGTGAACTTTTCTACCATTTTTGTTGAATTTAGGAAATTTTCGGTGAGCTGGAACCAATTACCCAAAAACCCATTGAAACAATGGTTTCGGTTAACGAACGTTTCGGTTAACGAACGACCTTCTGGAACGGATTGAGTTCGTTAACCGAGGGGCCACTGTACTTCAATGATGTTAAATAATTGTTAAAATGACTAAAAACTTTAATATAAGACTTGGAAAATTATTGAATAGTACAACCTTCTTGATATTTACTCAAATGGTAACGAATTTAAGCCCTAGAACCGATTACTGTATTGGCGGACTAATACTATAGCTGGTGAGCAGGCGAAAACATGTTGGGAAAAATTCGTAAGGAATTGAGGGATCACTGTACGTAATTTTTTCATCTTCTTTTACAATGTTACATGCACACACCATACAGAATGTGCCTCAAAAAATAATTACAAGGTCAAAAACATAAAGGTAATAAACATTTATTATGTACTCAGCAGTTAGCCCACAGGGAAGGGGGGGGGGGGATCTCTCTCGGCTGTTCTGTGTCTTGTGTCCCATGAAATGATTGTCAAGTGGCAATACAGTATTTTTTATTTTATTTTATTATGTACTGTATTATTATTTTCATTCCTCACATTTACTGGTACAGTATACAGTGACCCCTCGTTTAATGAACGCCTCAGTTAACGAAATTTCGGTTAACGAACTGCCTTCCATAAGGATCTTCAATTCGGTTAACGAATTTCTTACGAACCGACCTCAACATGTTTTCGCTTGCACTGACCGGGCAACCAGCTTTAGTATCAGTCCGCCAATACATTAATCGGTTCTAGGGCTTAAATTCCTTACTATTTTAGTAAATATCAAGAAGTTTATACTATTCAATAATTTTAAAAGTTTAATATTAACTTTTCTAGTCATTTTATCAATTATTGAACATAATTGAAAGTAAAGAAACTAGTTTCTGGCGCGCCATCCAGCCTGTTAACACACAAGACAGGCGTTAGTCTCTCTCTGTTTTCAGTGGAGGTAACATCTTGCTTGAGACTCTCTTCAGCTAAACGCTTTTTTTCGGTGTTTCCAAGCAAATTATTGGTCATTTTGAAATATATTTTACATATTGACAATATATAATGCAGTGCAGTGTTGATTTAAAGAAAATAATCTTGAAATACACCAAGAGAACTAAAATTTTATGGGTGAAATGGTGCCATGGGGTGACTTCTCTTCCACCCCAATGCCTTCTCTTCTTCCTTCTCCTCCACCCCCATTCTAATTCCCATCATCATCATCATCCAGGAGCCCTCTACATACACACCTCAAAGTAAGTGAACTTTTCTACCATTTTTGTTGAATTTAGGAAATTTTCGGTGAGCTGGAACCAATTACCCAAAAACCCATTGAAACAATGGTTTCGGTTAATGAACGACCTTTTGGAACGGATTGAGTTCGTTAACCGAGGGGTCACTGTACATGTAACAGTTCATCCAGACAGTCACCCAGCTAACTCAAGAGGTGTGTGTGGCTGCTGCCTGTATGCTGTGACATCACATAAGGAGGAGAGAGAGAGAGAGAGAGTGGCTGGCTACTGTTACAGCTCACTACCTCACTACAGAAGTTCACACCCACGCTCTTCATTTTTCTTCTTTTATGGTTACATAGTATACAAACAATATTTTCTTTATTTCTAAGCCACATTACAGTATTGTAATGATGCACACTTGGTGCACAGAATTGCCAGTTTTTCCAATTAGCCCCCAAATTTTTCTCAGCGAGTTGAAAAATGCTAAACTGAAAATTGATGAGTGTTAAATGAGAAAGGGTGTTATAAATTTTAAATTGTTAAGTGAACGTTTGTTAAATTATTGATACCTGTACAGGTAGTTCTGCTATAACGCGATAATTGTGTTCTTGTAAAATATCGTGTTATAGAAAATCGCGTAATAGAAATAACAGAGCTTATGGAGAAAATAGGGTTAGGTGCAGATTACTCGAAGTCGAAAAAATTTAGTAGTTAGCCTAACACAAAGGATAGCACAGTCTAAATAAATGTTACATTCATATCTAATAATGAAATCATACAGTAAATGTAACACTTTACTTGATGGGGGAGAAGGGTGATTTTGAGGTTGATAAAATCGAGCTTCTCTTCAAGTGTTATATCCTTTCTTTTACGATCATCACCGGGAATTCTATCACCAGAACGCTTCTTGTTGATATTCTTCTTTACTCTATTCACAGTTAATACTGTACCACAATATTGGAGAAATAGTAAGCAAAAATCGCGTTATAGCAAACAAGCGTTCGCGTTATACAAATATCGTTCCTAATTCATAAATCGCGTTAGAGCAAATTCGCGTTATCAAAACACGCGTTATAGCAGAACTCACTGTATTGTGAAGTAATTGTGATTCATATGCATTATTAATTTTAACCCTGATTGTGCCTAAGTGAAAATTGTCATCAACACTGCTGCTAAGAGGAAGGCTGTTGATTTAGAGGTGAAACTAACTGTACTTAACCATCATGAGTCAGAAGGTGATTGTCTTATATTGCAAATTCAGCATTTAAGTATATTTATTATGGTACTGTAGGTCATGTTTTTAAACTTTCTTTCCATAACTCTTTCAACCACTACAGTAGTTTTTTTTTTCTTTCTCCCCAAAGTCTTTCATTTTGGAATGTTTCGAGCACTAGTGAATTCTTCAGGAGAACTGGTGCTTTTGAAAAACAAAAGACCAGATGTTATATTTATTAACATAGTGTTTTTCAGGAACACAAACTGCACTAAAAATGAGACACCTGTACTGTACTATCATTGGGTTATGAATGTCACACTGGTATAAGAGTTTTGGTTATTTAAAAGACATTATTATGTGTATTACTTTGCTTTCTACAGTGAAACCTCTATATGATGGACTTTTCTCTCCATTTCATCCGTTAGATGGGGTTTCACATCCAACAGACCCACTACATAATGGACTTTCCTCTCCATATATTCCATTAAATAGAGGTTTCGGTGTATAGAACAGTTTATTCACCCACATAATGCATGGTATACAGTATGGTTGTATTTTCAGAACGACTCAGCATCCGTGTGCTTCCCACACTCTGTCTGGTTAAGAATGGCAAAACTAAAGACTACATTGTTGGCTTCACTGACCTGGGAAACACCGATGAGTTCTCCACAGACACACTGGAGTGGAGAATTGGACGTGCAGATGTATTAGAGTATCATGGAGACCTTATGTGCCCTCCCACTTTGGGCTCTAGTGGTGGACAGAAAATGGACGTACATCAGAAGAAGACAATAAGGGGCGGAAGGAATGGAGATAGTGATGATAGTGATTCAGATTACTGAGTAAGATATGTTATCAAGCTTAAGATATTCCTTGCATTTATGATGAACTCCGTGGATGTGTGTACAGTAAGTCCTCTCTTAACATCAGGGTTACGTTCCTGAAAATGTGACTTTATACGAAACAATGTTAAGCGGATCAATTTTCCCCATAAGAAATAGATAAAATATGGGAGTTAGGTTCCTGAGCCTCTCTGCCCCATGAAATACATTACATATACATAAATTCAAAACTCCTTGTGTGATGCCTGGTGAGGTGCTTGTGTGCATTACAGTACTATAAAGTCACATTCATTGAGATTTTATTAGAGAAAAACTCAAAACTCCTCTACATGACAGATAAATAAATACCACTAGGTAACCTTGGTTGGCCGGCAGGCTGGTACCAGCTGTCATAATTCATCAACTCACCCTCCGCACTTCCGGCAAGATTGAAGGTGGTTTAGGCTTAAATTTTTTATCTTATAAAATGGCACAGACTAAAGTTAGCAGAATATAAATTAAATTGCTGGATTCTTGCAAGATAGTGAATAATGTGAATATAGACATCATATATTTTGCACAAGAGATAAAAATTTTAGTCCCTTAAGTACATTCAAGTACTGTACATGTTTTTTCAACTTATATTTCGGTAGATATAGTAACTTTCTTCATTTATTTTTACTCATTTAAATATTGTGAAAAAGGTAAAAAGTAGTCCGTGAAGACTCAAACGACGTTGTACCGAGACATTAAACGAATTTTTGGTCTCTTAATGTTAGGACCGAAACAAAGTTAAGCGGGCCGACGCTAAGCGAGGACTTACTGTACTTAACCAGCACTTAGTTTATCTATAGTACTCGACTTGTGAGGCTTCAACCAAAATTGATCAGTGGGTGATTTGCTCCAGGTACAGTAGGTATCACTTGTCTCTTGAAGTGTGATTGAGTTCTATGATGCAATATAAGCTAAGATCTGGGAATAAAGTGCCTGTAGTTTAGTTCATTTGAGATTTTTTCTACAATGCTAGCAAGTTATTGTTTTTAGTCTTTCCTACCAAAATTGATGTGATTGTCACTAAAGGCAATCCATCACAAAATCAGTTAATTGTAATCATGGAGTTATTTAGTGAAGAAAATTGACATCAAAGGAACCTTCTCATTAACCTAACAGCATTTCTAAAGTTGCACTAGCCAAGCATTCAAAGATTTCCTGTGGCCATGGTTGTGTTGATTATTCTCAGCACTACAGGATATTCACCATATTTATGTACTGAGTATGTACAGTAGGTATGGATCTTTATTTAACCCTTAAATTGGTGGCTAAGGATTCTCTACTCTTCCCCAAGCACAGAAATGAAAACCAAGGAACACGAAACATCTACTGATGATGGCTGCTATTTAAGAAGTTTGGAAAGTATGTGTATCAGTGGCATATTCTTAATGAATGCAAGGCAGGCATTGCATGCCTAGTAGAAAGCAAAATATATTTTAAAATAGGATCTTCAATAATACAGATTTAATTTAGAGTTAACAGTTTTCACTCAGGAAAGTCGAGGAGACTCAGCATCACTCAATGCATGCAGAAGGATAAGCCACATGCCCTCAATGGACATATAGACATAACCATCCTAACAATAACATTCTAAAATGAACTTTATTGTGTTGGAACATAAGGAATTTGAGTCATTTTAGTCAAATTTAATACTGTTTTCCCTTAATAAGCATGAAGTCTTATGTTATACGGTGGCTATTTAATGATGTTTCTGTAAATGTAATGGGTACCAATGCCTGCAATTTTAAAACTGCATTCACTTGTCAAGAGGCGGTGGCTCTCCGTCAGCTGGACAAAACTGGTCCACATTATTATTTTTGCTATTTCTAAATAACCCAACAGTCCACTTTCAGTTAGTTTTTTTCACTTGGGAAAGTTACTCAGTTTTTTGTTTTACTTGAAATAATAATCGGATGATATATATTAAATATTTACTTGTTATTCAAATATAGAGCAATACAATCATTGACAACTTTACAGAGGGCCAGCATTGTGCATGATGCCTAGTCATTTTTTTAACTACTATTTTAAATCTAAATTACTGTGGATCACACTGAAAGCTTAATATTCTTTTGCCGTAAGTATTTTTGCACCCATTATTTAATGATTTATAACTGACTCATCAGTGCAACCACAGTATGCCACTGATCTGTATGATACTCAAATGGATTTGTTTAAAGAATATTTCTACCTGGGCATTTTCACAGTGTTATATAAGTGATGGCAGCATATGACAGTATACACCACTGAACTTAAATTTGAGAGTCCATATGAAACTAATACACTGCTGGTAGATCTGTCCCTGTGCACACCTCTATTAATAGAATCTTGTACATTATGTCTTTCCTCACGTTGAATGATATATTATTAGGAAATAGTTTATCTATATTTTTCATTCTTGGTTTGGTTGCTCATCACATTCTGCAGTACAGAGGCATTTTCTGTTGCCTGCTAATATTGTACTGCATATTATTTTTTTTTTCATTAACTCCAGTTCTTTCCAGGTTTGGCAAAGAGCAGCTGGAATCAAGATCAACACGGCCTCTCTAATATTCATTCATTTGAACTGCTATTACTTTTGTCTTCTGATATTGTGTTCCCTATTTACAACAAGTCCCCAGTGCTGTACAGTACTCCATTTCTATAGTTTTATTTGGCAATTGACTGACAATTATATTGTTCAGCACAGAGAGACCCCATACACGAGGTCCTAAAAAAATGTATGTAACATGCTCAAATTTATGTACAGTACAGTATAAAAACTAATAATTTGTTTGCCCTAAATAAAAAGTTAGTTTGTACATTAATGCAGTATGACACATTGTACTGGATGTAAATTTTATAAGCTTATATAAATATGAGTGTTAATTACTGTTACCATAAGGATTGTCTCTTACTTGTTATATTCTGGGTATATATATTTTGTGATTCATATTCCTCATCATTTTTACTTTCTTTAATTATAGTTTTTGATCTTGGACTCTCCTTCAGTCATTACATGCCATAACCTTTCAACCCATTTGTTTTACTGAGCTTTGATATATTGACACATTGTATGTTTTAGTTCTTAAGTATATACTCTGCATCACTAATTCATTTTTCACCATATTATACACATGCTTTGTTAATAAATCTGTTTCATTGTATTGTTAGATTTCTTTACATTGAGTGCTATATTTAAAAGCATTGTAGAATTTACAATTATTCTTGTCATGTAGCAAAATTAAACTTGACGGGTACACAATTTTATGGCCTACAAGTCAGTTCACCAATACAGTAATCTGTGTGATTAACTTAGCATTATACTTCCCCTGACAGAGCTGCCTTGCCCAGGGTACTGTCTGCATTATAAGATAGGGGTGTTCTTGTTTGATGGGTGTCCACAGCAAGCCTGGATAAACACAATTACTGTAGTGCTGGTGTGGATGCTGAAGTCTGCTCAATTGCAGTGGGTGCCTGCCACTATTGATGGTAAGAGGAACTTCCCTTTGCATAAAAAGAAGGACGTGCGTAGCTGGCGTGAGAAGTGTGTTGTATGGTAGTGAAACATGGTCAGTTAAAGAGGATGGCATAAGGAAGCTTGAGCAAGCTGATATAATGAGGTGGATATGCAATGTGATGCTGAAAGACAGGAGACACCATTCAGACCCAAGAGTGTGGCTGGGTCTTTAGAATATTGCCAAGGTTCTGAGTAGAGGCAGACTAAAGTGGTTTGGGTATGTGGGGAGATAGGATGAGACCAATTGGGTCAAGAGGTGCATGAACCTAAATGTGGAGGGGGAGGAGTTGCAAGAGATGACATCCAAGGTAAGAACCTGGCAAACTGCAAGGGACTGCGTAGCATAGATAACTGTCGTCAGGTAATCACGGCTAACCTCTCAAACATGATGATGATGAGTCTCATTAACCATTTTCAGTTTGAGTAAACTTGGTATAAAAAAATATTAAGCATGAAAGATTGCCAAGTGAATTTTACCCCTTTAGAGAAAGTATGTGCTCCCTTTGTTTTGGCAAATTTAACTTTGGGAATTGTTACCAGGTAGACTACTGTACTGTATTTTCACCAGTTATATCATAAAGGATCATTGAATGATACTCTTTATAGTTTCATATATACATATAATGGTACCATACTACCATAGCCTTCCCAATCTGAGTTATTAGTAACAGTGTGAACGTTTCTGTTACTTCAGTGTTATTTAATCTTACTTTCATCCTGGGTGATTTTAAAACAGTACAGATTTATAACTCTGATTGGGAAGAAATATGATTTATATGTAAAATTTTAGTATGACTGAAGACCAGATACATCATCAGTGGGAGAAAATGGACTACAGGAAGGATTATCGTTTTGACTTCCTATATACTGGACTGTACTTCCACAATTGTCTACACTTTATTAAGTAGTATACAGTATGTGTATGTTTAAATAGTATGCCTAGTTCTCAATTTTAGGAACCCCCATGATTGAGAAAAAACAGGGAGGGGGCTGTGACAGCCGTCTGAAATGAAGTGATTTTCAACAACATGGGTAACAGCTTTGAATGGAGGACATCAATAGAAACCCTTAACTGAGATATAGAAAGTTGATTTTTTATAAGTACAGTAGACACTTGCCATTCACGAGGGATAGGTTCCAAGCATTGGCGCGAATTGGTAAAACCGCGAATAACCACTTATATAATACCTTAGTGCACTAATATACAGGTATACCTTCAGTATACAGTGACCCCTCATTTAACGAACACCTCGGTTAACGTAATTTCGATTAACGAACTGCCTTCCATAAGGATCTTCAATTCGGTTAACGAAAAAAAATTCGGTTAACGAAAAAAAATTCGGTTAACGAAGTTCTTACGAACCGACCTCAACATGTTTTCGCTTGCACTGACCGGGCAACCAGCTTTAGTATCAGTCCGCCAATACATTAACCGGTTCTAGGGCTTAAATTCCTTACTATTTTAGTAAATATCAAGAAGTTTATACTATTCAATAATTTTAAAAGTTTAATATTCAATTTTTTAGTCATTTTAACAATTATTGAACATAATTGAAGGTAAAGTGACTAGTTTAATGCACGGCATCCAGCCTCTTAACACAGCAAACAGGAGTTAGTCTCTCTCTGTTTTCACTGGAGGTAACATCTTGCTTGAGACTCTCTTCAACTAAACGCTTTTTTTCTGTTTCCAAGCAAATTATTGGCCATTTTGAAATATATTTTACATATTGACAATATATAATGCAGTGCAGTGTTGATTTAAAGAAAATAATCCTGAATTACACCAGAGAGCTAAAATTTTATGGGTGAAATGGCACCATGGGGTGACTTCTCTTCCACCCCAATGCCTTATCTTCTTCCTTCTCCTCCACCCTCATTCTAAATCCCATCATCATCATCCAGGAGCCTTCTACATACACACCTCAAAGTAAGTGAACTTTTCTACCATTTTTGTTGAATTTAGGAAATTTTCGGTGAGCTGAAACCAATTACCCAAAAACCCATTGAAACAATGGTTTCGGTTAACGAACTTTTCGGTTAACGAACAACCTTCTGGAACGGTTTGAGTTCGTTAACGGAGGGGTCACTGTACTGTGTAGGAGAAACTTAAGTCACAATACTGTACACTGTACATACATTTGTTAGTGGAAGTCTGGAGCTTGATGAAGTGGTGCACTATACATAGGGAGACATCTGGTTACTGAAGCATAGGTGGATCATCAAGATCACTGGTTGAAGAGGTGAAACAGTGGCGGGTGGTGGAGTGGCGGGTAGTGGAGTGGTGGTTGGTGGAGTAGCGGGTGGTGGAGTGGCTTGTGACTGGGAGATGGCACATGGCCGGGAGGATGGTGGTGGGTGGCTGGGAGGAAGAGGAGGGTGGAGTGGTAGCGGTAGTAGCTGGTTCTTTCTCGAAAAAATGGTGATTGATAGTTGTTTCCTCTTGGCTTTGAGTTCTTTAAACATTTCCTGATAGGGAAACAATATCTGGTTGATTCTCCGGACCATCTTAAGGCTGTGTTCCAAGCCAGGCTTGATCATGTGGCCAGCCACATTGCCACAGAAGATGAGTGTCACTCAGTCCTTGGCTGCCTTGAACTCAGAGGCACGCCTCTCCTGCTTGTTTATGTATGTTCTACCAGGCTTTTTCTTCCTATATAAATCAAATTCATTGGCATTAAACCCTCGCTTTGGTCTATAGCCTTTTTCTTCAATTATTTTCTGTAACTTGATGGGAAATGCACCTGCGGCTGTATGGTCAGGTGATGTGGCCTTCTCAGTCAGCTTCACATTGTGGAGTGAGAATATTTTCTTAAAATTCTTGAACCAACCTTTACTGGCACTAAAAGTTGGTTCAGTCACTACTCTAGCCCCTTCACCACCTGTTGACTCATGAAAATGAGCATAATGACTTGTAGCCTTTTCACAAATCATTTTGCTGTTGATCGGAACATTTTTGCGATGCTGGTCCTCAATTCAGTGCTTTCTCAGTTTTCACTATGATCTTGTCACGAACAATCTGCATCACTTTAGCACTTCCAGGAGCACTTGCTTGAACAGAATCACGCATTGCTTGTTCATTCTTTCTTATGTACTGCATTGTGGATTCGTTCACACCAAACAACCGACCAACCGCGGTAGCACTCATCCCCTCCTTTAACTTGTCTAATAATTCAACTTTCTTTGCCAGAGTCATCACTGACTTTTGCCTTTTATGTTTCACTCCACTAGCATCACTAGCACTGACACTAGGCAGTCTTTTCGGGGCTATTTTTACAAAGAAACACGAAAGTTTTGAGAGTATGACACGGGATGCTAGGTCATGGGTAATGGGTGAGGACAAACAGAGCGAGATGAGACGTGGGGTGACTCGTTGTGCCGAGGGAGAAGGCTTGCATGCTAGCCACCCGAACCACCAGCTGCTTACCGCGAATCGTCGAAAGCGCAAATCATTAACCCGCGAATGGGAAGGGTCTACCGTACTGTACTGTACTGTAGTCTGCAATGTAATGTGTTCTTGTTTAGTGTCTTGTTAGTCAAGAAATGAAGATAATTCTCGAAATGCAGTACAGGTATAATTTTTCAGATAGTTTTCAGAATACAATTTCAAATACCTGGACAGTATTTGTTTTTAATTCTGCAAAGAATTTACTCCCTGTATTTGTTTTACATTTCCCTACAAGAACACTACATGTGTTAGAAAAACCACAGTATTTTAAATCTTCTGTCTTCAAAGGAATCCCTTACTATTCCATTGTTTGTTTATTTATTTTGGTGATCTTAATTGTTGGTAAATTTTTTTTTTCCGTAATGGGAGTAAGGGATGATATGCCTTTTTGAAATAAAGTTGGGAGGCTCTGGATTGTTGTTCCTAGTCCAGTTAATTCCTGAAACACATTGTTGTCTTTATACGGGAGGTACATTCTAAGCACAAAATAGAAGATTCAAGATACAACCTCATGTTGCCAAAGGGAGACATACACCTGAACCCTCATCATCTCATCAGGGTGTGACTATATTAACTCCAAATTGAGCTCGTTGGTGGGTTATTGTATTTAGTAGTAGATCAGTACAGTACTGTATAAGACTACAGTTTTTTCCTTTGCTCCATCATCTTACTTTCAGAAGGACTACAATTAGTAATTAATATCTGTACAGTACAGTATTTTATATTTTATTTTGTCTCCAGGAAATTTTACATATTTCTTCTTCATGCAAAATGACACAAGTACAGTACACACATTGTTCTGACATTACCTCAAAGTTACATGGTGAGGAAGAATTATGTTATATTTATTTACATGTTTTGTATATTTTATATACAGTACAACATCAATATCCATCCTAGGTTCTGAACCATAGTTTTTGCTAAATTTGAAACTAAAATACCTACTGGTCAATGATATTATGTGTCTTGGAGCCATTACCACATGGCACCTGCTTATTGGCCAGGATTTTTGTGATTTCAGCAGGTGGAAGAGGACAGGAGGGGAAGACATGACTACACTGGTTTTGGTTTGCAGTGAGTCCTGCCCACAGTCCAATAAAGGCAGCATATTGGTACTTGGCATCAGGAGTGTGGAAGTCAGTCCAGGAGACGGGAGAGCCAGGGTGGGGACTGGTAAGGGAAAGAAGAGGTCAGGTCATGTCATGTTTGAGAAGAAATTTTAAGAAATATAGTTTAATTTTATAAATATCCAAAAATATCAATGTCTAATACAGTAATGTCATTAAAAGCACTAACTGTAGACCAGCCCATGTGAAATCTGGTCCTTTTTTTGATCAGTAAAATTTTGTACTGTATACTGTACTGTGTTATAAAAAAAAAAAAAGATTGACTTAACAACAAAGAGCTACAGGCATCTAGTGTTAGATCACTATGGAATTTAATTTGTAGTAATAATCTTGCTAGATACAGTACTGCAAATGATCAGATTAAGAAACGTGACAACATGCAATGGCTGAAGGTAATGTAACCCTAAGCTAACCAAACCCTATATTCAACTAACAGAAGTAAAGAACAAACTAATCCAACATAACCAAAGCTAACAACTTACCTGAGAGTGGCAATGATGGCAGTGTGGTCAGGATTCCTTTGTTCAGGGGGCAGGCTAGAGGCATGGCAGAGGGCCAGAGCAGCACATCCAGAATCATCAAGATCAGTCAGTACCTGAATGAAGAGGGTTTTTGTTGGTGTTTAAAGTAGTATAAAGTTATATTAAAATCTTCAAGGTTAGGTTAATGGTAAGGTAATTTAGGATAGGGTAGTGTTGGTACAGGGTATGGAGAGTGGTTAGGGTGAGCCTAGAGTAGATTAAGTTCAGTGACAAGTACAGTAGATAGGGTTAAATGGTTAAGGATCTGTAGGACCATGGTACAAATGTGGTAATATTTTTCATATATACTGTATTGTATTTGTTTCTGCTGTTTTATTTACTAACTGCAATATTTTGTTAAATGTCAGAGATGGGAGCTATTTTTGAAAAACGTGCATGAGTTCATAATTTTAGTGGCGTGCCTCTAGTATTGAAAATTATTCTTAACTTGAGAAATTCTGAAATTAATGTATGAAATATAAATATATAGCAATAAAATAATTTTACATAGCTGCAGTTTGTACTTGGGAAGAAGAGACTGACACTGCATAGAAGAAAACTGTCGACATAAAAATTATGATCAGTTGTAACCCAAGAAAATAAACTGTAACTTGTTCAATATTCTTATCAATGTACAGAAAATATTATTTATGCTTTAATGGAAAGAGTTGCATCTCTCTCAGGCATTACAGTACAGCATTAGATTTTACCGTGAAAAGCATTTGCTGAAGGAAACTCTCCTGGTTGTCAGTATAGTCATGGGTGTTCCTCTTCTTTCTGCCAATGGTAATGAAACTACTTGTGAAAACGAGGAATCCCACAAGGTCGAGTGCTAGAGCAGCCCCAGAGGCAGATGCGCCAATTGGATTCTTGAGGTCGGTGCTGTTGAACCTTACCATAGTGACTTTTGCTGCTGCCTGTGATAATGTGTTTGTAACTGCTTGGGTGCTGAGAACACGCAATGTGAGCTGAAGTGAAAAACAAAGGCAGTGTTTATAAGAGGTGGAAGTGCAAATAAAGTAATAAAAGGAAGTGATGACTGGAAATTGACAAGAAAGGGGATAATGTTCTTACCATAAAAAAAAATTAAGAACCGCAAGGTGTTATTGATAGCCCTTCAATTGGGTCAGGACTATTAAATAGTCCTGACCCAATTTTAGAGGTGCAGTATTTTTGATGATGTCGAAAGATATAATTTTTAGCATATAAAATACCTATTGTATTTTTTATCACTTTAAGAAATAGGTGGATAAAGATAAAGGATTGACAACAGTGGAAAAGAGACATCAGATGCACACAAGAGAAAAGTAGTTAAAGAGGGCTTAGAGTATTTCGTTTATTTGTATTTTTGTATTATTTATAGTCTTCACCTCTTGTCAGCTTACGTATCTGATATTTGTAGGGATATTCAGTATTTTGTCTTGATCTCTGATAGTTTCCGCACTTGAGAAGCAAAAAATCGCACGTGAAATTCACTGGTAAAAAAATATCATAAAGCGAAGCGCTTCGAGCACGTAGTTCAGGTACAGTAAACGTCTCCTCGCCCCATGATGTCACACAGGTTGGCGGAGGATGCTGCTTAAATATTTTTTCCCTGCGTGATATTTATGTTACCAGTGCATTTCACGCTCTAATTTTTTCTTCCCAAGCGCAGAAACTATCAAATATAATTATATAATAGTTATTAGCCCTTAAAATATCAGAATGTAAATGCGATAGATTAAATACTAAAAGGACCTGTAACTTTGCTTGTCCTTCCGCCAACCAATCAGCTGTGTTGTTACAAATCGCCCCTAGGCGCTCCTGCTTAACACAATTGCTCAAGGTATTGGATATTTGGACCCATATTCTGGAACGGGGTGGTAATATCGACAATATTTACCTAGATTTTGCCAAGGCTTTCGACAGTGTATCCCATGAAAGGCTGAAAATCAAACTGGAAGGGTACGGAATTCGGGGAAATGTCCTTGCATGGATAGAAGACTTTCTACATGACAGCAAGCAGCGTGTGGTGATTAATGACACGAAATCTTCATCTGTACCTGTCACAAGTGGGGTACCACAGGGCAGTGTATTGGTCCTGCTGTTGTTTGTTTGTTTCATAAATGACATGCCTGACGTTGTGCACTCCTCCATACAAATGTTTGCCAATGACGCTAAGTTATTTCGGGAATTTAAGAACCAAGCTGACTGTGAAGAGCTGCAGAAGGACCTCTGTGGGCTCCAAGAATGGTCGAAGGAATGGCTGCTGAGATTCAATGTCACAAAGTGTAAGAGGATGCACCTGGGGCGTACCAGCGGTAAGGAGGCTTATCATATGTCCCAAATGGATGAGGAAACTGCACTAGTTGAGACTAAATGTGAGAAGGACCTGGGTGTGTATGTTGACAATGAGCTGAAGTTCTCGGGCCATTGCGAGAAGAAGGTAAACCAGGCAAATAAATTATTGGGTCTTATAAGAAGGTCGTTCAGATATCTAGACGGTCAGTCCCTCGTAACGATCTTCAAGAGTGTAGTGCTTCCCCATCTGGAGTACTGTCACCCCGTCTGGTCCCCGAGATATGCTAGGGACTGTCAGTTGGTTGAAATTGTACAGAGGGGGGCCACCAGACTGGTGCCTGCACTTCAGCACCTCAGCTACCCTGAGAGATTGGAGCGCCTGAACTTGCCTAGCTTATATTACAGACGGGTAAGGGGTGACCTAGTTGAGGTGTATAAGCATCTCAAGGGGCACTACTCAGTCTAGTGTCCTTACTTGGAGCTGGCGGATGCTCGCCCCACAAGGGGTCACAGCTCAAGATTGAAGAAGTCGCAAGTCCAGAAAACTGTGAGGGCAAACTTTTTCGGAGTGAGAGTTGTAAACTCTTGGAACAATCTACCAGAGAGTGTTGTGAAGGCACCGAGTGTGAGCTCTTTCAAGACAAGACTTGACCAACATTGGAGCGGGTTCAGGTACATTCAGGAGCCGGTGCATGCCGAGTATTTGCCAACAGTGCGTGACAGCTCAGGCGGCTAGCGAGCCAATCTTTTGGTGAAAAGGATAAATGAAAAGGAAAACTGCTCAAAGACGTGACCGATCGCCCAAGCGACTAATGAGCCGATCAGTGGTGAAGAGGATAAGAGAAAAAAAGATTTGCAGGGCAAATCTGAAATTTGTATTCTTCACATCATATGGATGTTACAGTTACTTACTGAGGTTTGTTACCAGGGAGGATGTATCCTGAAGTGTACCTGAATACTGACTGCTGTGCCGATAGAACTGTGTATGTATTATATACCTCGAGGTGGAGTTTCCTTAGGCTAACCTGTGACGTCATGTGTCATTGTCCATACTGGTATAGCTTGTGGGGACAATCATCATCAGGTGATTGAGGTAAGCTGTTGTCTCGGCCTTTCTCTCACATTGCCTCTCTTTTCTCTACTTTTAAATGGATTGGGGGAGGACAGTATTGTCTGGTATGTGTGTGTTTTGCCAGTGTTTCATGAGAGTATTGTACAAGGGGTTCATAGGCATACGCAATAGTACCGTAATTGTGTAGGTGCTTATGAATGGGTGAGCATATACCTGCATATGTGTTGCATCTGTAATACTGTAGTTTACTAGTTTTCAGGTTTTTACATGTAAATGTCTCTTCCCTTCAGTAAGCCTGAATTATTACGTACCTTATATTTATACTGTAGTTCATTTTATACACCAAATATTCTCGGAGGAAACATTTATATCACATTCTGGATAAATCGTAACTACTGCCAGTTGTGGTAAAATTTTTGTTTGGGTCATCCTTGTATTTAGATATCCAAACTAACCAACTGTAACCTTACGATTCCCGGATGACAGAAACTAAATTAATACATCAGTTCTTTCTTGCCATAAGATTAAAAATGATATTGTCTTCTCTAGTTTAGTAATAAGTGCACTTTTTAATCAATATAAATACCACATGGAAAAGTATTACTTAATTAAATTAGAACTCTAGAGAGAACAAAGGAGTGAGATGTTGAGTTACAGATGGTTAGTTAAATAAACATTAGTGTAAGAGATATACTGTACATAGATAAATAAGTTGAGAGAGAGAGAAAGAATGGAAAAGTGTAAAGGTATGTGGACAGACAGAAAGTGTGAGAAAATATATTATGTACAACGAGAGAGGGAATGGTAAGAGTATTGTTGCTAGGTTGCGTCACCCCGAGGCGGAAACTTTTTCGGGGTGATAGTTGTGAACTCTTGGAACAATCTGCCAGAAAGTGTTGTGCCGGCACCGAGTGTGAGCTCTTTCAAGACCAGACTTGACCAACACTGGAGCAGGTTCAGGTACATTCAGGAGCCGGTGTATACCCAGTATCTGCCAAAGGTGCATAACAGAGAGCCAGTACATGACTAGTACTTGCCAAAAGTGCGTGACATAGACGTGACCGATCAACTAAGCGGCTAACGACTCAAACTCAAACGAGCCGATCAGTGATGAAGAGAATAAAAGTAAAGTAAAAGTTACGAGTGGAATTATTACGAAGGTTCAGGTATTGTGTTGGCCTGGGAACAGCTAATTGAGGGGGTAAGGAGTCGGCAGACAAGTGAGAGTTTTGCGGACAAACTCCTACTGACTTTCACCTCATAGCATAGTTTCTTTTAACAAAAGACATATATATATTTTCTTTGTTTTACGGGTATTAGCTTACCCGGGCACAGGTCATTTTACAATGACCTACACCTTGGCCTGGGCGGCGAAAATATAAAATATATAATAAATTTAATAACCAATTATAATAAATGAAAATAATAATAATAAAAAATGTAGAATAATAATAATAAAGAGCCATAAGTAAATGCAGAAAAAATCAAGAGAGAAATAATATATGTTTGTTGTGATGTCAAAATAGGAGAAATGAGGCGGAAAGTCAGTGGGACTTCGTCACAATTTGTGATGCCATATGGCAGCGGTAAAACGCTAAAGAAATCCAGTGACATTACTGTTTCATGGACAAAAACCTAGTCAAAAGTTCCTTAAAGGACAAAATTTCGAGAAGTGGTGTTTCTATGCGAATGCATTTATCACGAAAACCTGCACTTGGGCGCGTTCTAAAGATCCAGCAGAAGTTCAGATTTTCAACCACTTGGGGGAGGGGGCAATTAATCAGGTGACTTGGGTAGAATAATGGTGTAACCAACAAACAGTACTCTGAAAGCAATGGTGGTCTATAAATACGTTCAATCAAATTACGTAGATGGCAAATACAATCATGAAATTAAAGAAAGGAAAGTGTACAGGCCGACATCATAATACAAGGGTACCGGCAAGAGACTGTAATTTGTGGAGAATTTGCCTACAAAATGTTAGTGTTATGAAAAGACCATCCAGCCAATTTAGCAGGAAAATCGACTTTTACAATCACAGGCCCACTAGTTTAGAACAGATAATGAGGGATAAACGTATTAAAGTAGAGAAGCTATAGTAGTTGGAGAGAAAAGACGCCCAATAATGAGAACAGAGGGAAGCAAGGCTAAAATGAGGCGTTAGGCAAGAATTTTGTAATTTCCTGTCTCATATTTCGAAATTCAAATTCATTTCCGACCATGGAAGTCTGCGATGGGTGTCACTTCAATTATATGGAGTTGATTGCGTGTTTTTTTTTTTTTGGAGGAAAAAACTGAACAATCTTTAGCATTTTTAGATCTCATGGTGTTCTCTGGACATCAGTGAAGTGTCGTAAGTGTAAGAACGAGTGTAAATATCGTCAAGACCAGCATAGTTGGCATTGTAGTAACTTGTTCCTTATTCCCAAAATAAAGAAGAGACGTTGGTGTTCGTACACCGCCAGTGATTACAAAAGAACCATAACCAGGCCAATAAGGTAAGACATAAGTGATTCCATCATATGATGAGTCCCTGAGCGAATTAGGTCAGGTCACTTTTACTTATATCCTCTTCATCACTGATCGGCTCGTTAGCCGCTTGGGCGATCGGTCACGTCCCTGTCACGCACTGTTGGCAAATACTAGGAGTGTACTGGCTCTGTTACGCACTCTTGGCAGATACTGGGCATCTAAAATAAGTTTTGGTTTATATGTTTTTCTATTTTTTTTTATTCGCTTGGCCATGATTTTTGTCGGAAAACGACCCAACCAAAACCCCCGATAAAAATCAAGCAATTTCCGACAGGTTCATATACATTCAGGAGCCAGTGCGTGGCCAGTACTTGCCAACAGTGCGTAACGGAGACGTGACCGATCGCCCAAGCGGCTAACGAACCGATCAGCGGTGAAGAGGTTAAAAAAAAAAATCCTTAAATCAAGTGTACATAAGCTCCAGCCGGTCTGCTTACGGAACATGGTCGGGTCACTAGTTTCAGAAGAAGCTAAGTACACGATAGGATATACACCCAGTTTGACGTGATGTAAAAGAAAAGCACCCTAAAACATGTTAGATCAAGAATCAAAGATGGATTAAAGCAATTGTAAAAATATTTGAGTGGGTGTAGAGTGTGTAGTAGTGGGTGTAGAGTGTGTAGTAGTGGGTGTTCTCAGCCTCAGGAGGAAGTAGCGACGCCGTGCAGACGAAACACTTTTGTTTATATGAGTGATAAGACACACTAACGCCTACGATATTTTTACACCAAATACCTAGTTTTTTAAAGAGTGAGTAAAATACAGTCATTTTAGTACTTTCATTAACAAATATGACATGGAATATAATATAACCAAGGGCACATTTATGGGTGTATCAGGTGTGAGAGCCAGAGTAGTGTGACCCTGGGGGTAGAGTTAGCAGCATGTGTGGAAGGTGTTTTAATATAATTATGACCGTGCCGTCTTCATCACAAGTTGGGTTAAAATTCATCTAGTGGCTGTCCGCAGGTTCCCACCATGTTTACCCGGTCCGACTAATTACCCAAATGTAGCAAAATATAGCCGCAATGAAGTTAAATAATGGTCCTACATGAATAAATCGGACTGCTAATCACTTCGCGACTAGTATTTGGTGTCACAAAGTCACAAAAAATTGGAAAACTTAATTTAATCTGAGTTGTGTTGTGTTAGGTTAGGTTAGGTTAGGTTAGGTACATGCACTCGATCTATTAACTCAGATTAAATTAAGTTTACCAATTTTTTGTGAGTTCGTGACACCAAATACCAGTCGAGAAGTGATTGGCAGTCCGATTTATTCATGTAGGACCATTATTTGACTTCATTGCGGCTACATTTGGGTACATTTGGGTAATTAGTCAGACCCTGTTTACCTGAGGTTATACTCCTCACTTAGAGTCGGTTGTCTCTTCCTTTCCGCTTCCTCCTTGTAGGTTAGGTATTTTATTTTTATTTTTTAAATGTAGGGCAATTTATAGTATCACACCGGTCTTTATTTTGATATTAAAAATAGGTTTTTCATTTGGTTTTGGTGAGTATGGAATGAATTTGATATCTATTTACTCCAGATATCACTTTTTTCTTCTTTTAGATACACCCCCACCAACAATCATAACGGAAAATGTTGGATTTTTTCTTTTTCGAATAAATCAAATAAATAAAATACTAACCAACCAACAAAACCTATCCTAACCCCCCGTTCTTCATGCCCCCACATCTTACCTTAATCTGTAAAACTATTGTGACACCATCAAATATGCTGTTCTTCACGCAGTGTACATTGGTTATTACACTTTGGACAAAGAATTATATTCGGTAATACACTGTGTTTTATAAAAAAAAAAAAAAAGAAGAAATTGCCTCACTATTTTTCTGGTGAAACTGCAATTGACACAAAATAATCATTCTCACAATGTCGGCACAGCTCTTCCAACTGTTCTGCCATATCTGATACTAAAAATTAAAATCTCACCTCCCGACCCACTGACTCATTGTTCATTGGCTAAAACAAAAAAAATCTTGCTCAATAAGAAGCAAACACGGAGGTCTGGAGCGATGCGTGAGCTGGTGTCAGTCCTCCCCCGCCAGATGTAAACAAGACATGGTGACACTTGTGAACGAGCGAAAGTAATAATCTTGAAGAATTAATATCTCGGTTATCCTTGATTTCCGGTGAAAATATCATGGAAGAAAAATGTCTTAGAATTATCTAAACATTACGAAATAAATAACAGCAAAAGGAAGACCTGTGTAAAACTATAAATTCACCAAAATTAAATTTTAATTTTTTGCAAAAACTGCTAATTTGCACAAGAAATGAATGTCAAATTTGAATAAAACACCGAAAAACGTAAAAAAGAAGCTATTCTCATACAAAAACCTGAGAACAGCCAATGGACGAATATTTACCACTTGTAACTTTGCAAATTTTGTCAGTATGATCATTTTTATCAAATAGTTAAGCCTCTTATATTAAATATTACATAAAGTTGGTGATCTGACTCCTTGGATTTTACTTAAGTAACTTTTACTTTTTACATTTATCCTCTTTGCTACTGATTGGCTCATTCGTTGCTTGGGCAGTCAGTCACATCTCTGTTATGCACTGTTGACAGATACTGGGCATGCACTGGCTCCTGAATAGAGTGGAACCATCTCCTGTGTGGTCAAGTCTGGCCTTGAATGAGCTCACACTCGGTGCCGTCACAGCGCTCTCTGGCAGATTGTTCATAATTTTCGCTCCAAAAAAATTTACCCTCACAGTTTTCTGGACTTAAGGCTTCTTCAATCTTGAGCCTTGACCACTTGTGGAGAGAACGTCCTCCAGCTTCAGGTATGTACATTTGACTGAGTAGTGCCACCTGAGATGTTTGTACACTTCGATTAGGTCTCCCCTCGCCCGTCTGTAGTATAAGCTAGGTAGTTGCAGGTGCTCCGATCTCTGAGGGTAACTGAGGTTCCATAGAGCAGACACCAGTCTGGTGGCCCTCCTTTGGACATTTTCAATCAATTGACAACCTCTAGCATACCTCGGGGACCAGACGGGGTGACAGTACTCCAGACCGGGAAGCACTTCACTCTTGAAGATTGTGACAAGTAATGGACCATCCAGATACCTAAAGGACCTTATAAGACCTACTAGTTTCATTGCCTGACTCACCATTCCTCTCACAGTGGCCCAAGAACTTAAGTTTATTGTCAACATACACACCCAGGTCCTTTTCACATTGTCTCAATGCAGTCTCTTCTTCCTGTTGGGACATGTGATATACCTCCTTACTATTGGTGCGTCCCAGGTGCATCATTTTGCACTTCGTGGCTTTGAATTTTAAGCAGCCGTTTCCTAGACCATTCTTGAAGCTCATAGAGATCTTTCTGCAGCTCTTCACAGTCTGTTTGGTTTTTAATTTCCCAAAGTAACTTGGCATCGTCCACAAACATTTGTATAGAGGAGTGTATAGCTTCTGATATGTCATTAATGAAATAGACAAACAACAACGGGCCCAATACACTGCCCTGTGTTACCCCGCTAGTCACAGGTACACATGACAATTATGCACCATTTATCACCACACACTGTTTGTGGTCATGCAGAAAGTCTCTGATCCACGCTAGGACACTTCCCTGAATCCCGTACCGTTTCATTTTAATTCTCATCCTTTCACTGGGTACACTGTCGAAAGCCTTGGCAAAATCTAGGTATATATTGTCGATATTTCTGCCTTGTTCTAGAATTTGAGTCCAAGCATGTACCAGGTAGTACCTTGAGTAATTGTGCTAAGCAGGATCTTCCCGCCATAAACCCGTGTTGGCATTCCATTATAAGGTTGATTCGTAGCAGATGTCCCATCCTGGCATCTCTTACGATGCTCTCTAGTATTTTGCACACTATGCTGGTGAGGTTCTCCGGTCTATAATTATTCGTGAATGACGATCGCCCTTCTTGAATATAGGACTCATATAAGCCATCTTCCAGTTGTCAGGGACCTTTTGCTCCTCCAGGCATTTACAGAACAGGATCTCAAGGGGCTCCACAAGCTCGTTTAGAATATCTAGAAAAATCTTGCTTAATTTGAAGAGTCCATTAATTTAAGCTGAAAGAAATATTAAAATTTGTTTCATGCGAATGTATTGCTTGTACATTTTTCGTCAATTTCACCCAGTAAGAAAGTTCAGTATTTGTGTTCTATGGTGAAATGTCCCACAGTACAGTAGTTAAAGGCATGCAACTCATCTAGACAATTACAAAAAACAATTTATGAAATATTTTCCCAATTCTCAGGTGTAACATAACGAAAAATGGAAGACATAGAAGATTTAGTACGTGAAGATGCTGATATCGTAGCTCCCCGCTCACGTAACTCAGTGATGCCAAGAGTAAGGCGACGAAAGATAACTCCTACTGAAGAGGTGGGTGTAACATCTGTGTGAACAAAATCTGTCATGATGATTTATTACACCAGTTAGTTAAAGTATCTGCAGATCAGCCTATCATGGATAAATACCAAACATCAGTCTTTTTAAGGAAACAAGGGAATTGTTGAAGATATTTTTGATAATGGCAGGTGAGGGAGGAGCCTGTATGTTCCAGCATCATCCCGGGGACCCAGAAAGTCTACCTTAAGACGTGGGGCTGTGCACACAACAGCTCAGACAGCGAGTACATGGCTGGCCAGCTGGCAGCTTATGGATACAGAATTGTTGGTTAGTCACCTTTTGAACAATACTGTATAGGTTTTATTTTATTATTGGAAGATGAATAATGTTTTTGAAATTTGAAAACTCAGGTATTGTACGATATTAAGTAAGTGGGCTCTCCTGGTCTATTGTATATTTAAGTAATATTGCATGTGATATACTGTATTTGTACTGTATAGTGTTATTACAGACCTGAATTTTTTTATTAGATTTGTGAAGGTACTGCATAATAGAGCTTTTGTTACCATTCATAATTTTTTTGTATGTATGTTTTTAAGTTTAGGGGGAAAATGGAATATTTAGTGATCCACAGGCTCAAATAATTGTTGTAATCTTACGAGTTGATGTGTAATGGCAAACTTGGGGCATGAGTTTTACAGCTTACCTAGGTTTATGTCTCTTACAGATGAAAAGTTAGAAGCTGATGTTTGGTTACTGAACAGCTGTACAGTGAAGAATCCAGCCGAGGACCACTTTCGTAATGAGATAAAAGCAGGAAGAGAAGCTGGCAAAAAGGTGGTCGTAGCGGGATGTGTTCCTCAGGGTAGGTGCTGCTGTTTTTGATGTGTATCTAATATGTGTATCAAAGATTTTTTTAGAATTCTCTTAAGATTTATTGACATTAGAAAAGTAAAATTGATAATTATTGTATGATCAAGCAGGAGATAGGTTCAGTAGTTGGGGTGAAGGTTGTATAGTGAACAGAGAGCATAACATCAAGTACTGTATAGGAAAGCCTCCGATAACGACGATTCATGTTTAAGACCCTGGTTAATTTAGGACCCAATTCAATTTATACCATTAATTTCTTTGTATTTAATATAAAAATATAATAAAAAATATAAAACATTACATTTTCATATACATAATAACTAAATCCCGATATGTATTATACAAATAAAAAACCAACAAACACGCCTTAGAGGTGGTGACGCCAGTATCACTACGTAGTAAAAAACAATCGCAGCTTGACGGGCTAGTCTGTTTTCACGCATCTGAACAGGAAGAGGAGAAAAACTTTCTCAGAGTTCTTACAATATTTTTGTGCCCCTATTCAACATGAGCAAGTAATGGTAGTGCTGATTCAAAAGCTAAAAGAAAGTGTATAAGCTTAGCCAAGAAATTAGATGTGTTAAAACGATATGAAAAGGGTGAAAGGTCTGTGGATATATGGAGCAAGCAATGAACATATTTTCTGAAGTGGATCCATTAATAGAACGAAGCATTAAAAATAATAGGGATGTGAAAAATGCATATGATCATACATAAAGATGTATACTAAGAAAAGAAAGCAGCTGTGCAATGTTCTTTCCACAGCTTTATTATTCGAAGGCCTAAACCATCAAATTCAGCATTATAAGCAGCTTCAGCAACAACTACAGGTTCAGCAACAGCTATGCCAGGGTTGAACCTGATGACTTTGTCATCTGAGTAAAAACTCGTACAACATTCATTGGTTGTCCTTATGTTTTCGACTTTACCACCACTGGTGAATAGAAATTTTGTTTTACCTTTGTAATTATTATTTAAAATATATATGAACAGATAAGTGTTGCTTTCATATTCTTATGTAGAGAAATGACGATACGTTTTCACATGTACGCACTAACCTACGTTGGCATTCCGAATCTGTCTCGCTTTTTTCTTTACCAATACAGTGATCCCTCGGTTAACAAACACAATTCGTTCCAGGAGGTCGTTCGTTAACCAAAACCTTTGTTTCAGTGGGATTTTGGGTAATTGGTTTCAGCTCGCTGAAAATTACATAGAAACTAAAAATAAATGCAGTAAAGTACACTTACTTTGAAGTGTGTATGTAGAAGGCTCCTGGCTGATGATGATGATGATGATGGGAATTAGAAGTGGGGTGGAGGAGAAGGGAAAAGAGAAGGAAGTGGGGGTGGAAGAGAAATCACCCTATGCTTCATGCCATCATTTCACCCATAAAATTTTAAGTTCACTAGGTGTAATTCAAGATTATTTTCTTTAAATCAACACTGCACTGCACTATATATTGTCAATACAGTGAGTTCTGCTATAACGCGTGTTTTGATTACGCGAATTTGCTCTAACGCGATTTATGAATAGAGGAACGATATTTGTATAACGCGAACGCTTGTTTGCTGTAACGCGATTTCTGCTTACTATTTCTCCAATTTTGTGGTATTAACTGTGAATATGGTAAAGAAGAATATCTCCAAGAAGCGTTCAGGTGATCGAATTCCCGGTGATGATCGTAAAAGAAAGGATATAACACTTGAAGAGAAGCTCGATGTTATCAACCTCAAAATCACCCTTCTCCCCCATCAAGTTATATTCATATTTTTTCAAGGCAAAGTGTTACATTTACTGTATGATTTCATTATTAGATATGAATGTAACATTTATTTAGACTGTGCTATCCTTTGTGTTAGGCTAACTACTAATTTTTTTTCGATTTCGAGTAGTAATCTGCACCTAACCCGATTTTCTCCATAAGCCCTGTTATTTCTATTACGCTCTTTTCTATAACACGATATTTTACAAGAACACAACTATCGCGTTATAGCAGAACTGACTGTATGTAAAATACATTTCAGAATGACCAATAATTGTACTGTAAAAACGTAAAAATAGTTATGTTCAAGAGAGCCACAAGCAAGATGTTACCGCCACTGACCAGAGATACAAACTGACGCCTTTGTGGGTGAATCAAGTGGCTGATTGATGCACCAAAAACTAGTTTTCTGTACTGCAATTATGTTAAATAAGTGTTAAAATGACTACAAATTTTAATATAAAACTTGGAAAATTATTGAATAGTACAACCTTCTTGATATTTACTCAAATGGGAACGAATTTAAGCCCTAGAACCGATTACTGTATTGGCAGACTAATATTTCAGCTGGTGAGCAAGCGAAAACATGTTGACATGATTTCGTAAGAATTTCGTTAACCAAATTTTTTTTCGTTAACCAAATTGAAGATTCTTATGGAAGGTAATTCGTTAACCGAGGCGTTCGTTAACCGAGGGATCACTGTAGTGGTTAGCTACTTTTATTGTTCCATTTATAAACATTAAATAACATTACTTAAAACATACATATTAATTTTTTTCAATAATTTTACTACAGCTACACCCAGGGTCTTATTTTCTTCAGTTTCTTATGTAGAACCATCGTCACGGGTGTAAACACTAACTAAAACAATGTCGTCTCGTCTCCTCTTTTGTGTTTTAACATTCTATGTATTTTTAATGAATTGTATTGTTCATTTTTCATGTACAGTACGTATAAACATTAATTAAAAAAAACATTAATTCTATCAAATACATATTCAGTAATAAACAAGAATGAATCTTTTTTCCTTATTCTTTATAAGATAAATGACGCTGTTTCCTTGAGTGTACACGTATACGTTGGCGTTCCAATATCAGTCTTACTTTTGTCTTTAACATCGGTGGTTACTTCTACTGTACATTAAATAACATTAATTAAAACATACATATTTTTTTACATTAATTTTGCTACAACAACAACCAGGGTCTTATTTTCTTGGATAACTGTCATCATGGGTGTAAACACTGACAACAACAATGGCATCCCATCTCCTCTTGTGTGACCTTATTATTATTAGTGATTTATATTGTATAAGGTGCATTCATAAACATCATTTGATGATTACAATATTGATATTTAATTAATTTTATTGTTTGGGGGGAAAAGAGGGTAAAAAACCACACAAAAGAATGAAAAGGTCAGACTTTGGAACATATCTCATCATTATTGCTTTATTTTAATGGTAATTAGTGATTCACGATACTGTAAGATGATTCACCTTACACTCCTGTATTGGAGGACACATTACCGTCGTTATTTGAGTCTTTACTGTACTAATTTTTAGGGAAGGATGTGATGCTGAAGGGGAGTACTGTACTATACTTCAGCAGAAACATAACTTTGTGAGAAGTAAAAATTATGCACTTGATTGGGATAAAAGTTTTCTCATGTAAATTGGGGTGAAGTAGGAATTAGATTGGAATGAGGGCAGTGTAAGAGAATTGTCCTAGAAAGCACAGTTGAGGTTTGTGGCTACAGGAAAATAGGAATAAACAAGATGAGGGAAAGATGGGATGGAGATATTTGGTTATAGCAATTTGCATTTATAATTTGTTTTCAGAACACGAGAGACTTTGACCTCTTTATTGTATTTCTGTTTTCAGCTGCCCCACGTTCTGAATTTATTCAAGGTCTGAGCATCGTAGGAGTACAACAAATTGATCGTGTTGTAGAAGTAGTGGAAGAGACCTTGAAGGGTGAGTCCTAATGATGGTTTGTCTCTTGTGGAGATTTGTGGAGGGCGTCTTTATGGTGCTTAATTTTTTTTGTATTCACAGTTAAAAGAACTGGGTCAGTGAGGCAATTCATATGAATAGTGTTCCAATTGTTTACTGTACTTGAATTGCAATTACAATATATCTATGGCTCTCATCGTTACAGTAGAACCTCAGTTAAAAAAAAGTGAATACAGTATATGGGGAGGGGGTTGGAGATAACATTTCTTATCCGAATTGTTAAAAAAAATCATTTGATGTTATGTTATTACTGCACTTCAACAACTTAGGTCTTTAAGTGTATAACAACGTTATTAAAAAAATATTACGTGTTTATTCAAGACATTTTTAGGTCATGATACCCACTAATCCCCCCCCCCCACCCTACCTCCACATGACATTGAGTCAGGTCAGGTCCTCCCCACAAAATATCCTTTGACTTTCATCTTTAATCAAGACATTTTCAGAAAATTCTCTCGATTTTCAACCTCGGAAAATTTGTCTCCAAAGCCGGATATTTTAAAAAAATTCCGGCTTTGGGAACCATTTTCCGAGCAAGTTTCAATATTGGCAAGTGGAGATTTCCGGGTTTGAGCGATTCCGGCTAACGGAGATACTGTATTACTGTATTTCCTTCTTCATTGGTATTTCTGTACCCCTGGCTCATCCCACTTGGAATTGAGAGGTGAGTAAAAATAATAAGATACTTTTATTTTCTAGGTAATTCTGTAAGACTGCTTGGTCAGAAGAAGGAGTCTGGCAAGAAACAGGGAGGAGCTTCACTTCTATTACCTAAAGTGAGAAGAAATCCACTTATTGAAATTATATCCATCAACACCGGGTGCCTGAATCAGTGCTCTTATTGTAAAACAAAACATGCACGTGGCCAACTGGGGTCATACTCAATAGGTAATCTTTTTATTTTATGATTTTCTTAACATAGAACACAGGACACACTAAGTAAGACCTCTTTATTATATGTACAGTAAAATACTGACAGGAACCAAGGAAATGGAAATCTTAAAAGCCTTGTGGAAGTTGGATACCAGAGTAAAATACTTTTGTAACTGTTGAGGTGAATTACAGCTTGTGAGGAAAGTGTCTTGTTACTCATGACTCTGAGCACCATGCAGTGTGGTGTTACTCTCAGTCATACTGCAGTTTCTTAGGTCAATCTGTTATCACTATCTGTGTACATTACAGAACTAGATATGAGGCATTAGAAGGGGGTGAAGCGCCAAATTAAAAAAGATGAGAAAAATGCATTAAAAGTTTTTCGAAGTTCAAACTTTTTTGTTTTTCATGCTAGAGGGTTAATTTTTTTTAACTCTGCAGCTCAATCCCTCTACTAGTGAACTGTGAAAACTGGAAGTTAGTGCTGTGACTAGTTATTTTATCGTGAGTTGAATGTTAATAACTACCCGTGATGTACAGTTGTTTGATCTTCAAACCAACAATAATTGTGGTTTTCTGCCAAATTTTCTTATTATTGTGGGCTAATACTGTAAAACAAGTTAATGATCACCAAAAACAGCACTCATCTTACACCCCCCTCATAAACCCCCCCAAAATAAAATAATAATAAAAAACTCATTTGCCTATCAGTATTTATCTTTCCGTCCCTATTATTAGCCAGAGATTTATAATATTGCTAAGTATAATAGTGTGAAATAATAAGGAACACCACTACACTTATCCCCCCACCACTACACCCCCGCCCCCCCCACTACGTAATAAACATACAAATACAAAGGCGGAGAAAGTTTTATAATCCTTGGTAAAAACAGTATTATGATAATAGTATTACAATCTTACTTTGTTTAGTTCCTTTGTTTTATTTTCCCTGAAGATCATAGTAACTTGAAGTTACATAAATCCTGAGGAGTGCGTATAACTTTAACGGTCTCGTCATAATCAATTACGTACTGATCAAAGTCTTTCTCTGCCCTCTCTGAAAATTGCCACACAGATTCTTCATCAACTAAATCATTGAATATACATTAATGCCACAACAGTTCAGGTTCATTATAAGACTGGGGTATGGGCTCACTTTCACTAGCATTCGTTGGGTCAGGCTCACTTTCATCACTATTAAGGTCAATGCATGTCTCGTCACTGTCCACTTCTACCTCCTCACAGTCTGCATGTTTTTGTTGTGATACATTAGTGTCACTGTTTGTGTTACCATTAGACTCACTCTCATCATTTTCATCTTCACTTACATCGTCATTATTGCCGTCAGTGCGTGTCACATTACTCTGTACCGTAACACGGTCTGCAAAAAAGTCTTGTGATGCATAGCAGTCACTTTTTGTATTTTGAGTATACCAAAATCACTATCACTATCACCAAGCATTTCTGGGGTGTCCACGTGAGCACTGTCGTCACTAAACACACGCTCAGGAATAATAGGCTCCTGAACCCACACCAGAAGGCCTGGCCTCATTCAAGTCTTACTCTAATATCGGGCAGATATTGCACAGCACTTCTCACACCCGTGGAACACAAATAACATCAATTTTACGCTGAAAATTTATCAAAAATGGCAGTAGAAAGTACACTGAACCTCCTTATGCTATACAACTCGCCAAAACTAAGGAGGAGGCAGCATCTGGGTGCGAAGATTGGCCGAGGAGCAAGGGGAAATCAATTGATGTTGGCTGCCTCAGGGGGTATGGTCCGAAGAAGGCGTGCTGTTATTGGCACGCGCTCTGAACGGGATGTTGCCACTTTCTTTGACTGAGCGCACAGCCATATACGTAGCTCCCGGCCTGAGGCGAAATCACACCTTATTTTTGAAGGCCTCTACCATATTTCTATTCTAGCTAGATGGTTACATCCAATGCCAACATGTAGAGGAAGGGTGAAAATATAGTGATGTCCATCAAAAAACACATTTTGGCCAGGGTTTCGCTTCACCCCCTTCTAATGCGGAGCGCCTCATATGTAACACGACTAACACAAGTGTCTTCACTGAGACTTAATAATCAGTCACCTTTGAGACATTCTAGATGTAGAAGAGACAAGAGTTTTAAGATATGGTTATTGATTATAAATATGAACATATGAATTTACTGAATCACTTATTTGCTTGTCAACAGAGGAGGTAGTGGCTAGAGCTAAGCAGTCATTTAGTGAAGGTGTATGTGAAGTGTGGCTCACTTCAGAGGACACAGGAGCATATGGACAAGATATTGGAGTCTCACTACCTGAGCTGCTCTGGCAACTTGTGGAAGTCATACCTGAAGGCTGTAGGTTAAGATTGGGTATGACAAACCCACCTTATATTTTGGATCACTTAGAGGTAATTATTTACTCAAGTGATATACTGTATGAAGTGAATGGGTAAACCAGATGAATCTCTTGGGGCCATATTGTCCTAAACTGTTTGTATTCTATGGCTCTCCATTTTTCAGATACAGGTAATATCACAAATATTGATTTGTTTGAATTACTGTACTGAGAAGGTCTTTTTTTTTTACCACTGTATAGTTATATAATTAAATGAAATATTTAATTCATTTCAGCCAACTTGTTTTAGAAATTCTGTGAAAAACAGATCAGTCCCAAAAGCATTGTCATTTTTCATTTTATTCACAGTTGCTTTCCTCAACTCACTTATTATTGTACAGTACAGTTGTTCTGTCTACTCTGCCCACCCTTCTCGTACCCCACTTATGTCTTCTTTACTGTCTTTTCATGTAAACATTAATCAGTGATTGAAATTTATATCCTTGCTTTGTGGGTTTTAAATAATTTATCTGATTTTATTTATAAATTTTACAGGAAATAGCCAAGATTATGCAGCATCCTCGTGTCTATGCCTTTTTACACGTACCCGTCCAGTCTGGGAATGATGGTGTTTTAGGAGACATGAAGAGAGAATACACAATTGCTGATTTTTGTAGAGTTGTTAACTTCTTGAGGGGAAGGTATGCCTTTCTTGTGTTTTGAAGTAAGTTGTCTTATTTAGGACATGAGCTTGTATCTATATGGTGGTGTACTGGACTTCCATCCTAATATTGTAGGGATTATATGGTACAGTTTTAGGGGTGTTTACTTTTGATGCTTTATGTAATTGATTTTATTAAATAAGACTTAAACTTGATTCATGTCCTCAGTTGTTGGAGTTATTGTTGTTTACGTGAGTGCAAAGTTAATTTAATGGTAATTAATTGTTAAGTTCATTTAATTATTTTTCTTCATTTTACAGGGTGCCAGGTATCACAGTGGCCACAGATATTATCTGTGGCTTTCCAACAGAAACTGAAGAAGATTTTCAAGATACAATCAAACTGTGTAGCAAGTACAAATTCCCATCACTTTTCATTAACCAGTTCTACCCTCGACCAGGTACTCCTGCAGCAAAAATGCAAAGAGTACCAACGAAAGAGGTGACTTGCTGTGAAATTCATTGATTGGTAATGTATAACCTATCCTTCCTTCCAATAGTAGATTCTTGGTCCTTGTTTCCCTCGGAACCTTTACAATTGAGAGAGAGGACTGTTCTTTCTCCAACTGAATGCTCTCTTCTTAGTCTGTAAAGTCCTGCGAATTAGGGATAGAAATCCCTTACCAGAATAATCAGGTTCTTAATAAAGGAAAGTCAAGGACCATGGTTTTCTGAGGAATAGCAAACAACTGTTTGAGATTGACATCTATTTACTATAAAAAATATAACACAAAACTCTGACACCACTCAACAAACATCAAATAATTACGGGAGTCAAACAATTGATGCAATCAATAGTTAATGGACTTAAACAATTAAGGGAAGCAAGCAATTAAAGGAATCAAACAATTAATGGGAGTCAGCAATTAATGGAATCACAATTAATGGGAGTCAACAATTGATAGAATTGAACAATAAAGGGGGAGTCAGCAATTAATGGAATCAAACAACCATAGAATCAAACAATGAACAGATATTTCCTACGGCAGTGGCCCTGGGGGAAGGTTCTGGAACACGGTGATCCACACTCAGGGTAGGGAAGCGTCCATTCAACTCCACACTCGAGCGACAGTGGCTGATGTCTTGATACAGCAGACCCGATGTCTTGATACAGCAGACGGAATGAGATGAACTGACGGTCGTGGTATGTGGTAGTGGTAAATAACCAGAGAATTGACAGTCGATAGGTGAAGGTCTAGGGACACAGCCCACGGGTCCAGGACCTATGATGAGATCACAGCCAGAATTTGACAAACAGCGGGGTAGCTAGATAGTGACTGTATGGCGGCTGGGGTGAATCTGCCCGTGGCCCAGATAGTCGCTGCCGTTCTCACCTCTGTCCAACCGCCTAAGTGTTGTCCGCACCAGCAAACGAGAGAGTTAGCAGTGATAACGAGCAGGAAGATCGTTTCCGCCCTTACACAGTCATATATTTGAAAGCCGAAAAAAATGCACTTAAAGTTTTTCCAACTTCAAACATGCATAACTTTGTTGTTTTTTGAGATACAGCATTTATTTTTTATGCATTTTGAAGCTAAAGGACTGTACTTGCAGATGGTAGGTGGTAGCACATCATGAAGTAATGTACTGGGTTGTTGCAATGTTGACTTGAAGCAACAAAACTCCCACCAGTTTATGGTTTTTTTTACTTTAATCGATATCAGAGCGTAGATCCCGCCACAACAAAAGAGAACTGAGGGAGAGGGAGAGAGGGATTCCGCGCTCATTGGCTGGAGGGGCTGTGATGTAGATTGCAGACGCTCACTGTCATTGGCCGAGACGTGGTAGAAGGCTGTGTTATCTTTTTGACACAACTGCCATAGTCGCCCTTCGTATGCCAAAAACTTAACACACCTAAGCAAAATGAGATGGGCTAGAGCACCAAGCATAATTCCTGATAACTTTTTAACGACAGTAAGATTTCATATTTCGCGCGATTTCATTTTGCATTTTTTTATTTCGCGAGCACTACCTAATGTAACCAAGTCTTGTATTTGTCAACGAGAATTTGGTTGTAATGTAATTGTTGAATAGGGGAATGCTGTTTGTAAAATGTAACTTTTGCATACAATTGTTGGCTATAGCGCGATTCCATCCTCAACGTTGTAAGCATGGCGCTGGGTTATGCAATGTTTACAGTTCACGTTCGACATCACATGTTCAATTGATTCGTGTCTTTTGTTTGTGAAGTGTAAATTTTTTTATTTATTTTTTTTTTTTTTTTTTTTTTTTTTTTTTTTTTTTTTTTTTTTTGCAAATTTAACTGTTACCCGTAAATAATGTATGAAAAGAATAAGTAATAAGAATGTTTCACAGTGAGGACTAATAACAGTTTACACCAGCGCTCTCTGTTTACATCACGTGATCAGTTGAATCGCGTGGTTTTTGTCAATTGCTCCGTGATTTTCACTGTTTTCTCCAATTTTATTGTGTTTGTGATGAATATGGAGAGACAAGGTAAGAAGAATGTTTCCAAGAAGGGTTCTGGTGATCGAATTGCCGGTGGTGAACGTAAAAAAGGTTTACAAGAACGCAACTATCGCGTTGTAGCCTGTGCCATCCTAGCGATCGCCCAGGCTGTTATTGTGTGCTTTTTTTGGTTGGTGCTGCCACTTGTCTAGTCAAGATAATGGCCTCTACCTCTACTGGTGGGGGTGGCTGTGGGACAGACCCACCTAAGCAGCCAAATAAGTAAAAGGAGAAGCAGGACTATCATAAGGGAGTTAAGTTTGCCAAGTACTCGATGCAGGAGAAGCAGCGTGTGATTAAATTACTTGAGGTAGGCCTAAAAACTAGTTTCCGGAAAGCACAATCAAGTCAATAAAGGCAGAATTTGTATCATTTGGAGGTTATAAATGGGAACATCAGAGGTTGATGTAGAGTGACCAGTCTATATTGTTATTTTTCCCATTAGTTTATGTATTTGAATTTGGTGCAATTTTTCCAGTCTATATTACTCGTGAAATACAAGATCTAACTGCAATCGAAAATGAATTACTGGTACTCACTGTAATTGTAGAATTTTCTCTCTCGTGATGGCATTTATCATCCACTGAAAGAAGGCAAATACTTGACTGTAGATAAGTATGGCCTGCCTGGTTACCAATACAGTATACTGACAATTCTTCCCGGTATGTTTTTATGGCATAATAAGTGAATTAAAATGAGAACTTACTGGATGTTTTGTGATTATCATACGGAGTAATGCTATCTTATAATTTCCCCATATAATATATACTACTGGCCAGAAGTTATAAAATAGGGTACTTAGCCTTTGTGGATAGCAAGCCTCTTGTCCTGTTTAGAGGGCCTGGAGTAACGTCCATATGGTGGATCCAGGTTTCGGTGTATGTTGTAAATATTTCGTAATGTTAAGTTTCTAGGTAATCACTCTAGGCTGGTCTTGTAATTAGGCACACTCAAGGGTCTATGTCTCACAGCAGTTTGTACCTACACTCAGCTTTGTTTACCCACTCCTTGGCTTCTGGGTTCACAATCAACATTTTCAGTTTCAGCACCTCGGCTAATTGCCCCGGTGTGTGTAAAGTACGCGGAGGAATATATGACACATCACATTCTTACCTATTGTAATTATTAGTGCTTTATTCATGTAAAATAATACTAAACTAAATAATTTTTAGTTACGGTAGTTACAGCACCAAACCCAAATATACTAAATTATATACATATACCGTATACATAAGTATCGCCACCTCTGTCGTAATTGGTTCGATGGATTCAGTTTGTTTCACTATAATCGAACCTTAAGGATCCGTTTTCTTTTAGTGTCGAGAGGTAATACTGCTGTGGGATTTTATATTTCCCACAGGCTGCAGGCCGGGCGCTGTGATTGGCTGCCCGCCCCTCTCACTCACTCACTGATGGGACAAGAGCACCTGACGACGTGAAAGCCAAGCCCATACTTTCCTCTTTGCCATAAATCGATATTCCACCCTATTTTCGAAGGGCTTTCAACCTTATTTACAGTGTACTAAGGAGATCTTATCAACTACCATCGTATAGAGCTAGGCCAAAAATAGTGCTTTCCAATAAAAACGGGTTTTGGCCGGGGTGGTCTGAGTGAACCTGATGATACAGGGGCCTCATTTGTACTGTTCACAAATTTTCAGGTCTGTCACACATTCCAGAACCTGCAAAAATCCATAAAACCCATTAGTTGTATCTCCATTTTGATGCTTTTCTTTTTGTTATCAACCTTCCTTAACCTTACTTTTACTTTTTACTTTATCCTCTTCACCACTGATCGGCTCGTTAGCTGCTTGGGCAATCGGTCACGTCTCTGTTACTCACTGTTGGCAAGTACTGGGCATGCACTGGCTCCTGAATGTACTTCCTTTGTTTCTTTAGCTCTACATCCTTCTTTGTGTCAGGAGTTAACCCGCAGCTGGTCATTAACGTTCAAGTACGTGATCGCTGATGTTGCTATCTCTGGTCATTCACATACTATAACATTTTCTAAATATACTTGGGGAGGGGATATAATAAAAATAATAAAAATATTGATATAGCAAAAATAAACAAAAATTATAATAGTAAATAATAATAATAATAATAATAATAATAATAATAATAATAATAATAATGATAAATACAAAACTGAAAAAAAGGGCAAGAGTGAGAAACGATATACTGTACTGTACAGTATGTATGCTCTGTTGTCAAAAGTAAGAGAAACAGTTATGACCCTGCAATTGTGTGTAAATGAGGCAGAAAGTAAGATCAGCAACTTGGGACTTGGTCACATATGGCAGCAGGATCTACCATTAGACAACACATTATGCTTCCAATATCTTCCCAGGCAGTAGTACCTCCCTGTTAGATAGCTGTTTACTACCTGCGCAGTAGAGTCTCAATAGCCATGGCACGTTATAGTAACTCAATCAAGATGAGATATACTCGGAGTTATTTGGTAGGGGTGAAAATGAACATGGTATTGACAGAGAGGTATGTATTGATAGTGACATTGAAGGTGATGGTAATGATAGTAAACCAGGCTACATGTTTGAACAAGAGGAAAACAATGACGACGCCTATGATGAGTGGCAAGTGGAGGAGAAAGGGTTGCTGTCCTCCCCGTCTCCAGGAACGTCCAGTACTCCTTCCACCCCTACCACTCCCTGTTCCACTGCATGGTTACACCCACCCACACTCCTTTCTCCCTCCTACACTGCATATTGCCATAGTAATCTAATTACAATATAAACAAATAATATTACCGGGTAGTCTAAATATAAAGAAAATAGACTGTGAGGGATGGAAAATACCTCTGCCGACGTCGAGTGTGCAGCGCCTGGCACTGCCGCTTGTAAAAAAATAAAAATTCCATACGTTTATTGCATAAATCTTTTTTAGGTTCATTTTTTATGCTGCATTTTTTTTGGGGGAAGAAAAAATATGTATATACATGGCTGCAAGGCCGACCGAAAGTACTGTGACAGGACTGCGAGCCAGTAGCCTTGGCAAAACTGCACCTGTCCAGGATTTAAATGCCAAGTAGCACTTTTAAATGAGGCAAGTTGCCATTTTTACTAGTATTTCTTGTTTTCTTAGGTCATTTTGGGGTTTTGGGGCCATAAAAAAAAATTTCCGGCCCCGGGGGGGGGGGGTTACAGTATAATAATGTGACCTTTTACTGGTTAAACATCCTTCCCCTCACATTTTTTCATAGTTTATGGGTGCAACATATGCTTATTATACCCTGTATATGATAATCAAATTAATATGTAGATTCATTGTCCCACTGCCAGTGAAAGTGTACATAGTAATAATCAGAGCATGGAAAGCGAATGTTATGTAAAGATCTGTCCAATGATAAAGTGATATAACTATAGTTCCTCCCCGACTTACGACCACCCGGACATACGACCTCCTCAGACGTACCAAAATTTTGTCAAATTACATATTTTCGAGTCTGTGATTGTGCTGTGCACTGACAAAATTTGTTTTTGTTATTCACTTTAAAATAGCTGGCAAGCTTAAAAGTGAGAGTTCTTTGGTGCTGAGAAGAAAAAGACTCACTTATTTTAGATTTTCTATGTACAGTACAGGTATTATTTAAGCATTTTCGACTTACGACTAGTTCGACTTACGGCCTGGATTTGGGTCCCAACACCGTTGTAAGTTGGGGAGGAGCCTTAATATTAACCACCACAATGGAATTGTATTAAAAAAATTACATATGTTGGTCTCTATGTAAAATGTTCTTTTATACTGTATAGTACTATATGGGGTAATGTACTGTAGTTTAAATATAGATTTTATAGCTGGGAATACAGTTGAATGTGCCTTTTTATTTCAAATATTAGATAAACCTAAATACTGTAGTATATAAGACACAAGAAAGGTATATTTATATTTGATAACCTTTAAAATTCTTGCAGCTCATCATGATTTTTTTACTCACTCCAGGTGAAAAATCGCACAAGACGATTAACAGAAGTGTTTCAGTCCTACCGTCCTTATGATCATAAATTAGGGGAAAAACAGACAGTTCTAGTCACTGAGGAGGCTCATGACAAGGAACATTGGGTTGGACACAATAAATTTTATGAACAGGTAACACTTTTGTTTTCTAACCCATAAATTTTTATTTGTAATTCTATAAATGTCATTACACACCCTGTATTACAAATCACCATGGTGTATGTTCAATATTGTAGTTAACTGCTGTAAACTTATATGCTCACATACTGTACTTAACAGTTTGTATTGTATGTTTCTATAGCTAACCTGTACTAGAATCTATATTTAGACTTAAGACACACATACCTAGTACCAGATGCCAGAAAGACACGGGCTTTGTGCATGTACTGTACAGTAATAGCTCGGTTAGCCGGAATCCCTCAAACCAGGAACTCTCCGATAGCCGGAATTGAGATTTTTGGGGGAAAATTGTTTCCAAAGCCGGAATTTTCTGGAAAATTCCAGCATTGGGAATTTTCTGGAAAATTCGGAGAAAATTTTCCCGGTACCCAGAAAATTCAGGGTATGGGGAGTTTTGGGGGGCTTTGAGAGATGAAATAATGCATCATTCTGGAACTTCTGAGAAAATTTTTCCGTTACCTAGAAAATTCTGGGGATGAGGGCTTTTTTTCTGGCTTTGAGAGAGTATTGTTACCCGGAAGTCTCTCATTCCCAGAAGTGCTCTGCACCAATTGTTCCGGCTGATGGAGATATCACTGTACTCATATCTTATAGTACAGTATTCACAGTTATATGTGAAAAGTTATCAATGCTTTCATAGTTCATAGAATTACAGTACAGTATGTAGTTTTGTCTTCCACAACAGGATTAATGTTACATTTGACAACTGTCTGCAGCAATTTTCGATGGTTATTGTTGTCTTTGAGGTACATTGAACTTTGTATACTGTATTAATATGTGTAAAGAAACATAGGTAAATAAGTTAAATGAGTGTTACTTGAAGACTGGCAACAACACTGTTTGTATCTGTTCTAAAGTAAAGATGTACCATAGTTCTCATCTCAATTCTAAATATTGTAAATATGTCATTGTCTTTTTTATAGGTGCTGGTCCCCAAAAATGAAGATTTTTTGGGAAAATTAGTTGAAGTGGAGATTATTGAAACGGGGAAGCACTACATGCGTGGACGACCTGTTGAAATGTCTAAACCCATCTCCCCAGCCATGACTGATTCCCTGCCCAAGGGTGAAGTCTCTGGTTTACTGAACACTCAAGATATAATAGAACCCAGTAAGAGAAACCAACTGAAGGAAGATTTGGCCAAGCAGGAGCGATACATTATTCTAAGCTTTATATTGCTCATATCGGCCCTCTTAGTCAAACTTGCGTGGGTGTGTTTTAAAATGTTGAATGAAAATATGATTGATTAAAGTTTTGTAATTTTGTGGAGACAAATTTATTCCCTATTATGAGAAATAAAACATCAACAAAGAATGGGATACTGTACCATTTTTATTTTATTTTTTCACAGGATTAGCCCACCCAGGCAGAGGTCACTGACCCACTTCAAGGTTGGGGGAGGGGGGGGAGGGAGGTGGTATAATAATAACTAATACAAATTATAATACAAAATAAAATAATAATACAGCAATAAAGTATTAAAAACAACCGTAATTAAATGCGAAAATGAAAATAAATCGAGAAATTATATACAGTCCAGTATATATGCTGTTTTATCAAAGGAAGAGAAACAATTGGAACCCTGCAATTGTGTGTAAATGGGGCAGAAAGTCAGATCAGCAACTTAGGACTTGGTTACAATTTTTGTGGTGCCATATGGCAGCAGGGTCTACCATTAGACAACACATTATGCTTCCAATATCTTCCCTGTTTGATAGCTGCCTACTACCTGTAATGGGATATGAATTATAAGATTGTTGAAATAACACGTGGAAGTAATAGAGCCAACCACTAAAATATCTTCGCCCGGGCGGCTAGCGAGCCGATCTTTTGGTGAAGAATATAAATGAAAAGAGACGTGACCGATCGCCCAAGCGGCTAACAAGCTGATCAGTGGCGAAGAGGATAAAAGTAAAAAAGTAAAAAAGTGTTGGGAGAGAGTTAATTATTATGTCCCCTTCTTGAACATTTGTTCATAGTGGACAGATGGTAGTGAAGAAAACTTGACTAAGATTGAGCATTACAGTGACCCTTGGTTAACGAACTCAATCCGTTCCAGAAGGTCGTTCGTTAACCGAAACCATTGTTTCAATGGGTTTTTGGGTAATTGGTTCCAGCTCACCGAAAATTTCCTAAATTCAACAAAAAGGGTAGAAAAGTTCACTTACTTTGAGGTGTGTATGTAGAAGGCTCCTGGATGATGATGATGATGATGATGATGGGAATTACAATGGGGGTGGAGGAGAAGGAAGAAGAGAAGGCATTGGGGTGGAAGAAGTCACCCCATGGCACCATTTCACCCATAAAATTTTAGTTCTCTTGGTGTATTTCAAGATTATTTTCTTTAAATCAACACTGTACTGCATTATATATTGTCAATATGTAAAATATATTTCAAAATGACCAATAATTTGCTTGGAAACACAGAAAAAAGCGTTTAGTTGAAGAGAGTCTCAAGCAAGATGTTACCTCCAGTGAAAACAGAGAGACTAACGCCTGTTTGCTGTGTTAAGAGGCTGGATGCTGCGCTTTAAACTAGTCACTTTACCTTCAATTATGTTCAATAATTGTTAAAATGACTAAAAAATTGAATATTAAACTTTTAAAATTATTGAATAGTATAAACTTCTTGATATTTACTAAAATAGTTAGGAATTTAAGCCCTAGAACCGATTAATGTATTGGCGGACTGATACTAAAGCTGGTTGACCGGCCAGAGCAAGCGAAAACATGTTGAGGTCGGTTCGTAAGAAATTCGTTAACCGAATTTTTGTTCGTTAACCGAATTTTTGTTCGTTAACCGAATTGAAGATCCTTATGGAAGGCAGTTTGTTAACCGAAATTTCGTTAACCGAGGCGTTCGTTAAACGAGGGGTCACTGTATTCCTGACATTTCATCAAGACTTTTTCCAGGTTTTGTTTCTAAACGTCGGGAATGAAAGTTCCATCTCTTAGTTGTGTTTCCTTCACTACCATTCACCTGTTGACAAAGCCAGAATGAAAATACAGTACTGCATATAGACTGTAGTGTGCTTAAGGGTTGACTCAGTGTTTTTATATTTACTGGTGGATTTGCTTGATTTATTACTGTATATGTTATGTAGACCTACAGTGTTGATCATACTCAAATTTCATGTCATTTGGACAATGTTTTATTTTTTAATAAAATGACACTCAAACTATAAAGATCAACATCACATCATGGGCCTCTGACTGAGTCAACAAAAACAATCCACAGTTGAAAGGACAAACTATCTATAATTACACTGAAGCCAATTTTTTTTTTCTTTCTTATTTATTTTTAATTCGGGAGTATTATTGCTGTGTTATAAAACTAATGGCCCTATAAAGCTCTTCTTTGTGTGACCTATCTATAGAGGTGTCAACTTTGAAAATCGGTTTACATATGATGTTGAAAAATTATTGTTCACGTACGGGGTACAAGGTTGTTTTTTTTTTACTTCTCAACCATATGCTGTAATGACCATGAATGACATCTTGAGTGCTACTGTTATTTCAAGGAAGTCTTGGATATAATGCCTAGTGCTTTGTAGAGCAGAATTATGGCACCTGGTTCACCCTTCAGAGGGTATTATTCACTTGCAGTTGAGGATATCATTAGGCACCACCTCCCTCACTGTTTCCAGGTTATAGTAAAAAGCACCAGGGTTGCAGGTTGCAATATTCTGGGCTCGCTTGGCAGCCAACTGCCTTGAAGCAACTAATTTCTTCTTCCCTGGCCAGTGCATATCAGAGACGTGACCGAGCACCCAAGCGGCTAATGAATCAAGCAGTGGCAAAGAGGATAGAAGTAATGTACAGTCGGCCAATGATCCAGCGACTCCACCCTGGGTCTCTTACTCGCAATTTTACCTGGAAACACTTGGTAAAGTAAGGTATGTAAAGGTGATTGTGATTGGTGTATCTATTTTTGGCAGTATCACTGTCAGGATTAATATTAAACAATTAAAGGTAGAATTTTTATAATACTGAACTATTTATTTTTATTTAAGATCATGAGAAGTTTCCAAATGTTCGTATATTTGCTTAAATAATGAAGAAAATTTGATCTGAGAATCTTGTGCCAGCTGCCGTTGTAGTTGAGCTTAACCTGACAAGATACATTCTCATTTAAGGTTTATTCAATTTGTAATTCTGTCTCAGATTATTTTCCATTTACTTTTTTCATTTATGGTCATTTACTTTATATTTTAAAGTGAGTTATTTGACATTTCATGTTTATTTTTGTTTTTATTTATATTTAATTTGATATAGAGGTATATTTAAACTTTACTGTTAAACCTGAATATTTTTAGCTATCATCATCTTGACAATTTCAGGTTTATTATGCAGTAGTACACATGTGTTATCCCTTTATAGGTGATTTTTTTTTTCCACTATACAAATGTGTTTGTTTTCTGTAACAGTGACTCAAGCTTTAGTGGATTATTCCACCAAATTGTGTCTAATATTGAAACTTCATTGTGAGGGTCAATATGACTGATGGAGTTGGGAAAAGAATATGGCTGGGTTGGATTGGGAAGACAAAGTAGCGAGGCAGGTTCTTTCTTTCTTTCTTTCCTTCTTTCTTTTTCTTTCTTGTCACGTTTGTTGTGGTGTCTTTATTTTCTTGTGTCCAGTGGTTGCCCAGTCTTTCGTGGAAGATCAACAGATTTTGAGACCTGCTCCGGTAAGCTGTTTCATGCAGCAGTTTAAGTCTTGAAATCAAGCTTAAAACTTTGACCGATATGTGGTGACTATGCTGAAGAGTGTCTTTGTTGTATAAAAATGATGATTTCGGTATACATACTGTATATTGTTTTACCTTTATCCTTTTCAACACTGATCAGCTCGTTAGCCGCTTGGGCCTCATGTACTGACCACGGTCGTTCATGTTAGTTAACGTAAAATCAGAGTTCATAATGTTTACAAATTGGTATACATTCCTGTTTTTTCTGCATAATACCTCCAGGTGTAGGGGCGGGAAAGAGAGAAAATGAATCTTAACTGCTGTCACCATTTTAAGGGGAGGAAAAACCTCTGACCCCCCCTATTTAAACAATTACTGTAATTTCTGTCTTACTTCTGACCTGTGGTAGCATGGCCCGAGGGCAAGACACGTGGAACTGTAATACTGTACTGTAATGGTACCAAGATATGGGAAGAAAATAAAGGTGGTCACTGTAGGAAAATAATACTCCTAACATACAATAAAAAAAGGTTTATTACAAAAATGCTAGACTTCTGCCTCCTTCCAGTACACACAACTACCATGAGTAACACTCATGTACTGCTCAACAAGGTACAGTACATCTTCCGCATTCACCACCACTTGGTGTACCTTTCACAAAACCACATAACACTGTGATCACACCTAGTACATTGGAGAATCAACCGTACAGGTTACCTGAGTCTGTAGCTTGTAAATAGTAATAGGACTCTGCAGCAGCCCCAAAACTAAATTCCTGTAGAGCTACCATGGTTACAAAGAACAATTGGCTTACCTCATACTCTTGCTAGCTCTAAACATACATAGCACTGAGGAGATTATACACATGAATTCTCGGATGAATAACACACCACAGTCATCTGTACTGAGCTGTGAACTCATACAACAACACTGCATGAGTGGGTCATGTTTACGTCGCAGGCGAACAACAAGTGGACGGTGAATGCGTCTGGACCAACAGTCTCTCAGCGGCTGGCTGAGCTTGGCTGCGAGCCTGTGGGTGAAATCTCAGCGCATCCTATGACTGCGTTACATGATGCTATCTACTCTTAAGGCCTCCGTCCTTCTCTAACAATGATGCTGGACGACGTGGACATCGTCTGGACATACACTAAACTACAGGGACTCTGTACAGGATGGAAATCGTGGGTGGTGTGAGATCATGGGCCCGCTGACTCTCTCTCCCACCCGGCGTCTCCCAACCGTGAGTTCCCAAGTCGTCACTTACACAAAGTAAATCGACAGACTAAGTTACTCTACACAGTGGCGTATGAAAATGAGGCTATGAACTTGTTTTAATCTGCCAAGTTTGACTTTTCAAACTAAGTAGTGACTGAGCTCTCAAAGACAAGAATAAAACTGACAACCCTCACTCCGAAAAAGTTTGCCCTCACAGTTTTCTGGACTTGCGGCTTCTTCATTCTTGAGCTGTGACCCCTTGTGGGGCAGTGTCCGCCAGCTCCAGGTAAGGACACTCAACAGATCGGTTCGTTATCGGCTTGGGGGAGCGGTCACGTCTCTGTTATGCACTGTTGGCAAGTACTGGGCATCCACTGAGGAGATACTATAATAGTAACTCCTCTGCATTATTATTGTCTCCTAACGTCTAAATTTCAATCCACTGTATTAGTATTTATGTCTTCGTTAATTAATAGAAGAAAGGAGACGCCCCAACATCCTAGTCAACATATCAGGGGCCCAAATATCCATAAACAAACTTACTACTTTATCAAACTTTACGTGTTACTTGAATAATAGTAAACTTAGATACCTGATTTTGCTATTTTCCATACATAAATAATATGTTAATTGTCCATAAATAGACCAACAGCCCAGGAGACACATAAAAGTTTGTTTGTGTAATAATATTGAACTTCTATTATGGTTCTTCTGAGCATGCGCAGAGGGTAATATATCCTCCCTTTACTTTATCCTCTTCGCCACTGGTCGGCTCGCTAGCCGCTGTTGGCAAGTACTGAACAAGTGGACATGCACCCTCTATTATTAATGCTAATAACGCAATTTAAAGGCTATTTTATCATGATACATTATTTCTCACAGCCTAAAATATACCTAAGCTAGTCTTAACAATCGTTTCAGAATTACTGAAAAGCAATCAGCTATTGCTAGACTAATCCGTGATATTTTACTATTAAAATTATAAATGTTGTTAAAATATGTTAAATAAAAGACAGAACACCATACAAATATCTTTATTAAAGACAAAACTGTAGTAGTGAAATATAAAAATTAATATAATTCTACTTATATTCTATGAAATGAAATGTCAGTAAGTTTAAATCAAATGTAAATGATTTAGGAGTTAAGGAACAATTACTGACATGTAATGCTGACTGGAAGATGGCTAGAAGGGGCATGTTAACAGTTCACAAATAAAACTGTTTTCTGGTGCTGTTAAATCATGATTTACACTTAAAAGTTCCTTCAATAAAGCATAAAATTATATTCTGCCTATGATGAAAACCTTCCATAAGCCGCGATCCTTACAAGTAAAGAGGCTTTACTTTTCCATAATAAGGTGGAGGACATGTTGATGCTTACCTCTAAAATTTCTCAAGTTCACCAATGTATGAGAAACTGCGAAACAATGTTACAAAGTTGACTTTGATTGATGAGTAGAGAGGCAGCAAGGTTATTAGCCAGCACCAAGATCTCACACAATGAACCACATATTCCAAATCAAGAGAAGAAAAGACCCCTTACTAGTCAAGATCCTTACACGTTGCTTGACATTGTTTAAGACCAGGTTTAGAACAAAGTCTCTTAAGGGTCCAGGCCCAACCAAGATGAGTGAAATATTTATAGAGGAGTATTTAAAATGGCTTTGTTCTTAACCAAGTTAGTCTGTGAGTGAAGCAAGTGAAAGACACCATTAGTCACTTGTCAATTGGCAGTGTATTAGCACGTTGTGTCATGGAATGATCTTCCACTTGGCTCCTCTCAAAGTATAGTACACTAATTCAGATACATTACATTACTAATATCCACAGTAAATTCATATAATTTCCTGTGAAACTTAAATACTGTAGTATGAAACACAATGGCATAAACCATGAGACAAATGTTAAAAAAAAGCAAGTAGCAACCTAGAGGCAAGTAAAGACATGTCTCCATAGATTATGAGATCGTTTATGAGTTTTGCTGACATTCTTAGGCAAAGCTGAAACTACAAAGATAGTATCAACATTATCCTAATTACGAACATGGCAACATGAGGAGCAGGGCTTACAGCCTCGTACTGTTGGTGTGGCGGAGTTAGGCTTCCTCCGCATGTTCCTCCTCGTCCTCGTACTCTTCTTCGGCTGTGGCGTCTTGGTATTGCTGGTACTCGGACACGAGATCGTTCATGTTGGACTCAGCCTCTGTGAACTCCATCTCATCCATGCCCTCGCCAGTGTACCAGTGGAGGAAAGCCTTTCGCCGGAACATGGCTGTGAACTGTTCTGAGATGCGACGGAAGAGTTCCTGAATGGCCGTAGAGTTGCCAATGAAGGTGGCAGCCATTTTGATTCCTCTTGGAGGGATGTCACAAACAGCGGTCTTTACGTTGTTGGGTATCCATTCAACAAAGTAGGAGGAATTCTTGTTCTGAATATTAAGCATCTGTTCATCCACTTCCTTCATGGACATGCGGCCGCGGAACACAGCAGCAACAGTGAGGTAACGACCGTGGCGGGGATCACAGGCAGCCATCATGTTTTTGGCATCAAACATCTGTTGGGTCAGCTCAGGTACGGTAAGGGCTCGGTACATCTGGGAGCCACGAGAGGTGAGTGGAGCAAATCCAGGCATGAAGAAGTGAAGTCGAGGGAACGGGACCATATTCACTGCTAGCTTTCGGAGATCTGCATTCAACTGGCCAGGGAATCGTAGACAGGTGGTCACACCGGACATAGTGAGGGATACCAGATGGTTAAGGTCACCGTACGTAGGCGTGGACAGTTTCAGTGTCCTAAAGCAGATGTCATAAAGAGCTTCATTGTCAATACAGTAGGTTTCGTCTGTGTTTTCTACAAGTTGATGGACTGATAAGGTTGCATTGTAGGGCTCGACCACAGTGTCAGATACCTGGAGGGGAGAAGTTGTCATGTTACATCAATAGCTTCATGATTTTACTCTGTACGTTATCAAGTTACAGATATTCCTACAACTAGACGGAATATAATACATTGCACTATGGGTCATTTAGTAGAGAAAATAAATATCATTACATCATTTTAATCCCAACAACTTACTTTCGGACTAGGTACTACAGAGAATGTGTTCATAATACGGTCTGGGTATTCTTCACGAATCTTTGAGATGAGAAGGGTGCCCATGCCGGAACCAGTGCCGCCACCAAGAGAATGTGTGAGCTGGAAGCCCTGTAGACAGTCACAGCCTTCTGACTCCTTACGTACAACATCGAGAACTGAGTCAACTAGTTCAGCACCTTCTGTGTAGTGACCCTTAGCCCAGTTATTTCCAGCACCACTCTGACCTGTTAAAATAAGTTCACTCGTTGAGAAAGTTACCCTTTTGTATACTACTGCTTCATCACTTCATACACACCAATACTTCATAGTACAATACACAGTGTTTACTTCATACCTAAATACTCATATTCTATCAGCAATGTCATACTTGTTGCTTATAATCTTATATCCAGTAATGTTTCATCTTTGTATGCAGTGCTTGAGTTACCCTTACATACACAAGGTCTATCAGCAGTGTCATTTCCCCTGTATTACTTAAAACTGCAGAAGGGAACAACGCAAGGGCTGGCTACTGGGATATGAGAGGTAAGGTTAATGACTCACAGTATACAGTACAGTACTTAATTAAAGGGGACGTGAAGGGGAATAATCACAGTTTAGATGGAGGCACCAGAAGGCCTTACTGTTCATTGAGAGATGCACCAGTGTTAAAGGTCTACACTATATATGTTTCAACATTCTATACGGATTAATCAGCATTATTATTAAACTTCTTGAGTAAAGCCGAGGAGATCGACGTACCAAACACAAAGTTGTCTGGCCGGAAGAGTTGGCCAAAAGGTCCAGATCGGACTGAGTCCATTGTCCCAGGTTCCAGGTCCACGAGGATAGCCCGGGGAACATATCTGGCAAGGTAAACAAAAAGTAACTTATTTAATACATTAATAAAGCTGGTGGTGAAAGGTTTACTCGAGCTGCGCTGTGAAGCCGTAACAGTATCCGGACAGATGTATATATCTTAATTTTCAACTGCTCATAACTCGTGTGTCTACCAATCTAAAATAATATCTGAGGAACACTCACTTGCCGCCAGTGGCTTCATTGTAGTAGACGTTGATGCGTTCCAACTGTAAGTCGTGATCCCCTCGGTAAGTTCCTGTCGGGTCGATGCCGTGTTCGTCGCTGATAATCTCCCAAAACTGTAAAAGAAATATACCATATTTTAGCTACACCACAATTTACGTATACGTTATTTGTAGATATATTTTAACATCTGGTAATATCCGCGACCTTATGAGAGGTTTTCACCACTAACTATCTAGTTGTTTTTATGATCATCAAGTTATTTCACCATTTATAGTAAGCCAGACACTTAAGCTGGATTTTCAATGATTACACTATTAGGTTCTTGTTAGTGAATCAAAGTTGGCACCATACAGTTTTATAGCCTGTGTGTGTACAGAACAAGGCTGTCTGGAACAGTTGATGTACTGTATGGACGAGGAACAAACATCAACTCTTCCCACCAGAGGGATCACTCAGGATGGAGTGTGCAGCCTCGCGCATGTGCAGTATATAAGGCTGTACGCTTCTATGAGTTTATCTGTCGTGTTGTGTTTACACTCGTATAAATCAATGATTTATACGAGTGTAAACCAAGGTACCTTGAGTGTAAACAGCCTAAAATCTTCAATTATTTTCACAGATAAATCCGCGATAAGTCTGCGACTTTATCACCGATTTACTAAACGACCTATCTGTAGTATAGAAGCGGATTCATTGATGAAAGTCACAACCCATGTGATATACAGAGATAACACAATATCTACTCAGTCCAGTAATCAACTCACAAACAGTCTGATTTAATGTGTTCAGGTGGACTGACTTTACGTTATTATAAATGATATTGGCTTCCTATGTGCAATAATGGGGGTGTTTTAATCAACATATTGAATTTAATTACAGTATAAGTATCGACATGTAATATTTTAATTTTAGTATTAAATTGTGAAAATTAAATTTTTAAACATATAAGTATAGCCTACTCATATTAAAACTCTAACTCTGAAAGTTGGATTATACACTGACATTAAAAGTCAGCTACAAAAAAATATTTTTGTTTATAAAACATCTACTGATAAAAAAGACTCCTTATGATCGTACCATTTATAATAATATTTGTATCTACAAATCAACTGTAAAAAATCTGAAGGAGTTTATCTCGATAAAAGGTAAAGAATGAAATTTCCGCGCAACCAAACTTTAGGAGTTTGGCGCCAGAGTTGCCAACTTAGCGACTTTGTAGCTAGATCTAGAGCTTTTTGTTTTTTTTCTAGCGACATTTTAGAGCGATTAGCGACTCTAGAGATATCCACAGAAGTCTAGCGACTTTCTGGATACTTTTGGACTGTCCATGAAAACTCGGTTTTCCTAATTTCGAGCCATAATATATAGCAACGGGGTTACAGGGACAATACATTTGAACGGGTTGATCATAAAACAACTTGGTCAACGCTTACCTGACAACATTCGTGTGCTGCAGTTTATTTCTTTTCTGAGTGCCGATGAATGCTTGAAGCCTATTAAATCAGATATACTTGGTTTGGCACACTTATTTACAGAAGATTCCAGCACCCTTACCAAGATTGATTTCCAGTGGAAAAAACTGCATCACACAATCTGGACAGAAACATCTAACACCCTAAAATTGTGGTCAGAAGTGGCAAATTACAGAGATGCGACAGGTGAAAACCCTTACCATGATCTGGCTGAAATTGCACTCGCTGCCTTATCTCTTCCGCATTCAAACGCAGATGTAGAGCGCACATTTAGTAATATGAACTTTGTGAAATCAAAATTGCGCAACAAAATGAAACTATGGACATTAAAGGCAATTCTTACAATAAAGTATGGGTTAAAAAGACAGAACACCTGTTGTGCAAGTTATGAACTTCCTAGTGATATTTTAAGAAAGATAGGGACTGTGGAGGTATACAGTTACAAGAGAACCTGAACCAAGCACTTCACATGCTTCCAGCTCTACAGTTGTTCACACTACCAAGAGGACTGGGATGCAATTACTATTGAATAATAGGTAAGTGTGCACATTAACCTTTAAAAAAAATATTATTTTTATTTTTACATAATGCATTTTATTTATACTCCGTCCATTATAGTCGGCGTTATGAAAATATAATTTGCATCAAATTACTGAAGGGGAGGAATAATAGCTAGCGACTTTCCATGGAAGATTTAGCGACATTTAGCTACTTTTAGGTACCAGCCTAGCGACATTTGAAAATCCGAGTTGGCAACCCTGTTTGGCGCCACTTTCTCTACTAGAGACAGAGTGGCGCCATCCGAGTGAGGTCACGGGTGGGTAGTGTTGCTAAGTATGTGTGTGTGTGTCGTTATATTAGAAGTTAGAAGAGGTAGAAAAGCATCATTACTCGGATAAGACCATTTGTCCCGTAGACATAGACAGATAATAGTGAAAGAGGGAAAAATATTGTGTAAGTGAACTCCCGTAGGTGAAACATCCGGACTTAAACAGTTAACCTAATATAACTCTACACATATTTACATGGGACGAGCACTGACATACTCAACTACTACTGAGGTAAGTCCATCTACCTTATACAATATGAAGTTTTTGATTTTGGTGGTTAACCATTTATACAGCCTATGGGATTTAGTTTCACTTTTCACTTACTCATTAAAACTTTTGTGTAAAATTTTCAGTAATGTCTAGCTTACTGTATATAGGCAATCATCCAATCTTCCTTTTAATACAATTGTTTCTTGGTATTTGTCAGTTGTATATACACTGATACAATCCACGGAAGATAAGTTCAGTGCGGGAGAAAGAAAAGACACTTAGAAAATAACTTTTTAAGTAGACGACAATAACTTTGCCCAACCTCAGGTATTGTTACGATGGGTGACGTGTTTTGATGTGAGCTTCAGGAGTGATTTTCTAACTCAATCTATATTCTTTACATTTTAGGCAATACAATAGTGAAACCCTCATTAAAAATATGAAGAAATAATATGATGCAGTTTAACAATTACTGTACGTGTACTAGTAATATTTTCTTTAAATTCTAGTCAATGTATATTATGGTGAGGGAGGTGGTGGAATGCGGGTCACTGTTATATTTGTAATAAATCTACAGCAGGATGGAGGTGAGGGAGGGGGACCAGACCACCTCCCCCCCACCCCCTACCACGCACCCGTGTTAATATTTAATCACTGACCTGTAGTACTACGCTTACTCGATGCTATTTTAAGACCATTCAAGATGTTGTATTGGTTTAACCAATTCATTTCCACCTTTTCTGACATAATGATTTTGTTTATGGTTTGTGTCGACTATTTTAATCACAATGTTTATTTTTTTTGTTCTTGTGCACGGTGTTCTTTTGAGTTAGTCGTTCACGAAATCACCAACCAGTGGATGCCTGTTGTCTCCATCCACGACAACAGTGCCGGTCTATAGTGTGGGTGGTTGAGTTAGCCAGAGAGAACAACAACAGTACATTGATCCCCTCCTGATCAATATTGTTACGTGACCCTCCACACCACGCCACGTGACACTCCACACCACGCCACGTGATACCAGCTGCTGTTTATTATGACACCATACCATTCCACATGACCACCAAGCTGTTGTTAGATATGACACATCCACATCATGACACGTGACACTTGCTGTTCTTTGATATGACACTCCCTACTGTGATATAACATGACCACCATCTGTGACATGACACCTCCATTACGTGACATGACTCAGGCGCTAGGAGTCATGACGCATTTTCGGGAAGAGTCCATGGCCCTTGAAGGGAGGGAGGGGGAGGAGAAGGGAGGGAAGAGCGATCAATAGTTTCCTAGTCAATCGTCACCATCAATCTCCCCCTCCCCCGTAATTCTCCCTCTCCCCCTCACACCCTCCCATCCCCTCCTCCATTCTGACTCTTGTCCTTCCCCTATTCCTTTATCACTTTCCCTCCCTTCCCCCGTCTTCCTCCCCCTCCCGCCCGCCCCGATCTTCCCACTCCTGCCCTCCCTCCCACTCCTGCCCTTCCTCCCTCCTGCCCTCCTCCACTCCTGCGCTGCCATCTGCCTCCCCACCCTCCCTCCCCACCTGCCCTCCCTCCCACTCCTGCCCTCCCTCCCACTGACCAGCCTAGAAATATGTTTATACTGTACAGGTATTTTATGAGAGATTATTCATGACGTCACACACACAAAAGAAACAAACACAAACAAAAAACATGCACACAGACAACACGCAGACAGGCGAACATATACACAGACAACACGCAGACAGGCGAACATATACACAGACAACACGCAGACAGGCGAACATATACACAGACAACACGCAGACAGGCGAACATATACACAGACAACACGCAGACAGGCGAACATATACACAGACAACACGCGAAGGCGAACATAACACGACAACACAGACAGGCGAACATATACACAGACAACACGCAGACAGGCGAACATATACCAGAACAACACGCAGACAGGCGAACATATACACAGACAACACGCAGACAGGCGAACATATACACAGACAACACGCAGACAGGCGAACATATACACAGACAACACGCAGACAGGCGAACGTCACAGACAACACGCAGACAGGCGAACATATACACAGACAACACGCAGACAGGCGAACATGTACACAGACAACACGCAGACAGGCGAACATATACACAGACAGACGGCGAACACAGACAACACGCAGACAGGCGAACATATACACAGACAACCGCAGACGGCGAACACACACGCAGACAGGCGAACATATACACAGACAACACGCAGACAGGCGAACATATACACAGACAACACGCAGACAGGCGAACATATACACAGACAACACGCAGACAGGCAGACATATACAAACAACACGCAGACAGGCGAACATATACACAGACAACACGCAGACAGGCGAACATATACAGAGAACAACACGCAGACAGGCGAACATATACACAGACAAACGCAGACAGGCGCCTATACACAGACAACCGCAGACAGGCGAACACCAGACAACACGCAGACAGGCGAACATATACACAGACAACACGCAGACAGGCGAACATATACACAGACAACACGCAGACAGGCGAACATATACACAGACAACACGCAGACAGGCGAACATATACACAGACAACACGCAGACAGGCGAACATATACACAGACAACACGCAGACAGGGGCAGGTGGGCGTGGTGCACCAGACGGAGGCGCCGAGGTGGATCAATAGATGTTGGCGGCCCACCTTAGTGACCTTGTAACCACGCCCACCTGACCCTAGTGACCTTGTAACCACGCCCACCTAAATAATAATAAAAAAATAATAAACAGTTTATTAATAGAGTTGCAGCCGGTGGCTGAAAATATACAGTACAAACTTACATGTGATTTAGACACAATAATATACGTTCAATACATTTACAGGGCTGTACAGTACATAAATTAGGAGCTGTTTATTATTTTAACAATAGATGGGATGGTGCTGTTCTTATATCTATCGGTGCGGGCTCTTATGGGCTGAATTTTGTTGTAGTGGCGGACTGCACGAGGTGGGCGGGGGACTGCCGGTGGCAGTAGGTGGCGATGATGAGGATAATGCAGTAGTCCACTGCCAAACCCTGCTAGTGCGTGTTGGTGGAGGTTACTGAGGGATGGCGTTTCCAGAGTGGAGAGAGCATTGGTGTAGCCGGAGTATTCTGCACCAAGCATGATTCTGTAGGCCCTCTTCTGTACCTTCTCTACCTGACGTTGTTGGGTAGAGTTGAGAGAAGACGACCAGGCTGGTGACGCATACGTTAATTTAGGGAGAATAAATGCGTTGTAGATGGTCCCCAGTTCTGGCGTGGGTGCCCCAAGTGACATGAGTCGTCGTAGCATGTAGAGTCGGTACGAGGCTGCCTTGATAGTGTTGTTTACATGGGCCTTCCAGTCCAGTTTGTGGTCTATGGTAACGCCCAGGATTTGGGGTGAGCGTAGTGAGAGGGCCAATCACAGTGGCTTAAGCGTAAGGTGTGAAACGCTCTGATCCTGGGCTGGAGGTTGAAGGTCGAGACTAGGTCGGCGATCGTACCCCAACGTCCACTGCATAGACCTAGTCTCTCGGAGTAGCTGGCTGTACGCTGATTGGCTGGTAGGCGCGCGGCCGGAGCTCAGTTGGAAGTTGTAGGGGAGAGGAGCCACTACAATTGTGTTATAGTACATCATTCACTATAAAGTACACATGTCGCTCAGTGAAGATAAGTTCCCTTGTGGGGGTGACTAGCTGTTTATTCGGCCCGGAAGATTTTACTTGACAAAACGTTATCAGCGATGGGTCCTACTCCAGCCAGCTTTGTGGAAGATCTGGTACTGACGAGAAATCTTAATAATTTTCCTATTCTTTAGTGTATATCATTCAATTATCACTTTTTTTTATTGAGCCTCGTCTCATTATCTCTTCTTTCTTAATTATAAACTTAATATCGACGTTTATTTTATGGCTGTCGAGTTTGGAGCTGACCTGTGAAGTGTATTGGACACACACACACAAACACACACACACACAAACACACACACACACACACACAAAACAAGTCTTCCCTTCACAAAAATAAATTCCATTATTTACACGCAGATTTCTATACAGTCGTCTTCGCGTTTCCATAAATCGATGAAACTATTCGCTTACGTTTGTTTCGTAAACCCGGGTAGCGACTTGACATACGTGAAGGAACGCGTCAGGTGTAGTGATGTTAGTCTGGTTATTTATGGTATACGTGATGAGACCAAAACTGAATGACTGACGGATGAAAATGAAGTGATGGAATGTTGTGTGAGGGAAAGTTTAGTGGTACTCAATATACGCTTGACGTTTGTTAGAGAAGAACGTTATGGTAGACGAAAGAACAGTGTGTAATGTGTGGAGTGGCATGCCATCTTGCTTGACACAGGAGTCTCCGTGGTGTGGCATGCCATCTTGCTTGGCACAGGAGTCTCCGTGGAGTGGCATGCCATCTTGCTTGACACAGGACAGTCTCCAAGGAGTGGCATGCCATCTTGCTTGGCACAGGAGTCTCCGTGGAGTGGCATGCCATCTTGCTTGGCACAGGACAGTCTCCGTGGAGTGGCATGCCATCTTGCTTGACACAGGACAGTCTCCAAGGAGTGGCATGCCATCTTGCTTGGCACAGGACAGTCTCCGTGGAGTGGCATGCCATCTTGCTTGGCACAGGACAGTCTTCAGGACAGTGTGGAGGCATGCCATCTTGCTTGGCACAGGACAGTCTCCGTGGAGTGGCATGCCATCTTTTGACACAGGACAGTCTCCAAGGAGTGGCATGCCATCTTGCTTGGCAGGACAGTCTCCGTGGAGTGGCATGCCATCTTGCTTGACACAGGACAGTCTCCAAGGAGTGGCATGCCATGTTGCTTGACACAGGACAGTCTCCGTGGAGTGGCATGCCATCTTGCTTGGCGCAGGACAGTCTCCGTGGAGTGGCATGCCATCTTGCTTGGCACAGGACAGTCTCCGTGGAGTGGCATGTCATCTTGCTTGGCACAGGACAGTCTCCGTGGAGTGGCATGCCATGTTGCTTGGCACAGGACAGTCTCCGTGGAGTGGCATGCCATCTTGCTTGGCACAGGACAGTCTCCGTGGAGTGGCATGCCATCTTGCTTGGCACAGGACAGTCTCCGTGGAGTGGCATGCCATCTTGCTTGGCACAGGACAGTCTCCGTGGGATGTTAAGTGTAAAGGAACTCTATGTATGGGAAGCAGTGTGGCCGGTAATGCTCTTAACTGGGCCTCACTTCCCCAACCTATTCAGAGTCGCTCGGGAGGACTTAAGATGCCCACAGACACGACTCAACCAGGAGAGTGAGAGAAAGACACAGATGTTAATACCTTCTAGTTAGTGAGGTGCATCAGAGAATATTGTCGAGTAGTTGTAATTGTCAGCTGAATGGAAACAAACCTCACGAATACTTACAGAATCTAGAATGTATATGAATGTGTATGTATATAAATGCGTGTATATTTATGTGTGTGTAGTGTGTATGTATATAAATGCGTGTATAATTGTGTGTATAGTGTGTATGTACATAAATGCCTGTGTGTATAAATGCGTGTATGTATATGAATGCGTGAGTATGTATATAAATGCGTGTGTTTGTATATGTATGTGTGTATATAAATACGTGTATATGTGACCAGATTTCCTGCTTCATGACATTCCTATTCTGAGGCACTCTGTTTCTCCTACAATTCCTTTAGTTTTTCCTAATTTTCCTGACCTCTGTTTATACCGAGTCCTAGAACAACCACTCACTCTCATTAACGCATTGAGTACGATGAGTTAATTCATTGAGTACAGTATTGTCGTGCTCATAGAGTTGTTATTGTATTCACTCAAGGGGTTAAGTTATTTTACTCAAGGGGTTAAGGCATCGTACTCAAGAGGTAAAGATATCGTACTCAAGGGATTTTAAGACCAAACTGAAAGGGTTAAGACATCGTAGAGAAAGCTTTATCGGCAAGTTCATTGATCTAGTCCTCTCTGTCAACTCTGTTTATTCCCCTTAAAACAACTTTCTCAGGGTTAATAAACACAAACATCAAGGGACTTTGTCAACAGCTTGACTAAAGTATGTGTGTCAGCTGATCGCAACATATTGAGAAGTATACAGAATGTGTTTACTTTTACTTTTTACTTTTATCCTCTTCACCACTGATCGGCTCGTTAGCCGCTTGGGCCATCGGTCACGTCTCTGTTACACACTGTTGGCAAGTACTGGTTAACTCCATTACCGTGTGTACAACTGCACATAGATAATGTATATAATATATCCCTTCATATTTAAAAGACATGTTAAGGTTAAAAGTTAAATTTGACGTGTAGGTTAGGTTAGTTTTGTGAGGATATGTTAAATTTGGATAGGTTTAATAGTAATTTTTATGTAGTTTACAGTGGGCATTAGTTTTCCTAAAGTATGACTGTTCTTACGTGTATTGATTGGGCTTTAAACTATGTAACAGGCGTCTGTATTGTATATTCTTCGTATACGTGTTTAAATAAGTGAGTACCGTGGGGAAGGGTTGCCTCTCATATGGGTGTTTATACCATAAATTGTCCTGAGGCGCTAAATATAGTCAAGATCACACTTAATGAGATGTAATGTATAAGTTTCCGTGCACTATAACAGGGACCTGTGGCGGCAGTCTGCAGTGAACACTCATGTTAACATTATTATATTCGTTTAAATATTAGTCAATTAGTGTACAGGATGTGTACTGCACTTCCTCTCATTGAATGAGAGGCTGCCCGGACTAACACCAACCACACAAAAAACACCTCATCCACAACTTTTCTCTAACGTTACACCGCACACCAGAACACAACAACGAGACTACACTTACTTTGGCCCCAATCTGGTTGCCGCACTGCCCGGCTTGAATGTGCACAATTTCTCTCATGGTGGAGTAATACTAGTCTATCACTGTATGGGTTTCGCGTTTTGAATGAGTCAACAGCGACTGCCTCCCGGGTTATAACCGAGCCCGTGGCAGTCGTGCGCAGACGCCCCGACCAGTTCTGCCAACACACAGGAAACTCCAATTATGTCTTGTTTATGATACCTTTCATCATATACTGTAAAAGTATTGGTATTATTTTTGTTCTAATAAGTTTACTCAAACTATATTATTTATAATAATTAAATGCTAACCAGAAAAGGACATATTTGACTTTGGTCCATCCCGCACTGTTGTCAGCCTTGTTGTATCGATTTTGGCGCAATAAATGAGAACACACCCATATCAGATGCCAATCACAATTCAGCAAATAACCTCAGTTATTTTTTATTATTGGTAATGAAAGTAAAGATGATTATAGTACAATAACATAGAGATTAAATGACTAGAAGCTGCACCTTGTACCCGTGACAACCTGCCCAGGTAACATCCACCTCACCTGCACCACTCAGCTTTAAGATAGCTTTTTTTTACTAAAGGTTTTTGCATCAAATTCTACTTTTAAATATATAATAAATTCAACACATTCAAAGTATA